AATTTTTCCATTCGCCGCAGAAAAATCTTCTGAATGCACGGAATGTAAAAATTTAATGAAAAATTGAATGAAAAATTTCAAAAGGAAAAAGAATTCACTTTGGATGAGCTTTTAAATTGGATATTACGATATTTTCAAACACTTTTAGCTTTATTTTGCGATATTTAGGTGTTTTTTTTTTTTCATAAAACAGTAAAAGTAATTAATTTTTCGTAATTATTTTTTTTGTATAATTGTTCGGGATAAAATTTTGAATAGTTTGGTGTAATATTTTGGTGATAAAATATTTTTATTTATAAGTTATAGACAAATTTGTGTGGATTTTATATAATTTTTATAAATCCAACTTTAATTGCTTATAACTTTTGATACAAAAATTTTATCAAATTAATTTTACAGATTATTGCGGAGAATTTAATTCTGAATTAACTTTTGAGGGAATTATTATGATTCCTCAAATAGTTTATAAGTTATTCAACATTTAATGATAAAAACGCAAATTAAATCGACTTAAAACGTCATAATTGTGTTTTCAGTTAGTTTTTATTAATTTCTTAAAAACTAATTAACTTGCCGCAATTATTATTTTAGGAATTTGTTCATATTTAAAATGTGAATAGTTTTGCGTAATATTTTGGGAATAGCCTTTTTGTTTATAAATTAGAGACTAATTTGTGTGGATTTTTCAGGCATATTTTTAAAAATCAAACTTTAATTGTTTATAACTTTTGTTTCAACAATATTATCAATTTAATATAATTAATTTTATTATTGGCTCGTATAATTATGACATGTCGTAGTAAAAAAATGAAAATTTTTACTAATCCACACTAATTAACTCGAATTTTTAATTAAATTTTTCCATTCGCCGCAGAAAAATGTTCCGAATGCACGGAATGTAAATGTCATAAAAGGAAATAAAGATAATCTGAGCCCGCCCGCGCATGGCGCAACGATTAACGACATAATTGACGTGCGAAGATTTATTTCGAATTCGTTTGCGCGACGATTGTTTGCGCTCTTGCGGCGTTTATGGCGGTGCTGCTCTGATTCTTGGCGCGCCGATTGTTTTACAGCGCGCCATATAAACGGCGAAGGTGCCACGCAGGCATTTATGTCAATGTGTGATGGATAAATACGTTAATCCGGCGTGGATTAAACAATATTTACCGGCGCGATATTTAACGCTCGATTAAATACGTCAATATGTTTCACTGGCGGCCATTTTGAATCTGCATGTTGGTGGAAATGCCTAGAAATTTGATTTTTGATGAAAGTAATATGATTTGTGTATTATTGGTTGCCTATATTATAGATAAACTGTCAAAAAAACATAAGTTAACCGAAAATTGTTTTTCTTCTGAATTTTTTGATATTTTAGTTGTTTTTTTGATATTTTTGCTTAGTAAAATAAGTGTTTTTTTTTTGACGACACCGGTTTGTGTAATATTGGTTGCTTATATTAGGGATAAACTGTCAAAAAACATAACCAATCCTAAAATATTTTTTCTTTTGAATTTTTCTGATGTTTTAGTTGTTTTTCTGATGTTTTTGCTTAGTAAAATAAGATTTTTTTTTACCACACCGGTTTATGTAATATTGGTTGCCTATATTAGGGATAAACTGTCAAAAACATAACCAAATCTAAAATATATTTTCTTTTGAGTTTTTTGATGTTTTACTTGTTTTTTGATGTTTTTGCTTAGAAAAATAAGATTTTTTGATGAATACAGTTGAATTGTGAGAATAAATGAATGTGATTCGGTGTGAATCAGTTAATTTGGTTAATTTGTTGACGCCGCCGTCTTTTGTGCGCCGTTGCGATTGCGAAACGCGTTTTACAAGTGTGATTTTCACAACATTTGATGCTTTCGTTTTGTTTATTGTATTTGAAGCCACAGAATCGAGTTTAGGAATTTATTAAAAAATCCTAGGGTCAATCTTTGGGTCCTGTACTCCTCTTGTGCTGGTGAAATAGACTTTGTTGTCCCGGTCGCATGCACGCGGTTTATTACAGGCCGAGAAATGCCGATAGAAACGGATCGCATCGTCCGGCGCTTTTATTGTACGGGCAATAAAATGCATATTACGCTCATGTTCATGTTCTGGTCGCCGGCCGCTGCAGATAAAGACATGAAAACCCAATGGAAGCCGAGCGCGCGGCCATCATGCTTCGTCGGACGACGCTTTTTTCTTGGCGTGCCGACATTGGGCTTTTTATATCTTCACGTACGGCCATAATGATTAATAAAGTTAATGAAAAATTTCAAAAGGAAAAAGAATTCACTTTGGATGAGCTTTTAAATTGGATATTAAGATATATTCAAAAACACTTTTAGCTTTATTTCGCGATATTTAAATTTTTTTTTTAATTTCTTTAGAAATAATTTAGTTTTCGTAATTATTTTTTTATATATTTGTTTAGAATTAAATTTTGAATAGTTTTATGTAATATTTTGGTGATAAAATGTTTTGGTTTATAAGTTATAGACTAGTTTGTGTGGATTTTATATAATTTTTATTAATCCAACTTTAATTGTTTATAATTTTTGATACAAAAATTATATCAACTTAATTTTTACAGAGTATGACGGAGAATTTAATTCTGAATTAACATTTGAGGGAATTATTATGATTCCTTAAATTGTTTATGAGTTATTCAACATTTAATGATAAAGACGCAAATTAAATCCACTTAAAATGTCATAGTTCTTGTTTCAGTTAGTTTTTTTAATAATTTCTTCAAAACTAATTAACTTGCCGCAATAATTATTATTATAGGAATTTATTCAGAATTAAAATGTGAATAGTTTAGCCTATTATTTCGGTGATACCTCTTTTTGTTAATAAATTAGAGACTAATTTGTGTGGATTTTCAGGTATATTTTTAAAAATCCAATTTAATTGTTTATCACTTTTGATACAAAAATTATATCAACTTAATTTTACTGAGTATGACGGAGAATTTAATTCTGAATTAACTTTTGAGGGAATTATTTTGATTCCTCAAATAGTTTATGATTTATTCAATATTTAATGATAAAAACGCAAATTAAATCAACTTAAAATGTCATAGTGGTGGTTTCAGTTAGTTTTTTATTAATTTCTTCAAAAGTAATTAACTTACCACAATTATTATTTCAGAGATTTGTGTGGGATTAAATTTTGAATAGTTTTGCTTAATATTTTAGTAATTGCTCTTTTAGTTTACAAGTTAAAAACAATTTTGTGGGGATTTTTAGATACATTTTTAAAAATCAAACTTTAATTGTTTATAACTTTTGTTACAACAATACTATCTACTTAATTTTTACGAAATATGATGGAGAATTTAATTCTGAATATACTTCTGAAAGATTTACAGTGATTCCTCAAATCGTTTATGAGTTATTTATTTATTACTATAAAAAACAATTTTAAGAGAAAACAAGACTCAATAAAACTTAACTTTAAAAAACAACTTAAAAACATAATTCACCGAAGATAAAATTTTAAAATCAAAATTAACATTTTTAATTAAATCATTTTAAAGCAAATTTTACTAAATAATAAGATTTCTGTGTTTTCAAATTAACAAAAACAAATTTTCTGCTTTTTTGATAATTCTTTGTTGATTTGCCACCACCAAACAGTTTTATGTCACATTTTAATACTTATACTTATACTGTATCGTTTTACGAGCAAATCAAAACATCAAACTCGTTCACAACGGTCTGACTGACACACAAAAAAAAAGACAAAGTAGAAGACGAAGATATTTAATTGCTCCATATATTGATGCATAAAAATGTTTTATGTTAAGCGAGAGGACATTAAACGCTTGTTTAACAGCCTGTGCGTCGTTTAACCTCGGCCAATTCTAACCAAACTTAACAGAAATGTCAAAATCACAAAATGACAAAAATAACAAACAAAAAATCATTTTATTTATTGAATTCGTCATGCGTTTCAGTTTGTTGGTTTATTTTTGAACTTCAACGCCAACTTTTATTAAATATAAAGTGTATTTCTTTGAAATTACTCAGAACCCAGGTAGTTTTCAATGATCTTGTCATCATTAAACGGCGAACGTGTTTTTATTACGCTTTTTTTTTCGGATAAAAAGTATAAAGGTAATTTTAAAGGCGAAGGTAACTCGTCACTCCAGCATCTTCAACACTTCAACTTCAACCATCGTAAAATAACCCGGGAATGATTTAAGTTTATTGCGATTTTCCACGATGTAAAAATCCAAAGCACCAAACTCGTTCTCTTAGCACTTTTGTGACTTTATTATTACGAGTCGGCCGCTCGAATTGATAATTTAATTTCGTCGCGCGTTTTGTTTGCGTTCGCGTGTTTTAATTCAACGGAAATATTCTCAGCGATTGTTATCGGCTGCAACGGCATCGTCCGTGAGCAAATATCAGGCGGGGGCGCGCGATATCTTCCTCTACATCTTGAACAAACGCAATGTGTATGTACACATGTTACACTTGTCGGCTTTGTTCGTTGAAAAGCCGCAAATGGAGACAATGTGTGTCACATTTAACATCGAGGGCGTTAACTGACTTCACCTCTCCAGGGAGGGATTAAATTAATTATTCCCGGGCGGTTTATACTCACCAGAAACTCAACTGGGAGTTGTAGCTAATTTTTATTTAATTTTTAGCGGTTTAATTTGTTTTTCAATGTTTGATATTTGCAATAACGCAACATTTTGTTTGTTTTTGTACATATTTAATGGAAAATACGCGAATATCGCGTAATACTACATGTAATATTTAATTATATTACAACAATGTGTGTTATTATACGTTAACAAACAATATTTAACGGCAAAACAACTCATTTTAACATTATTAACATTTATAACATAGGCAACTTATTACATACAAAAACTTTATAGTTTCATTCATAGATGGCGTCGCATTTGAGCGAGCGCAACTTTATTTTAATTCGTATTTCATCCGCTAGAGGTCGCACCATACACCAAATACAGATTTTATTCGGTATTTATAAAGCGAAATTCACAAAGTGAAATCTTACAAGGCTCACCATACGAATAATCGCTTTATAAAACACATCCACACACACATCATGACTCACGTGACGTAAACAAAACGGAAAGTTTTACGCACAGCGCATTGCCTTTTACGTGCGCTGTAAGTACATTCGAATTTCGTTTGGTCAGAGGGTAGGAATAAAATAAAGTGCGGTTAGAATTTACGCAACGCTAAACGCAACAATTGAACGAGGACACACAGACAGCCGGTGCCCGGATACGTGTTGAGCATATTCCTAAGCGATGATCGATGTGACGCGCGACACGGTGTGTCATTATCATCAGGCGGTCGTGAAGAATTCGCGTGCGTGAAAGAGTGTAAAACCGATCGAAGACAGACCGTAGATATCGGTTATCGGTTATTATCGCAGCATACGCCTTTATCGCAGGAGCAGTGATACAAGTAAAGAGGAGTTTGCATGATTCCTATGAGTGGCATTCCATCACGATCGGAATATGAAGACATAGGATATGGTTACGGTAAGCACCTAATAAGAATGTAATTTTCATGTTGTATCTTAACATTTAACACGAATTAATACACTGTTACTCATAAATTACATTTTTGGACCGTGGTTTTGGACTTATGACACATTTTATTATTATTATTACATATATTTGTTGATAAAATAAGTCATGACACAGTTTGAGTATATTTATAAATATGAAGTGAGTGGAGTAATATTTCTATACACATGATATACAGGGTGTTTTTTTTATTGTATTTTATGCGTTATATTAATTTTTTTGGTTTTGTTTTGTTTTGTGCACAGTTGTATAATAATTGCGCGATAAACGTACGTTGATAAGGAATTTATTTATATCGTGGTGGTGTTTTACAGTAAAATAACTTGTGTATTAAGTCATGGGAGGTGGAAATAAACGTGAAATACGATTTTTACATCCCATTAAGTCATGGGAGGTGGAAATAAACGTGAAATACGATTTTTACATCCCATTAATTAGGTTTTAATTAAATTTGCCTCGTCGCAGCCATTCGGCGGTTTTATTTTCCGTTTAGGAGGCTTTTAATTTAATTAAAAATCCAATGCACTAATGCAATACGAGTAGGTACTTCTTTCTATATACAAAAAAAAAAAGAAAACGATGACAGAGAATTGTGTTGCGCATATTTAATCAGGTGAAATTTCTATTTTTGTTGGTCTTTTTATAACTTTTTATGTTGTTTGTATTCGTAAGTTGAAGTGAAATTGTTCATGCAATTAATTTCACTTCCTGGCATAATTGTGCTCGCTGCGTTACGCTGTTCCATTGTCGAGCCGGTGTAATTTACAGCGCGTAGATTAAAAAGCGTGCGTTGTGATGGGATGGATGATGATTATTCAATTGTGCAAATTGTTCAATTTCTTGCGCATGCCGTGGGGAGTTTAATGAAGCATGTTGTGACATGCGGTGTTACAATCTGATTGGAGTGTAGAATTGAGGAAAATAGATGAGAAACGCGCGGATATTTTTGTGATGGAAGTGGATAGATAAATTTAACTGCCACCTACACTACAGGTTTTGCCATTTTTGCAAAGAGGAATCATAAATCGAGTCAAGGTTTTCATTTTTTAAAGCGTATAAATCAATATTGATGTCAGGAATTTTTTTTTACATACAGTGTAGCCTAGTAGCCTAGCGATAGACTCCGTATAACGTCGAAATTTATTTGAAATGTGTAGTTTAGTTGCTTTATATTAATTTCCTTGTTATTTACCAACATTAAAAAAGCTTAGAAATTTTTTTGGGAAGAAAATGAGCAAAATATAATTTTGTAGTGAAAATTTAGTCGAAAAATGAAAAGAAACAATGAAAAGATAAAAGAAATTCAAATGAAACTTAAAAAATTACATTGGCACTTCTATGTTCGGTGTGTATACCGCAAGTCCAACATAGGACTACACAATTTAATACTTAACCTCGTTCTTTCAATAATATTTCGGAAACTAAAAGTGATAGAAAGGAATACATTGCAGATTCTTAATCAATGGGAAATTTTTAATGAAAAAAAATATTAAAATGAATATTTTCTTAGTTTTACTATGAATTCTCTACGAATAAATATGAAATTAAACTTTTGCAAAGTTTATGTCTCAAAATAACAATTTCATTAATTTGAAAATTGTTGACCTATAGTAATTAACAAGTTGTCACACCTTATTACTCACGTAATTTGATGCACAATCATCGTTCGCTTGTTATCAGCGCGCGTACGACACACAACGCGCTATCATTTATTCATTCGCGCGATTGTACCGCCCGAAGTTGTACACGAGCACAATGGTTTTGTTGGCATTGTTTTCGCAACACGCATTTCGCATCAGCATTGAATTGGAGTAATTACCCGTCATTACAATGACAATTAGGTAACTTTTGTGATATTTTTTCCTCATATGAAATGTTTTTTTTTTGTACAAAAACTAAAAATTTACTCATTTCAGTCTCTGTAAGACTGAGCATTACTTAATTTAATTAGGAACGGAAGCAAGGTGGAGCGAGGACACGTCGCCTGACGATAAGAAAGAAATGCTGCGCCCTTTTTCGTCGTCTTTCCGCTATTGCAGTGTCACGACGTGATTTTCTCGTCCATTTGTGCGTCCATCCGATTGCTATTTTCGCGTTTCGCCGCGGGGAGGCATATTATATAGGTCATTCAAAGCGCACCCTTAAATGTCATCAGTGTACTCATTTTACACAAAACCAAAAAAAAAAACATAAATTATCTTCTTGCTTTTATCACCCGTATAATTTTAAACTTATTTTTTATCGATCGTAAAATTTACCATGTGCATTCTTTATTAAATCGTTAAAAATAGACGCTGTACGGAAATATAACTTGCGAAACAAATTAAGGACGAGCGGAAATGTACGCCTGGGAGCGCCGTATAAAACCAAAGAAAAGAGGATAGACGTGGAGGTGTAGGCTCGAAAGGACAATGGACGATAGTCTATCGCCAGCTAAACGAGGAAGGAGTGTCGCGATTGGGGTTTATATCGCGGCCTCGCCGTAACACGTCATCATGTCATGATTTTCGGCTTAATATAATGACTCGGTCGGATTTAGTAGCAATTTGCTTTATTATCGCAAGGAGAAAATGACAGATATGCGAAAAAATGCGTTTCCAGCTGGAAAATACATCGCATCATTAAAATTTATTTATCTACAGATTGATAATGATATTGTTTGGGTTGGATAGATTGAAATTTTCATAAATGTCGGCGTGGCACGCGAAGGACGTGCATTTTCCTGCAATCTGCACAAGTTTTAAGTAATAATACAACCTTATTACTTTATTAGTCACTCTGTATGTGATGAACTCACTTAAATGTCATCACTATTCGTCATTTTATGCTCTTTTTACGAAAAGGTAACGGAAACATATACAGAGTGTTTTTGAAAAAAATTTTAAAAACATTAAAAATATAAATTAAATTATTATCATTTCTAAAATTTAGACTTTGTATACGCTATGTAAATAATTATTATTTATTTTATTGCGTTTGTGTTATCTATATTACCGTGAAAGGATTAAGTTGGATTTGTGGGATTTGGTGGAGGCGCCGGTGTAGTCTGTGAGTGGTGGAGGCGCCGTTGATAATAAGCGGCGCGCGATTATCGCCGCCGGCAGTGCCGGCAGTATGTCAGTCGGAGGCAGGACGGTGCAGGAGTCGCGCGTGTCTGTTCCGCTTTTATTTTTTCGAATCGTGCAGGCGCACATTTTACGCTTTTGATTTTTATTCACACACAAGAAAACCAAACTCAACGCACATTTCTCGTCGAAAATTCGTATTAAATTCAATATATAACGCTAACGACTAATTTCGGGCACAGGTGACTAAACTTCTAACATTTTAACATGGTTTTCTGTTGTATTGTGGGCTTTTTTTGGTAGATTTAAGAGTTGATCCTTTATTAATCGATATATTTGTGTATTTTTTGAGTGTAGCCCAAAGTAATCTAGTCTTTCTTTTGTTTTCTCTCCGTGTGTTTTGTACCCCGCTGCGAATGATGCTTCTTCATCACCACCCTCAAAAATAAATCAAAATCCAACACAAATTTGAATTTAAAAAAAATTTAATCAAAAAACAAACACACAAATACCGCACGTTACGCGCGCATGCTGCAGTCCGTCTGGGGTGGCGTAGTTCCGGATGAATCATCAAGTCATTGAATTGGAATCTGTGCCTTCACCCGATCCATTCAACAGCTCAACAGAACTCCATCCCCCTGCAGGTACTTACTAATGAATTGTACGTTGTTTGCTATTTTATTTTAATTTTTATTCGTTGACTTTTAGTGGAAATAAGTAGCGCATGTTTTATTTTTTTAAATTACGAGTAAAATATTGTTGTGGTGTTGATTGCATGTTGTTTTTTATACGCAGTTTTAGTGTTTGTCTCATGTACGAGTATTCTACATTAATCGATGGTTAAATGTTGCTGTAGAGTTTGTTTTGACTCGCGTTTGTTTGAAAATGAAAGATAAGCGATAGCAAATCATTAAAAGTCGACTAGTTTATAATGCGACGGTTTTTCTGAGTAAATAGTTAGTATTTCTGTAAATAATGATAAAATTATTGGTATATTTTTAGTAAAAATTTAAAGGTTTTTATTTTTGGCATTTTTGGTTGTTTTTTAAATGTTTTTGGGACTTGCGGACGAAAATAGCTTTCAATTTGAAATTTTTCTCTTGAAAATTATGCCGAATATGTTTTTTTATTGCTCGTTTATTTTACTTTTTGAGATTTTTGTTTATAAATTAAAAATAAGTGATAATAAATCATAAAAATATGATTGGTTCCAAGTTTCAAGACATTTTTTCAATATAAATAAATCATAATTCCTCAAAGAAAGTAAAATTTCGGTCACAATTTTTCAAAAACTTAAAATTTGTAAATTTTTGAGAAATTTTTAGCTGTTTTTTAATATTTGTGGAACAGGTGGACGAAAATAGCTTTAAATTTGAAATTTTACAGATGAAAATGATCGCAAACATGTTTTTTATTCTTCGTTTATTTTACGTTTTGAATTATTTGTTTGAAAATGAAAAATAAACGAGAATAAATCATTAAAAGTTAACTAGTATTAAATTAAACATTTTTTTCTATATAAATAAATAGTAATTCTTCAAAAAACTATAAATTTTGGTCATATTTTGTCAAAAATTTTAAATTTTAACTTTTTGAGACATTTTTAGCTGTTTTTAAATATTTGTGGAACAGGTGGACGAAAATAGCTTTCAATTAAGAAATTTTGCGTTGGAACTAATCGTGAATATGTGCCGTTTTATTGCTCGCTTATTTCACTTTTCGAAATGTTTTTAACAACTCGCTGTGAGTTGTAAACTCGACATTCAGTAACTAGGCTACCTAAATATCAACGCACATCATAGTATCATAATGTCACGGCCTAATTTGGAAATTGTTACGTTACGCTGGGCCAAACAGAAGGCCATTCAATTAAAAACTATTTTCCACGCGCAACTGCAGCGATAAAATGACAAAATTACACGTTGTGCAAATTATTGATTTTTGTAATAAAACGCACACACTACCAGAGCAACTGAACATTTAAATTATGAATTGTCAACACATTTAAACTCTCTCAATACCATTATACCAATAATTTTATAATTTTAATCCTAAAATAAAAAATATAATAAAAAAATTAATATTTTAATCAATGATATATTTGATTAATGTAACAAAAGTGTAAGTACTTACAAGTTACACTTATTGCGGCTGATAAATCGTCGGAAATTCATTAGGAGCGCACTCGCGCGTGGGTGTTTAAGTTGCGCTGTGATACACATTCGGTATCGAGCGCCTATCGATTCATCGCATGTTGTCAATGTGCGCCGGAGTTAATTTGACCGCCAGGCTGTGTCTGTTCTGTTATTGTTTGCATTCCACGTTGCTCACACTCTTCTCTGCTCGATGCACGCCACTTTGTTGTTGCCGGCACACACACACACACCGGCAACACCGAGGCGCCTGATAAATTATTACTGCATATTTCGAATTTTATCGACGTCAGCAATCATTTAGTCATGATGTGAATTTTTAGAGTTCAATACCGGTATACCGGTATTTAAAAAAAATAAAAAATCGTTGTTTTAATGTGAAAAATTTGAAAAAATATAGAAAAATATCGGTATTTGATAATAAAAATACCGGTATTGATACCGGTTTTTTTTAACTTTTTGAATTTTCTGATATATTTGATAGAGTAAGGAAAAATAGTGTAAAATATCGGTATTTGTAAATAAAAATACCGGCATTTGATAGTAAAAATATCGGTATACCGGAATCAATACCGGTTTTTTTTTAACTTTTTGTATTTTTTGGTGCATTGGATGTTGAAATAGTTTAAAAAATGTAAAATACCGGTATCAATACCGGTATTTGATGAAAAATTTCCCAATATTTATTTTCTTGACGCAAAAATATTTAATTTATACAATCAGACAATTTGTGCTGGTGTAGTGTCCACGTGTTGCGTTATGATTGTGTTCTTTCGTCGCCTGAAATCGATTCGAAACTTTCTCAACGAAACAAACGAAATAATTCAGTATTCCGGTGATTATTGCAATGTTGGACGCATAAATTCCTTTTTTACTCTTTTTTGAATGAAGTTTTTTACATTCTTCTTCTTTATTTCTTGGTAATTATACGAGGCATTGTTTGTTTTCCAACAATAAAGCTGAATAAAAAAAACCGAACGAATGTTTGTCGCGTGGCGCGCGTGCGTCACTCGCACATCCGACTTTTCCGCCCCACGGCCCCGCCATCGATTTTCGTCCAGCGAGAGACTCGCGACGTCCGCCGTCGCCGTAGCGTCGCCTCGCGGAGGCCTCAGACCCCATCCGTGCGCGTCTACCACCCTCCTAATTGTCGCCCTGGAGGCGCATCCACCATTTTCTCGCCCCGTCCATATTGCCACCCTACGTTCCGTCGTCAATCGAAAGATGTGACCTAGATTTCGTTGACGTTTTGTTTTCGCACGCCCGATTCAAATGCAGCGCAATGCATTTTTATAATAATTTCTATCAGGTGTTGCGCGGCAGGCTTTCGGTGGCAGGCTGTAAGTTTCACGCATGTATTTTGAAAAAGAAAAATATTTTTATTAGAAAATAAGGGTTGTGTTTAAATGTTTTTTGTTTGTAGTGGACGAAGATGGCCCGTCGGGTGCATCGCCAGCGCGAGGCGGACCATCGACGTCGAACGAAAATCGGGTAGTCTTCATCAACAAGATACAAATTCAACCAGGCGTTAAATTTATGAGCAACCGCGTGTCCACAGCCAAATATAGGTAAAAATACATCATTTCCTCCTTATTAAAATCATAAAAACATAAAAATTTCATTTCATTTGCAGTGTAATTCGATTTATTCCTCTGTTCCTCTTCGAGCAATTTCGACGATGGGCGAATATCTTTTTCCTGATGATCGCCCTCCTCCAACAAATCCCGGACGTGTCCCCCACCGGCCGATACACCACACTGGTCCCATTAATTTTCATCCTCTCGGTGTCGGCGATTAAAGAAATCATCGAGGACATCAAGCGGCATCGCGCTGACGATGAGACAAATCATCGCAAAGTGGAGGTGCTGCGCGGGGACGCCTGGATCTGGGTGAAATGGCTGCATGTTGTCGTTGGGGACGTCGTCAAGGTCAAAAACAATAACTTTTTCCCCGCCGATTTGGTGCTGATTTCAAGCAGTGAGCCGCAGGGCATGAGTTTCATCGAAACAGCGAATCTTGACGGTGAGACAAATCTGAAGATTCGTCAGGCTTTGCCCAGCACCGCTGGCTACACGGCCATCTTTGATCTGGCGCAGTTTTCCGGTGCGGTTGAATGCGAACCACCCAATAAACATCTGTATGAGTTCTTTGGTGTTCTCAAAGAATCTGGTAAAATGTAAGTAAATGAATTTTTAGCAATTATTTATTTAAAATGTTAATAAATTGTTGTTTTGATTTCGTAGGCCAATGCCACTTGGACCTGATCAGATTCTATTGCGTGGCGCAATGTTGCGCAACACATCCTGGGTGTTTGGCGTTGTGATTTACACCGGCCACGAAACGAAACTGATGCACAACTCAACGAAAGCGCCATTGAAGCGGTCCAGCGTTGATAAACTGACAAACGTACAAATCCTGCTACTGTTTGGTATCCTATTGGTGATGTGCTTGATCTGTGCCATTTTTAATGAAATCTGGACCGCGCGACACTCATCCGTTGACTGGTACATCGGCTTGGAGAACATCTCGCAGAATTTCGCCTATAACCTACTCACGTTTGTGATTCTCTTCAATAATTTGATACCTATCTCGCTGCAGGTGACGTTGGAGGTCGTGCGATTCATTCAGGTACCGTATTTATAGCCGGCGTGACCTTTCTTCGGGTAATAAATCATTGATAACTCTCTGCAGGCTATTTTTATCAATATGGACAAGGAGATGTATTATGAGGAAACTGATACGCCCGCCATGGCGCGCACGTCGAATCTGAACGAGGAGTTGGGGCAGGTGAAGTATGTTTTCTCGGATAAGACAGGCACGTTGACGCGCAACGTGATGGAGTTCAAGCGGTGTGCGGTCGGCGAGCAGATCTATACGTTACTGAGTGATGACAGTGAAGTGCCACAGTTAGTACAGCATATAAACGAAGGGCATGAGAACGCAGAGTTACTTAAAGAGTTGCTAGTCTTGCTGGCCGTGTGCCACACTGTGATACCAGAGAAAATGGACGATGATTCAATCGTTTATCATGCGGCGTCACCGGACGAGCGTGCGCTGGTCTATGGCGCGAGTCGTTTCGGTTATAAATTTCTCAGCCGCACGCCGAACTATGTCGAAGTGAGCGCTTTCGGCGAAATCGAGCGTTATGATATTCTACACGTGCTGGAGTTTACCTCGACGCGCAAGCGAATGTCGGTGATTGTTCGCGATCCTCAGGGACGACTGCGGCTGTTCTGCAAAGGCGCCGATACAGTAATTTACGAACGCTTGGCTGCAAGTGATGAAACGTACAAGGAAATCCTCCTGCAGCATTTGGAATCGTTCGCGACGGAAGGTCTGCGGACTCTGTGCTGCGCTGTTTCTGACCTGGACGAGGAGGGTTATCAGAAATGGAGTGTCAAGTATCATGAAGCTGCTTGTGCCATTCAGGGACGTGAAGGTTAGCGTTGAAATTAGGTTAGGCATTAAATACGATTGATTATTTTGTGATTTATGATTTAGAAAAATTGGATGCCGTCGAGAATGAAATCGAGCACAGTTTGAAACTGATTGGAGCAACGGCCATTGAAGATAAATTACAAGATGGCGTTCCGGAAGCGATAGCGAAGCTATTGCAAGCTGATATTAACGTGTGGGTACTGACTGGGGACAAACAAGAAACTGCCATTAACATTGGTTACTCCTCACGGCTTATAGTGCAGGGCGCGCAGATGATTATACTTAACGAAAATAGTTTAGATGTATGTGTATTTTTGTTTGTTGTTTTTTTTACAGAAATAATGTCTGGGAATGTTTTAGGCTGCCCGCGATGCCGTCCTCAGACACCACATGGACCTCGGTGATAATCTGTGCAAACAGAATGACATTGCGTTGATTATCGACGGCAAAACGCTTAACTATACGCTTAACTGCGAGCTGCGCACGGATTTCATCAAACTGTGCGTGTCTTGCAAGGTGGTGATCTGTTGTCGCGTCTCGCCGCTGCAGAAAGCCGAAGTGGTCGAATATGTCACCAAGTTTACCAAGTCGGTAACGCTGGCGATTGGTGACGGTGCCAATGATGTCGCCATGATACAAAAAGCGCATGTTGGCGTTGGTATCTCCGGCGTGGAAGGCTTGCAGGCGGCGTGCGCGTCTGATTACAGTATTGCACAGTTTCGTTTCCTGCTGCGGCTGCTGCTCGTGCACGGCGCGTGGAATTACACGCGCATGTGTAAACTGATCCTCTACAGTTTCTATAAGAATATTTGTCTGTACGTGATTGAATTGTGGTTTGCGATCTACTCCGGCTGGTCCGGGCAGATCCTGTTCGAACGCTGGTCGATCGGCTTGTACAACGTGTTTTTCACGGCGTTGCCGCCGCTTGCGATGGGATTGTTTGACAAGGCATGCAGCGCGGACATTATGCTAAAGCATCCGGGTCTTTATAAACCCTCGCAGAACGGTGAGCTGTTTAACGTGAAAGTATTCTGGATTTGGGTGCTCAACGGCATGCTACATTCCGCCATTTTGTTCTGGATGCCGTTGCTAATGGCCGAGCACGATAATGTTTGGATGAATGGCAAGGACGGTGGTTATCTTGTTTTAGGCAATTTTGTTTATACTGTAAGTACAAGCATTCCATGATTAAGTTGGATTCTTGATTGATTGTTTTGTTGCAGTTTGTTGTTGTTACTGTTTGTTTGAAAGCTGGTCTTGTGACAAACTCATGGGTATGGCCCACGCATTGTGCCATTTGGGGTTCAATTGGTCTTTGGTTTATTTTCGTCATTATTTACAGGTAGAGTGGAATGACAGCCTGTTTGCAACGTGAATTATACGAGAATTTGTTGTGTTTGCAGTAACATCTGGCCACTTTTGCCCATTGGCAGTGTAATGACGGGAATGTACATTCTCATGTTCTCGTCCGCCGTGTTTTGGCTCGGTTTTATTCTGATACCGCTGATTGCAATCATACCAGACTTTGCGACTAAAGTGTAAGTACTTAACCTGTCATAACCCAGCCTGTTCACTACCCATTTCCTTTTAGAACAATCTCCACCTTGTGCCGGCCTGGTTATTGTGCGTTCGCTTCATCCCGGTTCCATAATTCCTTGTTTCCTACACACCGTAAAGATTTTTGTTTATTTTTATTCATTCCTGATGCAATGTGATGTGATGTAATGCGCTGTTTTAGGATACATGGTAGTATCCGGAAGTCAACTGCCGACATTTTGAGAGAAAACGAGATCAAGCATCCGGAATCGATTGATTTGAGCCGCGACTCGAAGAATTCGTAAGTACACTCAACTCGAATCCCCATCGGCACGTAATTAAACGCTTGTTCTGCAACTGAATTGACAACTTGACGTAATCTTTGCGCCACCAACCCGCATGCATTATCAGTCAGTCATTATTTGCCCCCGAGTACTCTTTAGTTTACATTTCGTTGACAATATATCCCCTCCTTCATTTGTTTGTGATTCTTGCATGGCTTCTCGATTAGCTCACTATTTCCTTTCTAGATGTGATACTGTTCTGTACGAGTTTGCTGATTGAGATGATGCGATGCCACCGGTGGTTGGATGTTAACGTTTGCAATGTTGTTTTGTCTTGCCTTGTTGTAACAGCGTACCTTTGTCGAAACAAACAAGCCGGAACATAGCAAAATCAGAAGCATTGGCATTTAATGAATTCGAAACAAATTGGCAAAGTCACCAGACAAGGATAATCAGTGATAATCAGTTTTGATATATATATATATTTTCTCATTTTGTGAGTTCATCCCGTTGGAGGGGATGTCTTGTACAGTGCGACGTGCAATAGTCGATAGCAAATTATTTCTTTGCGATTCTTTTCTCTTTTGTTCGATTTAGTTATGGGAGCGTGGTTGGGCTAAAATGGTGTCCGACGAAAAACGTCATCACGCCCGCCGCCACTCCGTACGCATGAAACAGCTTGTCCATTCACGGAAACGTACTTGTGATACTGTGCAATAAAACTAAGGCAACACATCGTTAGACACATTCCATTGAATTAAGAGTTACGAACAAACGCACAAAGCAGTAGAAGTTGTTCCTAAAAACTAATTTTTTCCATTGAGGCGCATTGTTTCCCAAAATAAAACAATGTGCCACAGTGTTTTGTGATAGATAATTAGGGAGTAATTAATAAAAACAAAATGCGAGGCGCACAAGGTAAAACGCATCAATTGATGCATCCAACTTAGGGACCACGAATTTACAAAACGTAATTTATTGTTATACATTGCAAGCACAAATGGGCCATGGAATATTCATAGTTTTGTACTCATATTTAGTAAATTTGATTGTAAAATTTTAGCGAGACGAAGCAAACCGAATTTATCGCCGAGCTTTTTTCGTTGTTGTTTCAAACTGTTTGTGATTTAATTTGCATTCCAGTAAACAATTATTAACCGAATTAATCAATGCGTAGTCAATATGATCCTCCACAAGCTAAACAAACTAATCGAAACGCCGACGCAGTTCTATTTTATTTGTGTCTCGATGGTATTGTATTAATGTCTCGTTGTTTTTGCAAGACCAATGCATGCTCTGGAGAGATTCGCAATTTGTAAGTATCATTGGTTTCTGTTATTTACCTGGTTTTGTTGTAGTCTAGATGTAGTTAGTATGAGTTTTGCATTCGCACTTTTTGGGAATGTTAAATAACATAGTTTACAAGTTGACACCAATGGCACCTTCACACAACGAACAGAATTAGTCGCTAACTCATTCAATTCAATTCATCTCACACGAAACACACAAGCCTTTTGTAACCAATCCTCTCTGGAATACTGAGAGGATGTATATTTTCGGCGGCATGTCGATGTAGAATGCCTTAAAATGCACGCTTGTCTTTTGCCAACTTACCTACAAACCAAAACCTCTGAGAAACTCGCAAATCGTCGGAGATGCTGTTGATGCTGTAACCGCTGCTTCTAACAGTCAACAGTTGGAGTCGCCTACCTCGAGACTGTCGGAAACTGCTCGCCTGCTGAAGAACGTCCGCAGCGTGTTTTCGCGTCGAACGCATACGCGCGTCGACATGGAGCTGTCGCGTAAGTATCGCTTAACACCTCGCCAATTCGTTAAACATCCAGTTTCAAAGCAAAGTTTCCATTGATTCGAAGCACTGCGCGCGCTTTTTACAAGAATTCGATCGTCGCATTTGAACATCCGCCATGATACATTTCAGTAGCGCCATTAGCGATTAGATTCTAGTGTATTTGTGCTGTAAAAACTGTACATAATACTAACCGATAGCGATTAACATTAGAAACGGTTTTCATGATTGATTTAATACTGGTGTAGATGTTGGTGTGGTAATTGTTATTTTGTGCGTTTAGACGGCTTCGCGTTCTCGCAAGAGGAGGGTGGTTCTGTGTCCCAGGCGGATGTGATCCGGGCCTATGACACCAACATCCCCAAACCGGCTGGGATCTAAGCAGATTTGGTATTCTACATCAACTCTACAAGAGGTGCAGACGGTGGTGCGCAACGGTACCACGAAGAGATATTTTCCTAACTTTCGATATCAAACGCATGACATATTTTTGTGGTTCCACTCTATGATATGATATATGATATGAAACAATGTGTCAAATATAACAATCTTATGTAAATACTAACTAAGCTAACACGGATCATTCGATCGATCGATATGTAGATAACAGGCTGCGATTGCAATTGCAAAAAAGCCGATGCACGTAAATTCCAACGTTTCAATTGTTTCGAAAGGTGATTAGAAAGATGAAACAAATCCTTATATTTATAGAGACACTTTGTTCATTGTACAACTTTACAAGAAAAACTACTAGGATTTTCCAAACTCGTATGGTTTGACGTTGATGATGTAGACAATGCATAATTAACGATTCATGATACTAAACTCTAAATTATAAGAAACGTGCCTTCAATGTTAAATGTTCATATTTTGTGATAAACCGATGCAAACAATTTGTGAATCATGTTTGAGTACTGTTTGCTTGCTTTCACTGGATGATTGTACGCGTGTTGTTGACTTGTATATAATTTCCGGCCTACGTATAGATGAGAAAAACTATTATCATATCAATCAATGGATGATCTATTTTGTTATTGTGTATTTGTGCGTCTTGACGTGCAGATAACTGCTAGCAAATTGTTACACTTGTTTACGAATCTCTTAGACAAAGAATTAGCTGGGTGTTGAGGTGTTGTTTATGTGGATATTCTCATTTTGTATGTCATCAGTGTATCGCTTCGATTGTGTTGACTTTTAATACGTGTGATAGAATAATATCATGTACCTCATCTTCGAACTTTTACCAAAATGGCGGCACTCGTGGACGCATTGGATGTGTCCGAACAAAATAACAAAAATCTTATGCATATTTATAACATAATATATACATATATATATATATATATTTAAAATGAAGACATTGTGAATCTAAACAATTTTAACTTTATTGATACTAAGAATTTAAAGAGAAAACATTATAATACGTATTTGAGGGACTTTAAAATTCATGGCGAAATCAAACTGAACACTGTACGTATGACGATTATATTATTGTATGCATTTCTTGAATTTTATTTTGGGTGTGCCAGCGGAAATTTTAGAATATAGGTGATCGAGAACATTCGAGTATTATTGTCGATGACCTCACTGCAATAGTTTGCAACTTTTGATTAGATGACACTAACTGATTAGATAATCGCACGCAAAATCAATAGTTTTAATATTTATTTCAATCAATTTGTCTTTGATCGTCAAGGTTTGAAGGTTTACTTCTGATAATTGTTTTCTTCTTTGAGCCAACAAAATGAGTAAAAAACTTGCTGCATTTTTACAACAACCCATAGATGATTATCAGTCGATTCGTGATGTACCAGGAATTGGCCAAAAAACTCTTGACCAATTATATGACGCCAATGTTAAAAAGGTACATAACTGACTCATTATTTTTTAAGCAAACGTTTATTATCTTTTCTAATTAAATTTCTGTTTAGACCAAAGAGCTGTATGAAATATTTCAAAAGCATCCGGACTTTGTATCTTTCAATCGGGCGGTGATGCGATTGTATGAAGTAAGCCTCCCAAAAGCAACGTTTACTGCTTTCATTGAATATGATAAAAAATACAATGAAAATAGTAGTGGAAGCCAAAGCACTTCAGGACAGGCTCCCAAAAGAGTCGAGACGAGGAAATCAGCCCCAGCATCTACGTTCAAAGCTCCTCGTAACAAACCATTGAAAAGACTACAGAATTCAACGCCGACAACTACTAAAAAATATGAGTTATTTATTGAGGAACCACTGGGTGAGAAAGCAGTTAATTCTATCCCAGGAATTGGACCAACAACAGCAAAATCTTTGAAAAATAAGAAAATTACCAAGGCGTATCAAATTTTTGGCGAGTACCTACGGTGTGGCAAGGATGATTTCCTATTCACAAAATGGATGACCTCGGTTCAGGCAAATACTAAATTTATTCAGCAATGCATTGACGCGATGAAACATAAATGTGAAATGATTTAAATTGATTTCATTCTGTTGACAATTATATTACACTACAATTTGGAACGATTAAGAATTGAATGTGTTCCTCCATCTTGTATTTGACGCGTATTTTCCAGTGTACTTCTCGACATACTCCGGATCATCAGCGTGATTAATCAGATCTTCATCGATGAGCAGCTCAAAGTCCTTAATCTGATCGGGCGTCGCGATTTTATTCCATTTCGTACTGCAAGCAATAAGTGAGGATATTTTTCCATCAATAACATCAACGATCTTACTCTGGCACTCCATTGGGCGGCAATACAATGGAGAAAATGTTGTCAATCAGTTTATGTTTGAGAATTCGATCGTTCGCTGTTGTTGACGAGAGGGACGGTGACGCATTCACCTATAATCAGCATGTGAACCACCGAAAACAAAACTGAAACACTGCATGAATACCTCGATAAGCCACGGTTTTAATTTGTTGTCGATGATAATATCGTATCCATAACACTCGAAGCAATGGCGGTCGGAGGCGAGGATCGGCTGCACTGCTTTCAGGGAATGAATAATCACCCAACTGATTTGATCGAAAAGTCTCTCAGTCACTTCCTTTCCGCGCGTGCTTTCCAAATAGAGACGTAGATTTTGCACGCTTAGCTTACCACCATGGATTGCATTATATTCCGCCTAGGAATAGATCGTCAAAACGTAAAAAAACGATTTGTGGTTGAATTTCTTACGCCATGTTTTTGTACAGATACATTCGTTAGATGCACATACATATTATCCAACTCCGCCACGCTGGAGTCGTACTTAACCGTACAAAACCGACAGAAGCCATGTTTGAATTGATACGCTTTGAGGGGACGAAAGGATGTTACCAACACGTACAACCGCAGGTCAAATTTCTTTCCGCCGATCAACAATGGATTGTTGATGTACTTGCAGATCACATAACTTTCCTTCACGAATGAATTCGGAAACACGGCGTGCTTGGTATCGCGCGACCATTTTTTCAATTTTGACAGTTTATTGATGAGGAAAATGCCGGTGCCCTGCGACTTGCCGCAGGGCTTGATTATCCAAGTACTCTGCGGTGATTTTCGATATTCTTCAACGAACAGGTTATAATCTACGGGCAGGACGAAGGTGACCGGAATTATATCGAGGTATAAATATTTGGCGTCTGGTCCCCGTTCGGCCATGCAATTGCCTTCGCGTTCCAGGTCCTTGCGATATCGTTTGATGTTTTTTACAAGTAAATCTTTCCGGGATATCTCGTAATAGTTGGGGAAGTGATTGATTAGCCTAGAAGTTGATGAAATTCAGCTGAATAAAAGATTATTGGTGTGGCGGTTGGTGTTACTGGTTTTCATTCATTCGGTAGCCGCTGTCTACGCTGAAGAGATTTCGGCATGTTTGCGTTGCCGCCCAGTAGATATTCCACGCGTCGTCAGGTTCGACGTGAACCCATCCTCTGCGTTCGCAGATGCACGCGACTTTGGCCCTGTCCAAATCGGTACTGAACGCGATCTCAACTTTATCGGGCATGGCGAAATTTTGCGAACATTGACACAATCCGACACGAAAATTTCTAATTGTCAAAGTTTGATTGCTACTCACGCCGTGTTTCTGAATGGACACATTGGTGAGATGCACGTACATGTTGTCTAGCTCCGCCATATTGGAATCGTACTTGACGGTGCAGAATCGACAGAAACCATGTTTGAATTGGTAGGCTTTCAGCGGACGAAAGGATGTGACTAAAACGTAGAGGCGTAGGTCGAATTTTTTGCCTCCAATCAACAATGGATTATCAATGTACCTGAAATGTTGGAATGTTCTACAGATTGTAATTATCGTGTGATTGAAGCTTGGTAAACCTTGAAATAACATAGGCTTCCTTGTTCAGTTGTGGTTGGAAGATGTGCTTGGTATCGCGTGACCACTTCTTCAACTTGGAAAGTTTGTTGATGAGAAAGATGCCGGATCCTTGCGAACGTCCGCATGGCTTCATGATCCACGTGCTTGCTGGCGACTTGCGATACTCTTCCACGAACATATTGTAATCGGAAGGTAACGCGAATGTCACAGGCATGAAATCCAAGTGGATGTAACGCGAGTCGCCACGCTCCGCCATTGGATTACCTTCTTTCTCCAGCTCGCGCCGGTAACGCTTGATGTTCTTCACGAGTAGATCTTTGCGTGACAGCTCGTAGTGGTTGGGAAAATGATTAATAAGTCTGGAAATAGCGGCATTCTTGATTGGGGACGTGTGATTTGTGTTGTGTGTGTGCGAATGTACCCACTGGTTATCATTCATGCGGTAACCACTGTCGACGCTGAAGATGTTTTTGCATGTGGCCGTACCCGCCCAGTATACATTCCATTCTTCGTCTGCGCCTACCTGGAGCCATCCTCGCTTTTCACAGTTGGAGATGACGACACTCTTGTCCAAATCGGAGCAATATTGCACGCGCATTTTGCTTGTGTTAAATTGTGTTTGTATTTAGATGCGATTGGGACGTGGTTGTTTTGTCGATATTTTAGTGTCGCGCATTCTGCAAATGTCCCCAAAGCGAATCAAATATATTACTTTAAGTAAGAGGGACAATTGCGAGTTGCGCACGCGCTTGTGCACAGATGTGTATACCAACTCCACTGCTTTTACTCTTTCGCACACACTGTGATTCAACAAAGTATAAATATTTGCTTAGATCATCCGGATAACATTAACTGCGCGTGACATAAATGCCTACATCATACATTCATTCGCCAACGGCCAACGATTTACTAAGAACGCCTTTCATTTTCTTATATTAATATTAATTATATCAACCAATATGAATAAAAAAAATACCAAAACAAACAATGAAGCCATGGTGAAGTTTGAAGCAATATTCAACAACCTGTGCATTTCTGAAACGGACGCAAATCCAACCGGTGAGGCGATTGAAAGTACTTCCGGAGCAGGTAAGAAATGTGGTACAAAAACTGCTGACCCTAGCGTTGGAACAGTTGCAGATTCCCCTAAAGCGCCAAAGAAGAGAACTCCTTTGGAAGAGTTCATGGAGGAAGCTCTTGGAAACAAAAAGGCGGAGATAATACCCGGCCTTTCGGCATCCTTCGAGGGGGCGACATATGTATAAACAATAAATTCTTTATAGGCGTCAAACTGATAATTCTATTATATTCCAGGCTTACCAAGTCGTTGGCCACTACTTAATTATCAGTAAAAACCAAGAAAAGTTTACCAAGTGGTTGGAAAACTATGGAGTTACAGGCAGTGAAGCTAAACAATGTATGGAGGCTGTGGATGCCAAATGCGAAATGTTTATAGATTTGAAAATGGACCAATAAACAAAAGCTGATAAATGTTGAGATTTTCGGCCGCCCCACCTTCACCCTGAGATGGTATCGTCGGGAATATCATGGGTGTAATATTAGAATAGACAAGCAATATTGTTTTTCAACTTTTTATAATGTATTTAGTTCCTATCAAAAGTTTAAGCGATAAATTCGTACGGGATGGGCGCCAAGACGATAGGCGCATCAAATCCGCTAACGATATGCGCCGGCCGTGGCTGCGCTGGCTGCCTCCTCAGGCACACCTTCTGCTTCTTCTCCTTGGCCTCGCGACGCAGCTTCTCGTTTTGCTTGACGCGCTGCAAGAAGTCCTGTCGGCACTTGGAGTGCTTGACGTGCTCAATCCTAAGGTTGATGCGCTTAGGGATAATGCGTCCGCGGACACGCTTGTTGACGATGACGCCGAGCGCGTGGGCGGTTACGTTGAATACACGTCCGGTCTTTCCGTGGTAAACTTTGTAGGGCATACCCTTTTGTACGGCGCCGTTGCCTTTCACATCAACAATGTCGCCCACTTTGTAGATGGTCATGTATGTGGACAACGGGATCGCACCGCGCTGGCGGAACCGGCGCGAGAACAAGTCGCGCGTCGAGCGACGGTAACCTTTTGAGTTTGTCATCGTGTATTATCTACAAAGAAAATATAATATTAGAGCGGATGATATTGGAAAGTAGACACATGTTTTAATTTTTAGAGGTTAGTTGAAATAGAGTGGTAAACAATGCGTCCAAGAAAGCTTCTTGTGAGAAAAAGACTCGGATTTAAAACATTCTTTCATGAAGAATTCATTTTTCATAATATCGCTTTACGATAGCAATAAGTAATGAAAGTTTAATAACTTACGTTGCGTCCAGAACGGAGCTCTGACTGAAAAGAATGCAATGGCTTCACTTCCTTTCTGACGGCAGTTCGTGTAAGTATTAGTTCCACAAATTGCCGCACAGCGCCATCATAGAAAATTTTAAATTTTTTTATCGCAAATTATTCTTTGTTTTTTGTATCATCATAATCAATACACACAAAGAAGTATGCCTGTGGCTGGCTTTATTTTAGCGTCTCAGAAATCGTTTCAAAATTAAAGTAAATCGTGCACGTTAAAGATTTGCCTGGCAACATTGTGCGGCCATCTAAACATTGACAGTTTTCCCAGCGTGCACGACACATCGGTGACGCAAGCGCATCGTCAGTGCTCTAATAAATTTTGGATTCAGCCATTGTTGTTGATCCAACTATTGTGCTTCACATTAATTAAGGTATGTGCTGGGTGAATGCGATCGATTTAACACGCCGAGCACGAGATTGCGGCCGCTTGAATGCCGGCAAGACCGTGCGTGCGCTACCGACGACGACGACGGCTTCGTCGGTGTACGAATCATCGTGCACCAACAAGATGCTATCTGCTGCGTGCAATCGCTATTGTTGTTTAGCTTTCAACCGGCTGCCGAATGCGCAAAGTTTGCTTCTAGTGCCCACACTCACGTACATATATCGAGAGAGGCGAGAAAAGTGTGGAACGATCCACACTGCTGCCATACCAGATGTAATTCTAGGTTAGGCTAGGTGCCATCCTGCAGCTGCAGGCGTATTTTCAAAGTTCTTGCTGTGCCTGTGCTCTTGTGTGATGGAAATATTGTAGTTGATTGCAAGGCACATGTATGCAGGTACTGGCTTTTTCAGTTGTGTAAGTCTTTGGGTGTTTTTGCAGCTACATTATGACAGATTCAATGAATTTTGGACCAGAATGGTTAAGAAATCTCTCTTCAGAGGGGACCACAACTGGCATGGGCGGCGGCGGGTCACGCTGCCAGCTGGCCGACTACAGGTTCATTCCTACCAACACCAACATCTGACACAATTGATAATCAATTGTAATCAATGTTTTAGGTACGGCAGGGAAGACATGCTTGCGTTGTATGAAAAAGGATTGCCGCCCCCGCAATCACTCTCTATGTTCCCGCCCATATATTCAGAGCAAGTGCTGCCTCCGCTGGCGCTGGTACCCGCCACAGACGAGGAGCGGCAATGGGCGGCGCGTGCACCTTCGCTGGGGCCATCAACGCGCGGTGGTCGCGGCGCACCCGGAATTGGCGAGCGTGGTGGCCGTGGGGTGCGTGGTGCCCGCGGGGCTTACCAACCCTTCGGGCGCGCGCTTGGTGCCGGTTATGATGGAGGCAGCGGTGGTGGTGGTGGTGGCTGGGGCGGCGTTGGCGGCGAGCAGACCGAATGGAGTCCGCGTAAAGATTTCACCTACAGCAGATCGACATCGTCAGGCGGTATAGACAACTGGCGGCGTAATAATCGAACGCTTAGCGAGGACGAAGACGGATGGCGCAACACTGCCAGTCATGGCCGTGGCGGTGGGCCAGGCGAGAAGTGGAATCGCGCGTCGAGCTGGCGTGAAGGTGAGGAAGACGCGCGCGATAAACGCTGGCACGAGCAGAATATGGGCGCGACTCGTGGCGGTGGCGGTGGACATCGTCGAATGTGGGACGCGCAGGATGAGCATCTTCCTGAGTGGGCCACTGAGAATCTCGCCGAAGGCGGCGGTACGTTTGACTCCAGCGGCGCGTTTCACGGTTCCGACGACGAGCACGAGCGAGGCAAAGAATTGCAGAAGTCGGCGTCACAACACAACATACGCAATCAACACGCGCCTTTGGTCACCTCCAAGTCGGCGGTTGCGTTGTCCATTAATAAAAACACCAAAACCGACGGCAAAGTAAGAAGCACGCACGTTTCTAAAAATTTTGGTGCGCTTAATTTGGTAATATTTGTTTTTTAGGAGGAGAAAAACGCACGATATCATCCGGATCTGGACGAAACAAAGAGCAAAGAAAGAACTGTAGCCAATGTCGAAAGAGAAATGCGTCAGGAACAAGTGGAACAATCGCACCGTAAAGCCACTCGCCCTATTGAAGAAGCAAGTGTTAAGCCTCCGACTTCTGTATCGGCACCGGCAGCGGTCAGCGTGAAATCGAATCAAAGCAATAACACACCGCCCGAGGCTGGAGGGCGCGTCGTCGATGAGGACTTCGACAAACTCCAAGAGGACTTTGTCTCGAAGCTGGTCGTCGATGAAGAACCGCGCAAAAACGTGGTGCCCACGTCGGTCAGTCATCCAAATGTCAGCATGTCAAATGGCATTCCAGCTCCTCCACCTAATATCATGCCGCCTCCTCCGCCAGCCACTCAAGAGATTTGGTACTATCAGGACCCGCAGGGTGACCTGCAGGGGCCGTTTCTTTCCAGCGAGATGGCCGAGTGGTTTAAAGCCGGTTACTTCACAACCACGCTGTTTGTACGACGGCAGTGCGATGAACGCTTCTATACGCTCGGCGAACTTGTTAATCTTAGCAGTGGTAACCCGTTCCTTGCTTCTGTACCAATGGCGCCACCCAAACAGGAGAAATTTAGTGATCCTGATGTAGCGATGCACTACCAGCAGCAATTCCTCAACGCGCAAATGATGCGCGCGCGTCCCTATGGTGCGGGGGAGTCCTGGACGGGTGTTCCGGGCTTTCATCGCGATGTGTACGCACCGCCGATGATGCCACCGATGGGGCCCGAGATGATCCCGCCGGCGAGCACTGCTGCGCCCATGCTACAGCAAATTCTCAGTCAGTTTAAGATGCCGCCGGTGAGTGTGCAACCTACTGTGATGGACGAATCATTACCCACGTCCAACCCAATGCATTTGGATCCGCTGCGCGCGCTCGTTCAACAAATGGGCGGGCTGCAATCTTTGCAAGCGCGTCTGCAGCCTCAAGGCATGCCACCACCGCCTTCACATGGTATGCCCGCCAATGGTACCGTACCACCGCCGAAAGCGGACGGTGGTAAAATGGAACCGACTGATTTTATGCAGTTTATGCAGCAGCACGCGGCGCTTGGGAAACCACAGCCGTCGCAGTTAGACCAGCGGATTGATTTGGACTCGCTGTGGAAACGCAATCAGTATCCGCCACCACAACAGGCGCAGCAAGCGCAACCACCACCACCTCAGCAGCAGCAACAACAACAACATCCACCACCGCCTCAAATGCAGCAGGCTAATAATCTGCAAACGACGCCACAGTGGCCGCAAAGCGATAAACCAATCAGTATGTGGGATGCACCGACAGTGCCCCAAGTGCTGCAAGGTGGTATGCCGCCTGCGTCGCAGCCGATCGTGAATCAAGTGCCAGAACCGCCCGTCAATGACGCCAGCGATAAGAAAAACAAGAAGGAGGAGAAAAAGTTGAAGGAACTTGAAGAGAAGCAGGCGAAAAAGGAGGCGGAAGAGAAACGTAAGCAGGAGCAGCGCAAGCAAGAGTTGGAGAAGAAGCAGCAGGAGGAAAAACGAAAGAAAGAAGAGGAGCGTGTTCGGAAAGAAATGGAAAAGATGAAAAAGGAGGCCGAGGAGAAACGTCTCAAAGAGCTGGCGGAGAAAAAGAGATTAAAGGAACAGCGTAAAGAGGAAGAAGCGCGCAAAAAGGCGGCCGAGGAACTTAAAAAACAGGAAGATGAAAAAGAAAGGTATTTTTTTTCTTTATTTCTGCTTTTTATGTTCTAAATGTTTGTAAATTTGTTTAGGCTGGCGGCGAAAGATCGCGAAAATGAAATGAAGAAGGCACAGGCAGAGGTGCAACGCCATTTGGCGCTGGCGGCGGCGGCGAATCAGAAACCGGCGAAGACAGCGCCTTGGTCACAGGCGACAAACAATCAAGGCTATAGTCTGGCGGAGATTCAGAAAATTGAGCGCGAGCGCAAAGCGGAACAGGTCCTTATGCTCCAGCAGGCACAGCAGCGACAATTGCAGCAAGCAGTACTGGAGCAGGTGGCGTCACCTGAAAAGATGAACTCGTTTGGCGTGCCTCTCAACTGGGCGAACAAACCAATGCGGCCCAATCACGTGAAGAGCCTGGCGGAGATTCAAGCCGAGGAGCAGGATCGCCTGCTCAAGCAGAAAGAGAAGGAGAAAGCTGCTCAGAAGGAAAAGGAGACATTGTCACCACCCAGTTCCACGTCCACCATCTGGAGCGGGCAGTCGCTGACGTGGAATAACAGCGACGGCACTGGTTTCTGGGACGAGCCGGCACCACAACCTCCGGCGCAGAAGAAACCGCAGCAGGCGCAGCCTGTTAAACAGGTCGTCAGTAGGCAACCACAACAACAACAGCCGGCTGTCAAGAAACAGCCCGTGAAGCAGCCGAAGGAGCAAGCCAATAATAATGCCAATTCGAATAATACGGAGGTGAACTCCTCCGATGAATTTACAAACTGGTGTATAAGGACCTTAGCTAGTATGAATACACAAGTCGACAGTAAGTTTTTCGATCGTTTGCGAAGCAATCGCAGTGTTTAATGATAACATTTGCTTGCAGTTCCCACGTTTGTGAGCTTCCTGCGGTCTATTGAGTCTGCTTTGGACGTCAGAGATTACTGCCGCGAATATTTGGGCGAGAAGCCTGCGACGCAGCAGTTTGCGGCGCAGTTTCTCGAGAAGCGTCGTTCGTTCAAACCGAAGCCGAACGCGCATAAAGACGACATGTGTTCGCCAGCGCCTGCCATCACACCTTCAACTCAACACAGCAATGACTTCCAGGAAGTCAAGGTGAAGATATTTTCACATGTTTTTTAGTAATTAGTAATTTTTAATTTTTGTTGCTTTTCGACAGGGCAAGGGAAAGAAAGTGAAGAAATCGAAAATGTTGAAAGTCGACGCACGAATTCTGGGCTTCAATGTGACAGCCGCACAGGATCGCATCAATGTCGGCGACCGCGACTACGGCGAAGCGTAACCGCCTCCTCGGCGTCCACCATCGCCTCCTCCACGCACTGATACCGGCAGCACCGTCGATACTTAACTCTTTAAATAATTGAAAACAAAAAAAAAACCAGTCAGTTCTCAAGAACGAGCGACGAGGAAGATTGCATCAAGTGAACAGAGATTTATTTATTCTCACGATATAAAATGATACAAAAAGAGCAAACAAAAATATTCTATAGTTGATAACTATTGTTGATTATGAAATAATAATGAGTAATCCATTTTTACTGCCAATGCATGATTGCTTAGGATGATTAAGGGATGCTCACTTTTAAACAAATTAAGTTTTTTATAGTTTATTCAGTAACTAACTTAGCAATTTGTGCCTGACTATTTGGTTTCACTTGCTGCCTTTGCTTTGACTGCTTCAGCTTCAATTTTGTTTGCTATTTCTTGATATTTTTGTGCTCTATACTCTTTTTTTGCTTCGTCCATGAGGACGTTATGTATCAGATTGCGGTTTGTACTGAAGTCATGCAACAATGATGGAAACGGGTTGCCTTTCAATTCTAAAATGGCTTTTTCTCTGGTGCTGCCAGTGTAAGGAGTTGGTGCCTTCAGCAGACGCGTGTAAGATACTGTGAAGTTTTCGTATCGTGGTACTAATACCTTGAACAATTTGTGAACCAACTGTTTCTCTAGTAGCCAGTAATCAGCCATTTCCATTGTTGTTTTGTGGCAGTCACCATAGCGCAATGCGTCTGAGATCAGCTGCAAATTAAGTTCAGATTACATGCAATGTTTTAATGCGGTGCGCGAAGTTCGACTTACTCGTTCAGCGTACATACGTGCTTCATCTGCCCTCGGATAATTTAATTCAAGGCGTTCATGTTTTATAAGGGCTGTGACGGTTTTGCGGAGTTTATTCAGTCGTTCTTCGGGGCCGCCCTGTGATCTGAATTTGCGTAGGCGCGGATTGACTTTGCCGCGAAGTCTTGAGACAAGTTTCGATACTTCGGCTTGATTCATTTTTATGTTATCTTGTTAAACATTCGATTAGTTCTATTCGTCGGACTCTGGTTGGGTTGTTTCGGCGTGAAACTGTAGAACACCGCAAACTTGAATTCACAAATGGAAATGAAACATGTTAGTTTAAGGTTACACGAACTTGGTAGCTAAATATTAGTAGTTGCTTTACAGGTTTCTTACTGCGGGTAGTTGAAACACACGCAACTAGATGGCGATAGTAGTACATTGTAGTTGTCTGCTAGTTGTTTTGTAATGTTGCCGATAGATGGTGCCATTGTCGTTTTTATTCGCCTTGATCTTGATTAATTTTCATCAGTTTTGATACAGAAATCATTTTGAATTTGCATTGTATTAATGTTTTTTGTAGCAGCAACTTTTATACATTGTGCTTCTACAAGATCCGGCAGCCAATTTCAACTATACTTTCATCCACGAAGTATTTTTGGTTGTTTTACGTGTCTAGCAGGCGAACAAATTGTCCTAACAACAAACAAATTTTTTTATTAGATTGTAAGTTTTGAGTTTGTTTATACATTTTATAAATAATTTGTGTGATTATCGCACGGGAAACCTACACAAATGTCATTTTTGTGCTTCGATATGCTAATTTTTGGTTGTTTTAGGTGTCTAGCAGGCGAACAAATTGTCCTAGGATAACGATTCTTTCATCAGATTGTAAGTATTGAATTTGTTTATCATTTTCATAAATAATTTGTGTGATTATCGCACGGGAAACCTGCAAAAATGTCATTTTTGTGCTTCGATATGCTAATTTTTGGTTGTTTTAGGTGTCTAGCAGGCGAACAAATTGTCCTAGGACAACAATTCGTTCATCAGATTGTAAGTATTGAATTTGTTTATCATTTTCATTAATAATTTGTGTGATTATCACACGGGAAACCTGTGAAAATGTCATTTTTGTGCCTCGATATGCTAATTTTTGTTTGTTTTAGGTGTCTAGCAGGCGAACAAATTGTCCTAGGACAACGATTCTTTCATCAGATTGTAAGTATTGAATTTGTTTATCAATTTCATTAATAATTTGTGTGATTATCGCACGGGAAACCTGCAAAAATGTAATTTTTGTGCTTCGATGTGCTAATTTTTGGTTGTTTTAGGTGTCTAGCAGGTGGACAAATTGTCCTAAGACAACGATTCTTTCATCAGATTGTAAGTATTGAATTTGTTTATCATTTTCATAAATAATTTGTGTAATTATCGCACGGGAAACCTGCAGAAATGTCATTTTTGTGCTTCGATGTGCTAATTTTTGGTTGTTTTAGGTGTCTAGCAGGTGGACAAATTGTCCTAGGACAACAATTCGTTCATCAGATTGTAAGTATTGAATTTGTTTATCATTTTCATTAATAATTTGTGTGATTATCGCACGGGAAACCTGCAAAAATGTCATTTTTGTTTCGATGTGCTAATTTTTGTTTGTTTTAGGTGTCTAGCAGGCGAACAAACTGTTCTAGGACAACAATTCTTCTATCAGAATGTAAGTATTGAAATTTTTTGTCATTCACATAAATAATTTCCATGGTTCATACAATGAGAAGTGAATTAAATTAGTTGTTTTAAATATTAGCAGACGCATTGCAGATTTCTTGGTAATTTATTTCAAGTTTGATGCCCTAAAACTAGAGGGCGATACTAGCGCCTATCTATTATGTTTTGTTACGCAACACCCAGATGGCGCTCTCGTCGATTTGGTTTAAAATTTTACTTAATTTTTGTTTAGTTTTTAGTGCACTGAGTTGCGGTGTGCACGTCACTTTTGTACATAACTTTTAAGTTTAACAAAGCGAGAAATAACCAAAGTTCGATTTTTGTGCTTTAATTTTCGGTTGTTTTTGGTGTCTAGCGGCGAACGCGTTGTCATAGAACAACCATTCTTTTATAAGTACATATAAGTACATAAAACAACATTTGTGTTTAATACAAGCGGAACCCACATATGTGGTATTTTTCCACAGTACGTTAACTAAAATCCTTTCTTCCAAATAATGTTGTTGGTAAACTGATAACTTTATAAGTTGCAATATATTTGTAATAGCATTTTTGTCGTGTGCAGATAGACGAATGCCCCTCCAACTGCGGATCGGTTATCAATTCTCTTACCTGCTTATTCCGGCTTAGTCGGTTCAGCGCTGTGCCGTGGAGCGCACGTGTTTTGTTCTTTAATCAAACATGGTGACGATTTTACGCGTGTCTTAATATTTTAATTCTGTAGTAATACTAGAATCGGTTGACCATCAGAGACATTTAGTAGTAACAGCCCAGTGTAGCCACAACGAGTAATTTAAGTGATCCTTTACGATGCGTGCGCGGCGTCCGTCGGATATGTTCCGATGCCCATGTGTTTGATGTGAGAACAAGTTTTCCATTTGCGATATCCGCGTGGAATAGTAAAGTAGTGTGTATCATCAATTCTACTTACAATTTGCGAAATGGTGTTTGTGCGCTTTAGTTTTTTATGGATGGAAGAACAAAGAAGTAAGTAACATCAAAAAAACTTTACTTTTATTTAACTTTTTAAATCTTACAGGTATCATTACTGCTTAATAACAATTGTAAATGATTCAGTCAATAAAGGATAATTTAATTTCACATTCTTGTTTAGATGTGTCCCTACTTAGTCGTTTTCAGGATTAGCATTAAGTCATGTTCAACTCTAAGAATATAACATAGTACGGCATAGTATAGTGCAGTGTAGTAGATATATATTGTTGTTTTATTTTACTATAAGATATGAAAACATAAATAGAAGAAACGAATATAGTTTGATAAGAAAGCCGCGTGGCTCTCAGGTGTGCAGCACATGCTGCTATACCTTAAATCGATGGTTCGATCCCCAGTTATAGAAGGCATTTTTCTCAAATATAAAAATAACAGGTGTAATTTGGGTTGCATATATAAATTGTAACGAAATATGAGAGAAGTTGCAATACAACTGAAGGCAATAAGAGAAGTAAAAGAAAGTAAGTGTAGGAACGGAGAACAGAGAAATAGGAGAAGTAGAAGAAGGAATAGCCAGAGAAAAGAGTAGAAGGAAGAGAACAGAGTAGAGAAGAGGAGGAGATAGAAGAAAGAGCAACAGGAGTGGATCAGATTTTTAAATTTTTTGGCACGTGTCGTTATAAAACAGCCCACTGCTTCGATGCCTCCATTGCTCCCGGCCCATCCTACAGCTACGATGTCTCTGCGCTTCATCCCCGAAATTATCAGGCATATCAACAATTTTTATGGTGGGGGATCACCCTCGGAGAGAGGGATTTCCTTATAAGGACAATCCTTATAAGGTCTTGTTCAAATATTTCTAAGTTTTAAGTCATCTCAAGAGAGGGGACACTTAAAAATATTCTTACAAGTTCTGACCTGTGGCTGAAATGAAAGATGGAGTACACAAATCATACAGGATACCTTAACAATTTTTATAGTGGGGATCATCCCCTGAGAGAGGGAACTCTCCTAGAGACCTGTACCTGAAATGATAGAAGGGGGACATTCAAAGCATAAGACGTAATATTTCTTAACATTTCTTTATTAATAATAAAATACAAGTTTAGATTTTACAAGTCAACAAAATACATGTCGCCATATTGAAACAGGATTTACGACCTGCTTAGCCGCGCACTTATAAGCAAGTACCACTTAGTAAAGTTCTACCGGGATAAAGGAATTAGCAAATTGTCAATTTTCTACGTGATTGAAAATGGAAACAGATATACAGGGTGTTGCAAAATGAAAATTTAAAGTGCACACAAAAAACTCTAAACACGACAAACGTCGCTCGTTTTCACTCAACGATTAGGGAAACTAATATACAGGGTGTTACAAAAAGAAAATTCAAAGGGCAATGAGAAAAACCCTAAAAACAACAGTTAAAGCAAAATTTTCACGGACACAAAGAAAACATGAGTATACAGGGTGTTTTAGAAAGAAAATTTCTAGTTGAAACAAAGAACACTCAAAACTCACAAATACCGGCGATTTTGTACGTAGTGTTAAGAAAACTAATATACATTGTGTTACAAAAAGAAAACTTTAGAAACTACAAAGGGAGTTAATATTCACAACAAGAAGAGAGAAATTTACAAATAAACAACAATATTTTAATAGAAAATCCAAGATTTTACCAGAAAATCATCGGGAAATTGAGCAAAAAGATGGTACGAAAATAAAACACTAACATTTTAACATATTGTAAATGTATATTTATTAATTGATGCATCAACTGCATAAAGTAACCGACAGATGAAGTACGAGTATCATCATAAATTGATAGAATATCCGGCAGAAAACATTTAAATCAGCTGACGGCAAGCGACAGCGCGAAGCAATACAGTTGTTAGAGAGGATAAAAATAACTATTTTTCTTTTGTAAATATTAAGATGTACGGAAACTAGGAAAACGAAAAACTATTCAACGTACAAGATTTCACGCGGTCAACAAGAAACTTCTTAATTTAATGATGCTAAAGAATGTAAATCGATTTAAAACATTCACGTGTTCTACGATAAGATGGCTGAGCCGACGGCCGACGGCAAAGTGAGTGTGGATAAATATTGCCAATTTTAATAATCTTCAGATACTTTTTTAAAACAGTGTTTGTAGTAAACATGCTATCTACAATGTGTTTGTAATTTGCAAGATGATACATACAAATTTCATATCACTCAAATAGAATAATCAATTTAAGTTAAACCGGCGTAAATTTCCGTAAAAAATTTATGGCACACATACCTATACATTGATGAGGGAATTTAATATCCTGGAATATATCCTATCAACTGAAAACAAACGCACAGATTAATGGACACTTATTTCTTATTTAAAGAGACCCTAAACGCCACAAACCATTAAACAAAACAGGCACACATGATCATTGCGAATATTTTGCTAATGGTCGAAAAAGTACACGACGATTAAGCCAATTAAAACTCCAAATCGCATGGCGATTAGAGAGACATGTTCGCGGACCACGCGGTGAAACGACTGCAGTGTGCGCTTCGTTTAGCCAGGTACAAGGCTGGTACGTAGCGATAATACGTGTCAGCCGAACAAAACAAGTTGTTTATACACAAACGTACTGATAAACTCGTAGTTGAAAAAACCAAACTAAAATTTCACAACGTTGAAATAACCGACATACAAGTTATATGAACAGAACCCGATGACCAAACAAGAATCATTAGTTAAGACGCAATCATGATATTTATTTCAAGCGCAGTAATTATTTATTTCAAACGTAATTATCAATTTCTAGAATTCATTGTCTCAAAGTCACCTAATTGCGCATTTCCTGTTTCGTTGCGCATCTTCTCTTCATATTTATTTAAAACGCATATTAGAGCCATATAAATAGAGCGCAGACCTAGACCTAAGCGATTATTGTATCATCCAAGTTCGTTGAATAAACAAGTGAAAGTTAACAAGTTCTTCTGAATCGATCATCAAGAACCCACTTAACAAATCCTAAGAAAACCAACCAAAGTGAATCAAAGTCTAAACCCAATTCTAATCCGCGATCGCGATTCGAACCAATAAATAAATAAATTATATTTAATAACTCGTGAGTCGATAACGAAATCGTTAATATAAAACCGCTCGACGCAAACGGGGAATATAATTTACACGAAATCTACTTTCAATATTTCTTGGCATAAGAAAAGAATTTATTGGCATTGGGATGTAATGAGATTGAGAAAACAGGAATTTAATTTTCCATTATGAAAAATATTATGAAAGTTATTGAGCCGCCAAGTTCACGTACAAACGCGAAAAAATACAAATACTTCATGATAAAGGGAGAAAAAGTCACGTTTTAATGCAAATTATCGCGGGTTGCAGCTCGAATTCCTGCAAGAAGCAAACACCAAGGGACGGAGAATTTAATTCTGCATCTCTAGACGCCGCGCTGAAATTACTAAGCCGCCAAAATCACGTGCAAACGCAAAAAATACAAATATTTCACAAAAAAGGGTTGAAAAATACACATTTTTGCGGGTTGCAGGCCGAATTCCTGCAACAGTTAAATACCACCCGACGGACAATTTAATTCCACATCTCTAGACATCACGCTGAAGCTACTACGCCCTTAGGTCTCGTGCAAACCCAAAAAAAACACAAATATATCAAGAAAAAGGGTTGTAAAATTACACTTGTATGCAAATTTTCGCAGGTTGCAGGTAGAATTCCTGCAACAATTAAATACCACCTAACGGAGGATTTAATTCCGCACCTCTAGACGCCACGATGGAGTTTCTACGCCGCCTAGGTCACGAGCAAACCCGAAAAAACACAAACATTTCACGAAAAAGCGTTAAAAAAATTAATCTTATATGCAAATTTTCGCGTGTTGCAGAACGAATTCCTGCAACAATTAAATACCACCTAACGGAGAATTTAATTCCGCACCTCTAGACGCCACGATGGAGTTTCTACGCCGCCTAGGTCACGAGCAAACCCGAAAAACACAAACATTTCACGAAAAAGCGTTAAAAAAATTAATCTTATATGCAAATTTTCGCGTGTTGCAGAACGAATTCCTGCAACAATTAAATACCACCTAACGGAGAATTTAATTCCGCACCTCTAGACGCCACGATGGAGTTTCTACGCCGCCTAGGTCACGAGCAAACCCGAAAAAACACAAACATTTCACGAAAAAGCGTTAAAAAATTAATCTTATATGCAAATTTTCGCGTGTTGCAGAACGAATTCCTGCAACAATTAAATACCACCTAACGGAGAATTTAATTCCGCACCTCTAGACGCCACGATGAAGTTTCTACGCCGCCTAGGTCACGAGCAAACCCGAAAAAACACAAACATTTCACAAAAAAGCGGTAAAAAATAAATCTTATATGCAAATTTTCGCGTGTTGCAGAACGAATTCCTGCAACAATTAAATACCACCTAACGGAGAATTTAATTCTGCACCTCTAGACGCCACGATGGAGTTTCTACGCCGCCTAGGTCACGAGCAAACCCGAAAAAACCAAACATTTCACGAAAAAGCTTTAAAAAATTAATCTTATATGCAAATTTTCGCGTGTTGCAGAACGAATTCCTGCAACAATTAAATACCACCTAACGGAGAATTTAATTCCGCACCTCTAGACGCCACGATGGAGTTTCTACGCCGCCTAGGTCACGAGCAAACCCGCAAAAACACAAACATTTCACGAAAAAGCTTTAAAAAATTAATCTTATATGCAAATTTTCGCGTGTTGCAGAACGAATTCCTGCAACAATTAAATACCACCTAACGGAGAATTTAATTCCGCACCTCTAGACGCCACGATGAAGTTTCTACGCCGCCTAGGTCACGAGCAAACCCGAAAAAACACAAACATTTCACAAAAAAGCTTTAAAAAAATTAATCTTATATGCAAATTTTCGCGTGTTGCAGAACGAATTCCTGCAACAATTAAATACCACCTAACGGAGAATTTAATTCCGCACCTCTAGACGCCACGATGGAGTTTCTACGCCGCCTAGGTCACGAGCAAACCCGCAAAAACACAAACATTTCACGAAAAGCATTAAAAAATTAATCTTATATGCAAATTTTCGAGTGTTGCAGAACGAATTCCTGCAACAATTAAATACCACCTAACGGAGAATTTAATTGCGCACCTCTAGACGCCACGATGAAGTTTCTACGCCACCTAGGTCACGAGCAAACCCGAAAAAACACAAACATTTCACGAAAAAGCGTTAAAAAATTAACCTTATATGCAAATTTTCGCGTGTTGCAGGACGAATTCCTGCAACAATTAATTACCACCCAACGGAGAATTTAATTCCGCACCTCTAGACGCCACGATGGAGTTTCTACGCCGCCTAGGTCACGAGCAAACCCGAAAAAACACAAACATTTCACGAAAAAGCGTTACAAAATTTATCTTATATGCAAATTTTCGAGTGTTGCGTGTGGAATTCCTTTAACAAATAAATACCACCCAATGAAGACTTTAATTCCGCATCTCTGAACGTCACGCTGGAGTTACTACGTCGCCTAGGTCACGAGCAAACCCGAAAAAAACACAAACATTTCACAAAAAAGCGTTACAAAATTAATCTTATATGCAAATTTTCGAGGGTTGCGGGTCGAATTCCTGCAACAATTAAATACCACCCGACGGAGAATTTAATTTCGCATCTCTAGACCTCAAGCTGAAGTTACTACGCCGTCTGGATCGCGTGCAAACCCGAAAAAACACAAATATACATTTTCCAACACATGGCTTGAAAAAATCGAAGAATGCGCCAACGTTCGCGATCATTTTGAGATACGTAATGAGGCAATGAATTTGTCGCGTAAATTAAAATGAAATAAATTATTGAATTAAAAACTTACGAATTATGCGCATCAGTCACCAAGGCACAGCAAGTGCTGAAATTAAAAGAAAAGAAGTTGAAACATTTCATAAGATTTAACAATAATATATTCATACATCACAAAAAAATACGATGTGTGTGGTTGAATTAAAAGTTACTTACACAAGGATAATGATGAATAAATCTACATTGGGACCATCCTATATCCGACTCATTTCGTGACCGACACCGAACCTTGTAACTTGCATAAGTATGCATACGAAACGCAATCAAATATCTTCCACTTTTGTACAATAATGTAAATTAAATTGTCGATTGATGATCGAATAAAATGCAAATTTAGAAAGCAGAAGTCCGAACAAACTATACGAATCGCGCAAAACACGTCTAAACCTACCAGCGAACGGTACGAAACTGGCTGCAAACAAATTGATAGCGCAAGCCGTAGCCGAGCAAACAACGACGCGACAATTAACAATAAGAAAGTAAGGGATGCGCAAATCTAGTGCGTCGATGGCACGCGACCTTGTGCGCGAATGGCAATAGGCACAATACATGTGATGTAAACTAAACTAGAATATGCTGCACGCGGCGTGAGGAGATTGCAACGACAACACTCGTGAATCTCATGCAATGCATTCCACGCGGCGAAAGCGATAAGAAAGTAAATTGTGTTCAAAACAAACACAATTCTGGTGCCGAATGCCCACGTTTGCTGATAAATATGGAAATAAACAATACAATTCTATTTTACGATTTTTATTTCATACTAGTGCCTTTATGAATGATACAAGTAGTAGTCCCATAATTTAGATTATTAAATTATTGGAAGATTTTCCAAAAAAATCTGGGAAAAACACGTAAAATCTCTCCTCTTTGCACTTTTAGCGACTATTTTTGAACTTAATATATTTTATTATCTTGTTCTATAAAAAAATTATAGAACAAGTTATATAAAAAGCTATAAAAAAGTTTTATAATCCACGAAGGTAGCGGTAGGGGTGACGGATAGAAGTGACTCGCATTCAGGATACCGTACAAAAGTAGTGGTAGAAGTGACTCCCATTCTCTATTAGCTAAGCTGGTTAAATTGGAAATCTAAGAGATGAAATAATTCATAAGGACAAATGGGAACTAAAAGCGCTAGCGACCAGCCGATCGAAGATTATGAAAGTTTTGAAGCAGAAAAGAATGTGCAAATAGTATGCATGCAGCATGCAGCGCGAGCTCACACGAGTGCCACCAACAGACACATGCACCTGTCTTAATATTATTCAATTTTGTGCATCCTAGCGCAATCTACGCTCTATTCGGAGAGTTTTAGATAAAATGCGTGTTGTGTAAGGTCTCATACGGTCACTAGTTTTATACCTACAATAATATTTGATTTTAGGAATAATTTGAATAAATACCAAGCCAATTTACTTTCCGCGCTAAATATTCGTCATTATATTGCACTGTATTCAATTAAATATTATTCTAAATAAAAATATACAGCTTGTAGGTGAATAAATTTGACTGCGACCGAAAATTATTTCGAATGTGATAATCAGGAATGATAAACAGTATTCGATAATGCAACATATTTAATTTCAAGAAAGGAACAATCTGCGGTCCGTCGGCAAGTATTCCTTAGTCACGTGCCGGCGAAAGTACTACTAAATACGAATCCAGCGGAAATAATATATTAAAATGTTGATTACCTGTGATAATACTCCGATTAGTAAAATTATTCAAGCGGTTCTATCTTCTGCGGATGACGAATATAATTTGCATAAATTGATGAACACAAAACACCCACGAAACATTAAATCTTTGCGGACCAAACGCGACCGCATAGGGCAATCACTGAACACCGAATATAACACGCGCGATTCACGGAATTTAAAATCTCAAGAAATGCTACGAATCAAGAGAATGAACCGCACGCCAGTCGACCGGCGATAAGACTGGAATGCGCGTAATGTAAACACTGCGAGCGGCGTAGAATAGCAACAACAACAAATCAACCAAGTTCAATATTCTAATAGAATAAATGACACAATTAAATGCAACTAAATTAAATTATAGATCCACTACTGTCGCAAAATGTATCAAATTTAATAAATCGCAATGTTTCCTGTTTCGCTTTTAAAGAAAAAAAACGCAATGATGCAATGCTATTCTTAGTTCTTATTTGAATATTCTATTCATGAATAAACTTACATTAGAATTTTAAACTGCTACAGTTTATGTATAATTCTGAAAGAACAATAAAACGATTCGATTTTTGTATGTAAACAAGTTTATCTCTTGCGCGAAATCGCGTGATCTCACACCGACACGATGTGCACATACTACCACAAACAAATCATCTTTAATGCAAATAAATGCATCCTAGTGCCACCTCTGCCCGAATTATTGACCTATATTTAAATATGCAGTTTAATATGAATGCGATCATAATATTCAATCAAAGAATATTTGTCGCGTAAAATTAAATAATAAATTAATGAAAAATTAAAATTCGATTTGCGTAATTATGATTTCTTATGCGGACAGAGTGTCAGATTTTACATCAAATATTTAAGTGATATCTGCTGATGATAAAAATGTTTTGCTGATGATGATTTTTATAATAAACTATTACACCTAATGTAAAATTGTTAGTTATATTCATGATTTGAGAATTGAAGAATACTTGCTTAAATTCAACGATGTGATATCTGCAAACTTATCTCTTGTACGAAATCGCGTGGTCGCACACGAACACGGTGTGCACTCACTACCACCGACAAGCAATATTTAATGCAAAAACGTGCATCGTAGTGCCATCTAACCTACAATTAAGCCTAAAGGGACCTCCTAAGGATGAGAAACAACATGTATCTGATTGACCAAGCGACCGACAACGTCCCACAATAACCGATAATAAAACCGCAGCACTCTTGTAATTTGAAATATAAACATTAAACTAAAAGAGATAAATAGGTACAAATCGCAGAGACTATTCAACGAACTATTCTCTATGAGATAGGCTAGTTAAAGGGGAAATCTGAGAGATAAAATTTTCATTTTTAAAAGAAAATTGCCAAGGAGGGCGTGCTTGATACTTTTTTTCGACGATTTTTGATAATTCATATCTCTTAAACTAAAAGAGGTAGCTACCAACGAATTGTTGATTATGAAAGATTGAAAGATTCTCTATCAGATAAAAATATAAAATAATTATATTTCCTACAGTAAAAGGTCGAAAAACGCGACTAAAAGTGCTAAAAAGTGACATTTTGCAATTTTTGTCCATTTTATTCAATCGCGAATATCTCGTAAACTAAAAGAGATAATTAAGATCTGATCGCAGCGTCTTAATCTACGGACCAATCTCTATCAGATAGGATAGTTAAAACGGAAATCTGAGAGATGAAATTTTCATTCTTAAGAAAAAAATTGCCAAGGGGGGGTGCTTGATACTTTTTTTCGACGATTTTCAAAAATTCATATCTCTTAAACTAAAAGAGATAGCTACCAACGAATTGTTGATTATGAAAGATTGGAAAATTCTCTATCAGATAAAAATATAAAATAATTATATTTCCTACAGTAAAAGGTCGAAAACGCGACTAAAAGTGCTAAAAGTGACATTTTGCAATTTTGCCTATTTTATTCAATCGCGAATATCTCGTAAACTAAAAGAGATAATTAAGATCTGATCGCAGCGTCTTAATCTACGGACCAATCTCTATCAGATAGGATAGTTAAAACGGAAATCTGAGAGATGAAATTTTAATTCTTAAGAAAAAATTGCCAAGGGGGGGTGCTTGATACTTTTTTTCGACGATTTTCAAAAATTCATATCTCTTAAACTAAAAGAGATAGCTACCAACGAATTGTTGATTATGAAAGATTGGAAAATTCTCTATCAGATAAAAATATAAAATAATTATATTTCCTACAGTAAAAGGTCGAAAAACGCGACTAAAAGTGCTAAAAAGTGACATTTTGCAATTTTTGCCTATTTTATTCAATCGCGAATATCTCGTAAACTAAAAGAGATAAATAAGATCTGATCGCAGCGTCTTAATCTACGGACCAATCTCTATCAGATAGGATAGTTAAAACGGAAATCTAAGAGATGAAATTTTAATCCTTAAGAAAAAATTGCCAAGGGGGGGTGCTTGATACTTTTTTTCGACGATTTTCAAAAATTCATATCTCTTAAACTAAAAGAGATAGCTACCAACGAATTGTTGATTATGAAAGATTGGAAAATTCTCTATCAGATAAAAATATAAAATAATTATATTTCCTACAGTAAAAGGTCGAAAAACGCGACTAAAAGTGCTAAAAAGTGACATTTTGCAATTTTTGCCTATTTTATTCAATCGCGAATATCTCGTAAACTAAAAGAGATAAATAAGATCTGATCGCAGCGTCTTAATCTACGGACCAATCTCTATCAGATAGGATAGTTAAAACGGAAATCTGAGAGATGAAATTTTAATCCTTAAGAAAAAATTGCCAAGGGGGGGTGCTTGATACTTTTTTTCGACGATTTTCAAAAATTCATATCTCTTAAACTAAAAGAGATAGCTACCAACGAATTGTTGATTATGAAAGATTGGAAAATTCTCTATCAGATAAAAATATAAAATAATTATATTTCCTACAGTAAAAGGTCGAAAAACGCGACTAAAAGTGCTAAAAAGTGACATTTTGCAATTTTTGCCTATTTTATTCAATCGCGAATATCTCGTAAACTAAAAGAGATAAATAAGATCTGATCGCAGCGTCTTAATCTACGGACCAATCTCTATCAGATAGGATAGTTAAAACGGAAATCTGAGAGATGAAATTTTAATCCTTAAGAAAAAATTGCCAAGGGGGGGTGCTTGATACTTTTTTTCGACGATTTTCAAAAATTCATATCTCTTAAACTAAAAGAGATAGCTACCAACGAATTGTTGATTATGAAAGATTGGAAAATTCTCTATCAGATAAAAATATAAAATAATTATATTTCCTACAGTAAAAGGTCGAAAAACGCGACTAAAAGTGCTAAAAAGTGACATTTTGCAATTTTTGCCTATTTTATTCAATCGCGAATATCTCGTAAACTAAAAGAGATAAATAAGATCTGATCGCAGCGTCTTAATCTACGGACCAATCTCTATCAGATAGGATAGTTAAAAGGAAATCTGAGAGATGAAATTTTAATTCTTAAGAAAAAATTGCCAAGGGGGGGTGCTTGATACTTTTTTTCGACGATTTTCAAAAATTCATATCTCTTAAACTAAAAGAGATAGCTACCAACGAATTGTTGATTATGAAAGATTGGAAAATTCTCTATCAGATAAAAATATAAAATAATTATATTTCCTACAGTAAAAGGTCGAAAAACGCGACTAAAAGTGCTAAAAAGTGACATTTTGCAATTTTTGCCCATTTTATTCAATCGCGAATATCTCGTAAACTAAAAGAGATAAATAAGATCTGATCGCAGCGTCTTAATCTACGGACCAATCTCTATCAGATAGGATAGTTAAAACGGAAATCTGAGAGATGAAATTTTAATCCTTAAGAAAAAATTGCCAAGGGGGGGTGCTTGATACTTTTTTTCGACGATTTTCAAAAATTCATATCTCTTAAACTAAAAGAGATAGCTACCAACGAATTGTTGATTATGAAAGATTGGAAAATTCTCTATCAGATAAAAATATAAAATAATTATATTTCCTACAGTAAAAGGTCGAAAAACGCGACTAAAAGTGCTAAAAAGTGACATTTTGCAATTTTTGCCTATTTTATTCAATCGCGAATATCTCGTAAACTAAAAGAGATAAATAAGATCTGATCGCAGCGTCTTAATCTACGGACCAATCTCTATCAGATAGGATAGTTAAAACGGAAATCTGAGAGATGAAATTTTAATTCTTAAGAAAAAATTGCCAAGGGGGGGTGCTTGATACTTTTTTTCGACGATTTTCAAAAATTCATATCTCTTAAACTAAAAGAGATAGCTACCAACGAATTGTTGATTATGAAAGATTGGAAAATTCTCTATCAGATAAAAATATAAAATAATTATATTTCCTACAGTAAAAGGTCGAAAAACGCGACTAAAAGTGCTAAAAAGTGACATTTTGCAATTTTTGCCTATTTTATTCAATCGCGAATATCTCGTAAACTAAAAGAGATAAATAAGATCTGATCGCAGCGTCTTAATCTACGGACCAATCTCTATCAGATAGGATAGTTAAAACGGAAATCTGAGAGATGAAATTTTAATCCTTAAGAAAAAATTGCCAAGGGGGGGTGCTTGATACTTTTTTTCGACGATTTTCAAAAATTCATATCTCTTAAACTAAAAGAGATAGCTACCAACGAATTGTTGATTATGAAAGATTGGAAAATTCTCTATCAGACAAAAATATAAAATAATTATATTTCCTACAGTAAAAGGTCGAAAAACGCGACTAAAAGTGCTAAAAAGTGACATTTTGCAATTTTTGCCTATTTTATTCAATCGCGAATATCTCGTAAACTAAAAGAGATAATTAAGATCCGATCGCAGCGTCTTAATCTACGGACCAATCTCTATCAGATAGGATAGTTAAAACGGAAATCTGAGAGATGAAATTTTAATTCTTAAGAAAAAATTGCCAAGGGGGGGTGCTTGATACTTTTTTTCGACGATTTTCAAAAATTCATATCTCTTAAACTAAAAGAGATAGCTACCAACGAATTGTTGATTATGAAAGATTGGAAAATTCTCTATCAGATAAAAATATAAAATAATTATATTTCCTACAGTAAAGGGTCGAAAAACGCGACTAAAAGTGCTAAAAAGTGACATTTTGCAATTTTTGCCAATTTTATTCAATCGCGAATATCTCGTAAACTAAAAGAGATAATTAAGATCTGATCGCAGCGTCTTAATCTACGGACCAATCTCTATCAGATAGGATAGTTAAAACGGAAATCTGAGAGATGAAATTTTCATTCTTAAGAAAAAATTGCCAAGGGGGGGTGCTTGATACTTTTTTTCGACGATTTTCAAAAATTCATATCTCTTAAACTAAAAGAGATATCTACCAACGAATTGTTGATTATGAAAGATTGGAAGATTCTCTATCAGATAAAAATATAAAATAATTATATTTCCTACAGTAAAGGGTCGAAAAACGCGACTAAAAGTGCTAAAAAGTGACATTTTGCAATTTTTGCCTATTTTATTCAATCGCGAATATCTCGTAAACTAAAAGAGATAATTAAGATCTGATCGCAGCGTCTTAATCTACGGACCAATCTCTATCAGATAGGATAGTTAAAACGGAAATCTGAGAGATGAAATTTTCATTCTTAAGAAAAAATTGCCAAGGGGGGGTGCTTGATACTTTTTTTCGACGATTTTTAAAAATTCATATCTCTTAAACTAAAAGAGATAGCTACCAACGAATTGTTGATTATGAAAGATTGGAATATTCTCTATCAGATAAAAATATAAAATATTTATATTTCCTACAATAAAAGGTCGAAAAACGCGACTAAAAGTGCTAAAAAGTGACATTTAGCCATTTTTGCCCATTTTATTCAATCGCGAATATCTCGTAAACTAAAACAGATAAATAAGATCTGATCGCAGCGTCTTAATCTACGGACCAATCTTTATCAGATAGGATAGTTAAAACCGAAATCTGAGAGATGAAATTTTAAGTCTTAAGAAAAAATTGCCAAGGGGGGGTGCTTGATACTTTTTTTCGACGATTTTCAATAATTAATATCTAGAAGAATTTAATTCCGCATCTCTAGATGCCACGCTGGAGTGACCTATGCGGCGGGTCACGAGCAAATGCGCATAAATACAAATATTTTTCTCGATAAAAGGTAAATAATTTAATCACGTTTTCAGGCACTTCACGTGTGATTTTTGAGGTCGGCGGGAGTGTATTAGGTAGAAAAATTACGCGCGATTTAAATACACAAACTACATGGCAATGGCGCACACGGTTCTCGAGATATTAAGCAATTTCCACAGCAAGTTTACGAAATTCTGAAAAAATAACCGATATTTGGAGGCTTCTCTAGCACTTCTTTTTTGATTTTCGGGGTCGGCGCATTATGCACAAAAGTTATATACGAAAATGATAAAGAATTTTATTACTTACATTCTCATCATGCTAGTATGGCTATCCTGGATGCTGCTCCGCTGCTATACGTCTGCTCGTACGCCTAAAACAACCGGAAATCAATGCTTCAACACACAAAAATGCAATTTTTGGGGCTTTCACTTATGTCAAACACAACAGATCCTTATGAAAATAATAAAGAATATACCGCTACAAATATGCAGTATTTAAAATCTGTGAACTGTATATAAACAGGAATATCTATAAACAAACATTACAACAACAACGTGACGTGTCGCGAGAAACGATTCGCATTAAAAACTGATCTTAAATGACCGTGGCGATTATAGACCCGCGTTGCATACGACAAAATAAAACAGGTAACATTCATACAAACACCGATACGTATTTCATTCCACTATGAAGAAATAAAGAATGCCAGTAAAGCATGCACATTCAACTCGTGAAAATGAATTTAATAATTGCAGAATTACATTACCAATAGGTAATACCATGTTTTATTGTGCCTTTACTCGTCAATATACGATGAGGGAAAACAACAAAACAAAACAATATGTTAATTTGTAATAATTTATTATATTACCTTTAAATGGATTGGTTTATTAAGCACTTCACTGGCATTCGGAGGAACAAACACTTAATTACGATACACGGTTACACGCTTGCAAAACAACTTGTTATTGTATACCCGCGTGCGGACTGCTACACGGCGCGAACGATACTAGCTAGATTGGTGCATGTATTATCTATAGAATGAAAAAAACAAGTTGGTGCGCCAAGTTCGCTAGCAGCGTCTATGTGCGTAAAGTATGCGCGATGAGTGCAGCGCGACAAATAAATGGCGACCTCTAGTGGCGACAGAATTAATCAAAGATAATGCAAAACCGCAGTTGTATCCATATCATAATCCAAACTTAAATAAATAAATACATATATTTCCTGCTTTTTGGATTCAATTGAAATTTCCGTCAGAAACACTTTCAATTTCAGGAATCCAACATCAAATAAATTATTGATTTGTTAGAATTACTGCTCTGTTAAAACATAAAAACATAAAATTTTAATAAATTGCAAAGAAATATTTTTTTGTATACCAAAAGATGAAATATTAAAAGTAATGAAAAAAGAATTAAATATACAGAGATGTTCGTAATGTCAGTCGTAGACGTGAAGCTATAACCTAATTGTTAACCTTAGAATTGCGGTTTTCGGCCCTACACAGCTCGCATAAATCGGACGAGGTATTCACAACAAAAAAGAAGAAAATAGTTGAAACACAACGTTGAGATTCATATGGGTTTGATTGAAGATGAGTTATCCGAAGTTAAGCAGCTCTGCGAACGCCGAATCCACGGTTCTAAGCTCGTCGCCTGTGTGCCATCCATGATCCGCGTCGAGATTAAAAAGACCGACTTCAAACACTTTATCGTGTGTATGCAATTTCCGCAAGACTACCCAAAAAGTTGCCTAATTATTGAACTCAAGAGCAAAACTCTATCCGAACGCCTGCTGCAGGGCCTATCAAATATCTGTGACCAGGAATGCAAAAAGTATCTGGGCAAGCCACAAATCTTGCCAGCACTTACCTTTCTTCACAATTTCATCAATGAAAATGCACTGTCCTGTTGCTACGATGAAATAAGCAGCATCAGAAAACTGCTGGCTGACGATAGGGATGAGTTCAAATTGAGGCAGAAGTCATCCTGTATACATCTAAAAGCATTCAACAAACAGTACTACTTGAGTGCTAAACTAGTTATACCTGATAATTACCCACAAACAGCGTTAAGGTTAGTTTACATTTGTATAATTATAAACATATTTTATTTATCATAATGTTTCAGTATTGAAAATGTGGATTCCAATTTTCCACCATCACTCACTTATCACATTGTTACGCAAGCAAAGGAACTTGCTAGGCAGTGTGTGGAACCCCCCTTAAGACCCAAAAAGAATGATCCACCGTTTAAAAAGTCGCCATCTTTGGAGAAAGCCTGCACATTTATGATCAACAGTGTGAAACACTTGCCTGATGAAAAATGTCAGTACTGCAAGGAACAGGGATTACCTCCAGATCCAGATGTAATAACATTGTTTACTTTCATTTCACTCTCACTATTTGTTTGCTTGTGTGCTTGCAGTTGATTGAAAGCAATCCGAGCGCGCCGAAACATGTCGAACGCGTGTATTGCGGCCATCTTTATCACCTGCAGTGTCTGCAAGAGTACATGGGCAAGCCGCCGTTCGGAAACAAACGCTGCCAGACATGCAACAAACTAATCTTTCATCACAAATGGTCGCTGAGCGATAAACTCGCCGAAGATCGATGGGCGCACGAACAAGCGCGCGAGCGTGAACTCAGCGAGGTGGAAGAGTTTTTTAAATAAATCCCCTGCGAAAACAAATGACAATGTGTCGTAATCGTTCAGACAAATTCGACAAGGCGCAAACATTGCCTTTTTATCATTTTATTTGTTATGATTGGCACACATTCTCATTTACAAAAACAAAACTAGTTTTTTTTTTTACGATTACGGCAATTCTTAAAGTTGTTTGTTTGTTAACCTTCTGTACTGTGTATGCATTAGTGATTTTCATTTTCGTTCTTATTTTCTTTTCATATAATATAATACAATAATAAATACAATCCTTCAGTATTTGAAACTGTGTACAAAAAAGGATGATTAAACAGACAATAGTTGAATATCTAAACGCCACGCGCATTTCTTTTTGTTTGGGTTTTCAATAGTTTTTTTTGATTGTACAAACACCTAAAAGTTGAACGAATCAAAATGAATACATCATGAATATATTAGTAGTACATATATCGTGTTATTTTCACTAACGCTTCATTCTAGAAAAGGGCTAATTTCATATCAAACACAATAAATTAATGGTGAAATCAAATCAAAAACACAACGAGTGTCCGTGTTCCAAAGTTGAGTTGCTGTGCTTGCAAAGCCCTCCTCTTTCTACGTCTGTCATACCGCAAACAATCAATGTGCATTTAGTGATTTTTCACATCGTCTTAAAAATCATTTTGCATTTCCATTTATATATATATTGACACAACGATTCGTAGCCTCGCGCGTTTACAATTCCATCGTTCGTACACTTAACTAAATAATCTTATATACAATGGTGAACTCTTCGACGTCGTTACACACGAGTAAAAAAAATATTTTTAAAATAGAGAATCCGGTCTGTCCTAACTGCACACTAGGTAAATCTCTAGTTTTTTTTCTTTTTGCTTAAACGGCCATTATGAGCAATACAATAAATAATGCGTAGTTGTAGTTGCCGTCGATTATATATCATCCAGCGCGAAAAATATCCCATCCTAACGCAATCTTTATACAATATCAAAGTAATGAGATTGAATCAAATCGTACGAATTCGTTGTATGTTTTTTGTGTAAATCCAGCATGCCTTCCAACGTTCTGCCATTTTGGTTTCGATTTGTTAATATATCAATCTACTTATCAATTATGAATTTAGTTAACATCGCTTCGTCGTTGAATGAGAGTCGCAAGTTGCAGGCGAAACAATGAGATCGAATCCAGAGTCGACAAAGAGCTTGTTGATCAAAGAGTTATATTACTGCCGATGTTTGCGAGCGCAACCAATACAAAAATGTATATATTTAGTTTAATTTGATAGTGTCTCCTTTGTTGTAGCCTACCTAATAATAGTATTTTAATATAGTTCATTTGTGCTAAGTACATCGTTTAGTAATTATTATTTTTCTTGTCAATTTCATTCGTTAAAGTTATAAACATTATTATTAGTTATTCATAGAATCTCTATATTTCTTGGTATCTTTAAATTTGTTCATATAATAATCTGCATATCTTCATTACCTTAGTTAAATATTAATTCGTTAATTAACCAACTGCCTGCTATGAATGGATGTACATTGGTATCGTTTATTTTCTTGTTAGTTTAAAATGCAATATGCTCTCGCGTTAAATACGTTCAATTTCCATATTTTATTAGAATAATTTATTGTTTTGAAAACGTGTTCGTTATCGAGTTCAATTCTGCAACAGGCGCGTAATAAGCACGCAGGAACTAATACAAGATATTTACTTATGCCTCCCTTAAATTTAGATCATTTTACTTCGTATTTAATAAATTGGAAAAAGTTATTAATTATTAGTCTCATTGAACGATATCACAATTTTAATATTGCAATAATTTTCATTTTGATCATGCCATCCTGCCACCGCTTCGCACACTACGACCCACCCGCCAAGATTGCCCGCCATTTTGTAATTCTGTTCAATGCTAGTGTGTTCGTTATTTATAAGAATTCTCATTAATTTGGTTACGCTTTAAACTTAAACTTAATATGTTACATCGCTAGATATGCTTTCGTCAATTGTATCAATTGTATCCGCGTCGATGTCGTGTAAAATCCCATTCGCGTCGTCCCCCACTGCCCCTCGTCGTGCCCTTCGTCGTTCTGCCGAAATAATTTAGAAAAGACCCCGTTGACTAGAATTTAAATAGTAATTAATTAATTAGTGTTACCTTTACATTTATACATATCTGCCTAAAGAATGCGTCCGCGTTCCGTGCGTGTCCAGGAAACGTCATTTTTTCTTTTCTTTGTTTTTAGTTTAGCTTCACTTAGCGCACTAGTATTATAATTATAAACGATTATTGTACCATCAACAAATGGTATGTGCGTATTCCACATCATAGTGACATTTTCTTGTTAGCAATTTGCATGATTAAGTCATAACGTAACGAATAAAATAATTCAACGTGTTTTGTTTTAGCTTTTCGTCTGCTTTGTACGGAAGGCACATACTACATGTTGTTGTTGCATTCAATTATTATTGTTCTTGAAATTCATTATTTCAGCCCGCCCCAAGTGAAATGCTTTGGGTGAGTGAGTGAGGTGTAGCACTAGCTGCATTCCCAAAATCGCGGCCATGTTTTTTGTTTTTGTTTTATAAACTAGGAAGACTGTTGCAAATCCTTAGCAAAGCACGTCTCGAAATGGATAGCTCACGACCGTTTTGTACGTGCATCTCGATTTTTCGACCACCATTTGTTTGATAGATGCTAGTTTGATTGTAGCGTGCCGCACACAACCATCGCCGCCATCTTGAACCTGGCGCCGAATTCGACATCAAAACGCTACGAATTGTATTATCGTGTGGTGGTGGTGGTTTTGTTACAATTGTGTATGTGTGAGTGTATGTGTGTGGTGGTGGTGGCTACGGATCGATGGATGCTGGCGCTTTATCAGGTGTTATCAGGAATGTGGACCGACAGCGTCGACCGTCGACGTGGTGCGTGCGCTGCGCTCAGCCGGCGTTCCGTACGTTTTCAGTCTTGTTGTGGCCCGACAGCGCCGCCTCGTCGCGGCCGCCGCCGCCGCCGCGAGCAGCGTCAGCGACCGCGCGATTTGATTGTTTGCGATTATTGTCATCGGCGTGGGTCTGGTCTGGGGCGGTGGGCGCTGCGGCGGTCGCCATGCCGTCGTATCCAACCGTACGCGTCGCATTGTCATCACAATCGAGATTATAACTGCAGCAAAGCACTCCGTCCTGCGAACAAGTGCAAAACAGAACGCGAACCAAGCGCGCTTTTAGTCGAAAAGTTGTCAACGCCGTTCGGGCAACACGCTCGCACTCCCTCCTGGAGGAGGACTCCCTCTCTTGTGGGTCTTTAACGCGGGTGCAACTCTGAAAATGCGCCAACTCAAGAGGGGGTGCAAGTTGTTGCAGCGCCAAAAGTTCAACAGCTAAGAGAGGTGCTTAATAATTTAGCGACGCAAGTTCGCAGGAAGTTTTTCACTCACAAGACGAGTCTTGCCAACTTGCGCCGCGAAAGAAAGAAAATGAAATTACTGTGATATTTGGTGCACACGTCTAATCGTTAACGTGATTGCTCATGTTTCACATCGGAAATATTGCCCCCGGTGAACTTATCCAATCATTCATCGACAGACAGAGTCAATGCAATGAGAAAGTTATGCACATGCCACATTCAAACCATTAGCCAGTCACAATCACGTCGATTACACACACGAAAAAAGGTGGAAAATGCCATCTAACTAAGTTACCAACTAACTACTACCAAAGGAGAGGTGTGTGAACATGCAATCGTCAAAAAGAAAAATAAATTACGGCAATACACATCTATAGAAGTGCTGTTTGTGTTGAGTTCATAATAGAATTAAGAAAACTCTTCTTGAATTGAATATGTTTGTATATAGGTATGTGTGACGAATTGATGTTTGCGTCTACAAAATGTTTCGATAACAAAAATCAGGCACAAATCAATTTCTGGCAGGCACTACTAGAGGTGTGTATAGTTTTTTTTTTTGAATGAATTGATTGCATTTTTGCGGTTTTTTTCTTTTTGGTTTGATTGATTGATTTGTGTAGTTAGAGTGATGTGTTTACCGATGCACACAACACGCGACATTGCTCACCAGTTGGGCGCAGAACGGCACCTGCAAGGGAAGGCAGTGTTAATTGTTAGTATTTGCCTAGCGTAGCCCGCCAGCCTCTAGCACTACCCAGAAGGCTAGCCATGCTGATGAGGTTGTATGTACGCTGAAAATTTCCACAACAATCATGCTCCTACCACGGCGGCCATCTTATACAACACGCCCGCCATTGCACGGAAGATCATTCTTGTGAAAATCCCCACATCAAAAGTAAACCATGATATCGCATAATAATTTCTCAAAATAGAACAAAATAATGAATGACCCCCAAGTCAGGGTTCTAAAAAAACCGGCCTCGTCTGATCGTTCACTCCCTCACTCTCTAAAGCGCTATGAATGCACAAGCATACGTCATTAATATATTAATCGATTGATTAGTTGATGAATGAGTACGCTGGCATGAGCTGGTGGTCCGTACCGTACCTGTTCGACGGGCGTCGCAAATCGTCCGCGAGAGGCATGCGAAAGATGCGCGCTGTAATGGCGCGAGTCACTCACCTGGCAATTGCACACGGAGCACGGATCGTTCACGTCGGAGAACTGCGCGCCCGACTCGTACTTGACGCCATTGTACGGACAGGGTTCACCTGTGCGCGTGCCATTACCACTCGGGCATATCTCGGCAGCGCACCGCGGGCAACAGTCACCCGGGTCCTGGATGGGATTGGCGCACGGCAGCAGTGGACACTTTAGGTCCCAGCAGTCCACCTCGCCGTTGAGGCATTCACACGTCTGACACTGGTACGACCACTTCTCGCCATGCATGAGCACTACCTGCGGGAACTCCTGATGGTTGCACGCCAAAGCCGGATCGCACTGTGGGCAGCATTTATCACGCGCAGCGCTCGGCAGCGAACAATTACAAGCGGGTTCAACACAGCGCATCACACCGTTGATGCAAGTGCATCGCTCGCAGGGCCTGCCTGGAGGTGCGAGCGTCGTGCCGTTCGCCACCTCCGTGCCCTGGAATACACAACTATGGCAACTCGGATGCGTGTCATCGCCGCACTCGCACTTGTAGCCGCCTTTGTCATTACTGCACGTCGCTGACGGATGGCACGTGTGCAGATTCTCGGCGCATTCGTTCACGTCTACGGAAAAGACACAAAAGATAACACACGTGTGTCTATCGCATCGTAAACAACACCTACCATCACACAGAGTGCCCAGAATATTGTCTATAAACGTGCTCTTGTAGCCTTTCTTGCAGGCACAGTAATACCACCCAATCATATTGACACACACCGACGAATTGGTGCAGCGATGAAGGTTGCTGGCGCATTCATCGACGTCGCGTTCGCAACTGGTACCCATGTATCCATGGCGGCAGGAACACACGTTCGGTTTCACACACATTCCTCCATTCAGGCACCTCTGAGTGCATACAGCTATATCCAAACCAACAAACATTAACAAAACCCCACAAAATTTGTTTGAAAAAAAAACTTACGTCTACACTTGTAGCCATCGCCTGTATAACCAGGCCGGCACACACAGTGATAACTACCCTGCGTGTTAATACAATCCGCATTCGGGTCACAGTTGTGTTCACCCGTACTGCACTCGTCCAATTCGGCGCAATTAAACTTGTCCACCCGTCTATAACCGGGCAGGCATTCACATATATAGGAACCTTTAGTATTTACACATTTTGTATTCAGATGACAGTGGTGCCCTTCCAGCCCGCCCTCCTGCTGACACTCGTCGATATCTAAACAACCACCACACACATTTACCAACAAAGATCTCCTTGGTGTGATGCGCAGGCAAGGGCAATCACAGCATTTACATAAGTACAAATGTTTAGCACAAAATGGCGTCGGAAATCTGCATAATATTAGTAGGCATCATGTTCATCACCCTTGCCTGCATAATGAATTCATGCGAGAGATGAGATGTTCGTGCATGTAAATGAAATGTAAATTAGTTACCACTGCAAGTGTGTCCGTCGCCCTGGAAGCCTTGATCGCAATGACAAGCGTAAGTCGTTTGCAGATTCAAGCAGGAGGCATTAGCGTGACAAGTGTGTCCCTTGGCGCAGTAATCTGCCCCTGTTGTTGAATAAATGAAGAGAGCGCCGGAGCGTTAGTAGGAGTTAACGTTAGTGTGAAGCGCACGCGCGTTTATGCATAAGATTAGTCATGTTTCGGATTAATTTGCGTCAAAAAAAAAAAGGTTACACAGTTTATGTTGGGCGTACCTGGGCAAAACTTGCAGCACTCGCCAGGCATCGAGAGCTGCTGGTCGGGTAGACACGTCAGCTTGGGACATTGCTTCAGCGGGTCCATTTTGAAACACATCATGCTGCCATCTTCGCATGTACACTGCGAGCATTGTTTAACAACGACCTGATCGCCGTGATCATAGAATACACCTCTAAATAGGCAGTGCCCTTAAATCAAAACAAGAAACAAATTGTGTTAAATCACTTGCGCATGCGCAGTAAATCCTACTTACGTAAGCAACTTTGACAGCATTCGCCTGTTTTATTCACTGGTTTCTTGCACGTGAGTATCGGACACTCCACCGGACGACATTGCACGTCACCATGCTGAACAAACAAAAAAATATTGAAATAAAAGTTGATTTTGATGATTTTTTATTATAGCTTACCACACAGGTACACAGGTCGCAGTCCTGCTCCCAGGTGGCCCCATCCGGATGCAGCGTGTTGTTCACCCAGCAGGACTTGGGACAATCGCACTCCTCCACCTTGCCGATGCGCCCCTCGGCAGCGACCAACTGCAAAACAGAGAATTATATACAATCAAAACATTGTACTGAACGCATAAGGGACGTTACATGGTAGTCCATATACCCTTTCGGAAAGTTCCTCAAGATGCCGCGTCAGCTCCAGCACGGTGTTCTGCAGCAGCGAGAACTGGCCGCACGTCGGGCAGGTGGAGTCCAGGCTCGGGCAGAGGGAGAGGTAGCCATGCGGTCCGGTTATCAGTCGCACGTCCTGCATCGCGCCCTGCAAACGCAAACAGGAATGATTAATGGAACAAGTTCGTTGACATCAACAGCGTTGGTGTGTGTGCGTGTGGGGGTAGATGGTAAACGTGTTAGTTACGAGGGTAATTACTCGCTTTTCCAAGCAATTAGAAAACCTGCCCGCCGCAGAAAAGCGGTTAATTCATCAAGCAATTTGTCACGGACATACACATTGGTCAAGCGGATTGGATTAATATCAACGCTTTCCATTGAAAAACATTTTGTATGCGCGTATAAAAAATGCAAATTTATGCATTTCGCGTGCATTTCCCTAATTGAAACATTTTCCGTTTACCTTGAATTGATAATGCCTATTGCGTTGACCAAGCCAGAGCTGTGCGGGTTTGGTGAAGTTCTGTTGCGGCGGGCCGTTCTGCAGAAGACGCTTGTAGAGGCGATGGCAGTCGACGAGCAGCTCGACCTGCGACCCGCTCACCGACAGGATGACGTGATGCCAGACGTCGTCCGCCAGCCGATAAGGAAACGTTTCGACGTTGACGGTGCCGTCGCGTCGTGACGTATAATGCAGCCGGATTTCATTGCGACGCCCGCTCGACTGCAGCTCCAGGTAGCGGTTGATATCGTCGGCGAAGCTGACAATCGCCGCCGTGTTGCCGCTCTCCTGCTTGACGAACGCCGAGATCATGAACTCGGGACTGCGACCGATCAATTCGGTCACCTGATGGAAGGCCGCTGGTGGTAGCTTCAAACCTCTGTGGTCACCTACAGACAAAAATCACAAAATAATAAATTTAATTATGGTAATATGCGATAGTGGTATCGATTTTAATAGTGAATAGTGAATAGCTGGAAAAGTAATTAATGATGAATGAACTCGCAGTCATTCATTCGAAAATTCAATTTCATTATCATAAACGATAATGCGCGCAAGGTGGGTGAAGGTGTTGCGCCCTCCAGGGAGACGTCGTTACACCGTAATCTAAGAATTTACGACTTGGACGGGGTGCGGGGAAATGATTGCACCTCGGCGAGCGTGTGCATCGCACGACCTCATTACGCCAGCATTAAGCGAAAGTAGCAAATACTAAAAGATTAATAGTTAAAAACACGTGAAAATCGATATGGTGATGATTAAAATTCAATTCTCTGTCAGAAACTATTTTTCTACTGCAATTAAGGGCAAAATATCAACAAAAAAATTAAATCCACAAAACACAAAAATTACAAAATTAATTTCTGCATAATATTTTATTTACCAATGATGTATATTTAATATTTCCGTAGATATTTCAAGTTTTAACTTATTTATTACACTCGTGAATATAAAGCATTGTTTTCCACTCTTGGTGCGTAATGCGGGTGATTCTCGAATGTGGCTACTGTTATTATTGACCAGTACGCTTGTAACGCGCTATAAAACTTTACGATTAGCAGCGTGGCGGCAAAATAATTAGCATGACGTCTAGACGCTGAAAACTGGCGCGCACAAAAGAGTAATCTCGTCACACACGCCTGATCGACTCATTTGAATCAATAGCGCTTATAGAAACTAATTTACGCCGAAAACGCATTGGATTATTAGGGTGTTACCTTGAAGTTTATAGGCAGGCTGGTACGGTAGGGGCCCTGGGATGATAGTGACCCCCGGCATTGTGGTGTTGTGCAATCCCAAGGCCCCCAGGAGGTCGATTGATCGTTCGGGGTGTTTGTTCGCCGCGTTTAGCACGTCGGGATCGTGGCCGGTCGCTGCAACAACACAAAAAAAAATGCAATTAGATCAAAAATCAGGGCAGATGTAGCACTACAAGATAATCCAGAGTGCTGATGTTGCATCACTCATTAAATATGATACTTTGTACTCGTACCAAATCACAGCAGGAAAAGTCATAAGAAAAGTCGTAAAATGTGACACGTCAAGCACGCGAATAAAAATTGATGCAACACTTGCAACTTTTTGTCTTCTCTATGCTTGGCATTTTCATATTTATATTATCGCATCTCATATGAGAGTAGAATAAATGATTAGATCCTAAGTCGACGCAGACAGGACGCCGACGAGGCTATTCATTCTTCCGCTATCCGTTCCGAATGTTGTGTTTGTAGTATTTACGATGTCGGGCCGCGGATGCGCCAGCCCGAGCGGCGCCTTTTCAACTCTCGCAGCCGATGCTGTTGCTGCTCAAGAACAAACCGAATTACTGAAACACTCAAATCGTCCGCGGCGCCGTAAATTTCGCAACTTTTCGCACAACTTCCTCACCACACACTACTCACTACTTTCCGATTAATAAAAGAACTGCAATGATTTAGTACTCATACTGCATTCGGATTTTTCGCCGCGGTGTGATTGAAGTTCTTTCATAATGCGCATTATCCTTGTTTAAATATTTAACGATTCGATAACGAAACTTTAGCGTTGTCGTAATCTCAACGCTTGTAAATCTAAATCTAAACGTTTGCCTTTTTGTTTCTCGCGTAGATTTTTATTCCCATTATTGTCGCATCTTTTTCACTTCAGGAAATAAACAAAAAGCGCTCGGAAAAGCATCAGATGCAGAAAAGAATAAAATTTTTGTCATTCCCGCATGATTTGTATTCCGTTTGCGTTGTGCAGTTTCAACGATTGAATATTATACAGGGTGTTAGGTTAAAACCCAAAATAAAACACGATTTAAATTCGATATTTACGAATTTAAACACATTGTATAAGATATTTTTGTGACTGTTATATAAGCAGAGAATTATTATTCCACTCGGAATAATAAAACATATTACGCAACGTTTCAGTTGCACTCGCCCGCAATTTTCCACTTAAAGGGTTGGAAAATAATTCAGTGCAAACTTTATCACACCGCATTTGAACTCCCAGTATACGTTTTGGAAATTTTATTGCAAGGGGAGCGCGCATAAAACACGACCGTAAATTAATTCTTTATCGCTCTGGAATGATCTACATATTTCGGTGGGTAGGTATTTTCGCAGGGTCAGTTTTAAATGAATTCGCAGACGGGGCGCTTATGCTACGCGAATTTATCGTCCGGGGGAGTCAAAGTCACGTCTTGCATTCGTGAATTTCCACCAGAGCAGTAATTCACCAAAGTTGTGTCTACGTGAAAGAAAGTAAAGTGCGGGTGCTAATTGCGTTTGTGTCCCTGTTTACGTTCGCCCTTCGAACGTAGGGCGACAGGGGTGGGCTAATGTGCTTTCACGCTTCGCGACGCTGGGAATTTTGGCAGGTGATGGCAACAATCAAACGGATATGCACTTCAGGAGTCACCAATTGTACAATGTTGAAACAAAAATTATGTAAGCATATTTATCTGCATGTTTTTGTAATAATTCTCAAGTTTTATTTTCTTACTTGTTGCTAGGATTTGAAATTTAAGCAATATATACATAGAGAGAAGCGAATAAAAATGACGTGTTTTCCGAACCGCACAGATTTCTCTCCCGCGCACGTATAGTTTTCAAGTGTGCGCCGCCGGCGACGACGACACGACGCGATAAATCGTCTGGCACTCCGCGCCGTTTCTAAAAGGTTCAAAAGCATCCGATTCGTCATTACTTCAACACCTTCGGCATCATCCGGCCCTCCCTCGCGTTCGTTTTAATTTCGTCCAGATGCGCCAGGTACCCGCACCGCGCCGCCAGCGGAAGCCAATATAAGTTATCGCAGACAACACACACACACACACACACAGAGAGAGAAAAAAAAAGGCGGTAGATTAATTAGCAGCGTCGAATACAGCGCGACACCTAAAATAAATAGTAAATAGTGTGATAACTCCATCGTCGCGCGCGCGCAGACAATTGTTGGATACACTCCAATCGAGAGAATCACGCCATGACACCGCACACACGGCGACATCTATTTTTAATTTTCAGAACTAATTAATTGAAGACCAGCGCGTGTCATTGGCAGTCGATGATTTCGCGAGTTAGAAACACAGGAAACACTGCAGCTGGCGGACGCAGGACGCAAATGGTCCCTTGAGTCCAAACTAATTTCACATCTCATCGCACACCTTATTGGCATTAGAGACGGTTAATTACGCAGTGGGAGAGTGAAAACCAAAATGTGCTTGGTGGGAAATTTAAGACTATTTGCAAATTAAATTACAATTTACTATCAAGGCAAGAAAAAGGTGTGTCATCATTTTCTTTTTCTTTTGTTTCCTTCGTGTTTAGAAGGTGTAAATAGTAATATATCTTCAGAAAAGACTATAAAACACAATGTGGTAGTAAAAATGAAGATTACACACGTAATTTTCATTAAATTCTGTTTTTTTTTATTGTTGGTGGTGGCAACCATCAAAATACAAACATTTTCGCTTTTTAATTAATAAATTACTTGTAAAAAAAGTAATTTTCGATAAAATAATTTATTTATAGTCAAGACATGAACTAAACTGCCATGAATCAATAGAAAATTCGATAAAAACGAAAAAATAAATTTTTTGATGTAAATATTTATAAGAAATGTAATTTCCGAATGCATTAGCCTGATGCAATATGCAATTGCAGACAGCGTGTGAGATCTCTCGCGTTTCCTTCCCTCGTGACCTCGTTTTCGTTTTAGAATTTCCATTACGCGCGTCCGTCATTCTTTTCGACTTTGACTTCGACACACACACACATGGGGGGCATTGTGTTAATTGTTCGCGGGCGGATTTTCAATTCGGCGTGTTTTCGACGAGTGCGCGCCTCCGGCAAAGGAGCACACGTAAGGAGGCGAAAGATAAAGATGCGGAAATCAATATCCATGCACAGAGAGCGGGTCACGAGCGGCGGCAGGCGGAGCCGAAAAGCCGCCCGCATTACAATTTTCAGCAACGCCGCCGCCACTACACTACTACAACCACCACCGCAGCCGTCGCGGGCGCAAAGAACAAATAAAAATAGGACAAACATCTGATTTGATTCAGAATGGCAACACTACACGTGATTGATCAGCAGGTTCACTTTCGCGACCTAATTTTCCACCGCTGAAAATTTACATATTCTAATGGTCTCGGTTGATTTATTTTTATTTCGTGCACTTTGTTTGTATTGTATGTGAGCATTAATTTCCCACTTTAAAGGTGTACAATGACATGCACTAAATGTGAGACTGAAGGAAAACTGATTTCCAACCGCTGATAGCGTGTGTTTTAGCCTTAATTGCAAAATTCAACTCCCGAAGAAAAATTAATTTTGTTTACGCTCGGCCCCCGAGTCCTTGACTCTTGCAATTAAATGAGATAATGCATCGAGATGAAGACGAGGGTAATTTAATTGGCGTGTTTACATAATTCGCCAAATTGACAGCGAATGCCAGTGAGGAGTCGAATTATCGGCATCTTCCTGAAGCGCCGAAGAAAACATAATTAAATCGTTATCGCGGCGGGCGCGCAGAATGTCATTTGCGGCATTGTGCGCAATTATATGCGCCCCGCGCGAGAAACGAAAATCAAATCAATGTCAAATAGGTCAGGAGAGAAGCGCGAGCAGCAGCGGGATTTAAAGAGACGCGCTTACGTGAACACATCGACTTTAAATTCGATGTGTCGCGATGCGCGTTTCGATGAATCAGCTTAATTGCGCGCCGCCGCCGCCGCGAAGAAATGTGATGGTCTAAGGACAAACGCCGCTAATTTGTGGGTCAGATTACGCAATTTATTTCGAATGCAGCAACGCAATTTCGATACGCGCGCACATGTGCACATTGTGCAATACAATAGCGAAAAAAAAAACAGCGCCCGATGGAAATTTTAAGTAATACGGAAATTGTCTCTTTGCGTGCTGGCTTTTTATGACAATTCTATGTTTTATAGGTTTACGGTCCACAATCAATACCGGTGGTAATAGTATAACGCGATACGCGCACGCTAATAGAGCGGGCGGGCCGAAACAAGAAACAAGAGCGCCGACCAACGCGCGTCGATGTAAAACTATTCCGGCCTTATCTTGCTTAAATATTTATATTACACGTGAGTGCCAGCACGCCCCGCCGCGTGTTAATTATTCGTGTTGACTCTCGCCGCATTTTCAGATCTCCACCCGGCGATAATTATGACATCACAGATGAAAAGTTCATTATCAATATTTGCCACGGTTAAAAATACTCGTTTAACGTCATTCACAATTTATTTCTACACGAATTACCAACAAGAATCCTTCAAAACGTTGGAAATTAATTTTATTTCGTTAAAATTTACGATTTTCACTTCAATACCGGTATTTCGGTAGTTTTCAATTAAAATATCGGTATTACCGGGATTTATTAGACTTATAACTCATTTAACATTATTCATAGTTTATTTTTACTAAAATTATGTCGAAAAACTGTTTTTTGTCTTCATAAAGAAGAAAAATAATTTCATGAGAGTAAAAGTTACAAGAAAATCAGAAAAATTAGGTTTTTAGTTCAATACCGGTATTTTTTCTACTCAAAATATCGGTATAACGGTAATACCGGTATTTATTAAACCAAAAATACTCATTTAACTTTATTCATAGTTGATTTTTACTCAAATTATATCAAAAAACTTATTTTTTGTCTTCAAAAAGTAAAAAATAATTTTATTAAATTAAAAATAGCCAAAAATAGCCAAAAATAAAGTTTTTAGTGCAATACCGGTATTTTTTCTACTCAAAATATTGATATATCGATAATACCGGTATTTATGAAGCTTAAAAATACTCATTCAACATTACTCAGTTTATTTTTACTCAAATTATACCAAAAAACTGAATTTTTGTCTTCAAAAAGTAAAAAAATAGCAAAAAATGAGGTTTTTAGTGCAATACCGGTATTTTTTTTAAACAAAATATCGATATTTCAATAATACCGGTATTTATAAAATTAATTAATTAGATATATTTTAATTTTGTATGCGAAAAAAGCTAAATAAAAACAATTTTACTTTTTATAGAAAAAAATACCGGCATTTCACACCCTTAGACAGTTTTTGACATTTTTTCTACCCTCCCCCTGTATAATTAAACCCCCGTTCCCCTTTTCACACACCCCACACACAAATCACAATAGATAATAGATAATAACGCTCGAGAAACAAATATTTGCAATGTGCGGAAACATGGAACAATTAATTTGAAATAGCCCCGACCTCAGTGTAGCCGGTGACACCCCGGGGTGCTGATACTGGTGATACTGTGCGCTCGGAATTCACATTCCCCATCAGTGCACATTTCCGGGCCACCCCACAAAGATGCTCCGCTAATAAATCATTCGCTCGTGTATGCCTCATGGAATTTGCTTTGTGATCCTACAATATTGTTATCGTTATGCCAAAAACCAAAATATTTCTTCATCCCCGCGATTAATTCACGGCAATAAAACTGAAATTATATCACATTTTTTTTGTGTGTGTATGAAATTCATACGTGGTATGTACGTAAACAAAAACAAATTAATAATATTATCGACTCTTGTCGCATTATCGTTAATGTGCTTTCCAGGAAAATTGTTTACGTGCAGCAGATAATAAATTTATTCAATACTCGCGCGACTGTCAATGAAATTGTTTTTTTCGCGCTAATCATCTTTTATCGATTTATGATTACGAACAGCGCGCGTTACTTTAAAGATTTACCAATGGCAAACAGCGCGAATGCGGTGTAAATTGTTTGAGTTGGAGTTTTGACTTTGAGCACTTTGCCAAATCAATATTTATACAATAATTGAATCGCATTAAAACATCGCGCGTGCGGAAAAACTTTCAACAGGCATTCGGGAAAACGCAAGCGTAAATATTGACGCAGTGATTCGCTGTCGTTCGACAAACTAAATAAATTAAAACTATCCGTTTATGTCCTGCGCTGTCCGCGCGCGGATCACAAGTGGAAAACTGGTTACAATCCGCGAATGTTTTAATATCAAAAGTTGAAATTACCAATCAACAACAAAACTGGTGCCGGACAGTCTGCGCGACATCCTTCACTAGTGTTTTATTGCTGTCATAATGAATTTAAACTTTTTTCCGCTGGAAATAATGATTTTCCACGCCAAAAAAAAACGAACGCTACTCGACTTCCGTTTTAGACATTATATTAGCGTATTTACCGGGCGGCTTTATCGCTGCGTTGCTTTTGAGTTATTGCCCTCACGTTCGAGTCGTTTGGTAAAAACTCGAAACCAGAACACACTCACGCTATTTAGTTGCTCATAGGGGTGCAAAGGACAACCAAACAACCACAGAAGTACACGCAATAAACGACTCGCATTTCATTTCATTTCTATTCTTGTTGATTTTTTCTTGCGCTCAGAAAGTTTTTAAAAGTCAATTTATTTCAAGTATTCCATTCGAAATGATTATTACCCCAATTGGAGCGTGGATTACGCATGAATATTTAACTCCCGAAAATATACGAAGTGAGCTCATTTGAATATAAAAGGCGTACATATCGATTAGTTCAGAGTTTGGTTCGCCCCGGCGCGCGTCAAACCGGCCTAGCATTCATTTTTTTTTTATCCTTACGCGCGATTCTTTCGAATTCGCCCTCTCGGGCAACCCCTGAATTTGTATCTTTTTACAACGCCGTCAAAAGTGTAAAGTTTTCGTAAAGGGTGCGTAAAAATGCGATTTTCAAACCGTTTTAAACACAATTTTTCTATTTGATATTGATAATCAGTCGGTGTATTTATTTTTAAATCTGATGTAACAATCGCAGTGCGTTTCGTGCGGCTGCGGCTGGTTTAAGCGCGCCGGACGCAACCAAAATCAATCGCGCTTAATCGATGTCAATTGGCGAAAATATTTCGAGTGTCGCGACTGTCGGAATAACGAGAAGAGAGGCGGCTGGACGCGCCGCCGCGCGACGCTAATTGCCCGCCAATGAATCTCTAATTAACATTATAGCCGCTGGCGTGCAAAAATTAAAGCGCGCGTTAATTGAATGATTGATTTTCAACTTTCAACTCGCAACTTTTTCAACTTGCACATAAGTTTCGCAAGAGTTTTTTTTTTCTCTTACACACACAAGCAAAACGTATTTATTTGAAATGGAATTAATTGTCCCGCCGGCGTGTTGTACAAAATTAAATTAGGTTCAAAATCAATAAACTGCACGAGAGTTGGTGTTGAAATTTTTCCGAATGAATTTTCGAAGCTGCTGCTCTGCTCACCTGAGGCCAGCCACATGAGAGTGGTCCAAATAGCCGCGAGTAGCCAGTCCATGGCCGCGGCCTTTCGCATGCACCGTCAGCCTGAATGGTAACCCCTGGTAAACGACCGCCCCATGGCCGCAGTGCGCGTGTTGGTGGCGGTTGAGACGATGGGATTAGGGGTACGCTGCTGGAGAAGCTCGCACACCACTCGCACTCGCACGGATTGTGGATGTAGTCCTTCGCGTCGGGGTATAGCAGGACGAGACAACTTGCCGCTTGCCGCCGCACTGCAGGATCGCGCGCGCCGTCAGAGGGGGAGGTCCGGCGCGGCGGTACGACACATGGCCTCTGACTCTCCGGCGCCACTATTTACTATCCTGATGATGATGAGCGCACACACGGCGTGTTTTATATGTGTGTGTGTATGTTGGGTTGCAGTTGTGGTGTGTGTAGGTGGTCGCTGCGAAGAAAGAGGAAGGATGCGCGCCGTTGCGTGGCCCGTGTCTGACTGAACCTATGGACTGAACCGCCGAGCGGGACTGGCTCGCGACGTCGTACACGGCGGCCCGTCGGGGAGCGCGCGGCGGCCACGCAACGCACAGCCGGCAATGCCAACTTTTCCTTCTTCCTCCTTGCCAGCCAGCCGCCCCTTCTTCCTTACTATTCCTTACGTCTACCCCTGTGTACAACGCGCCGGCGCCGCCGAAACAACCCTCGGTGTATTCTACAACTGAAACATTTTTCGTTCAGGTAACGTGCATCGCCACCTGCGAATCCACACCAATCAAACACCAAGGCGCTTATTAGGGGTTAGTGCAACGCAGGTTCAACGAATTCATTAGAATATTATACTTATGAGGATATTTCCCAACGAAATAAAAAAAATTGCACCATTTTGCGGCGTCATGATAAAAATCGATGTTGCGATCGATCGGGCGCCAATATTTCCTTCGCGTGCCGATTCAGCCGAAAAGCGTTTAATTACGCCGCACGGCGACATTTCTGCGGATGATGGTAACCTGCGACCCACTTTACGTGCAATCAACTTTTATTCGATTCATTTCTGTTATCAATATATCATTAATAACATCAATAACCACGTGGCGTGTTGGTGTTGGTATCAAACAAACTTTCAGGCACGTTGTTAAATCAATACGTCATCCACGAATGTATTTTTTCTGGTTTTATACAAAATAAAACTTTTGAGTTGTCGATTTTTGTTTCCATTGACCCTTCGTGTCTGCGTCAGTGCGTCGCTATCCGAACCGGTGAGCTACTTGTTCCGAATGAATTAATAATTAATCAATCAAGCAGTAACCAGATACCAGAAGCTAGAATCGAATTCAAATAATAAGCTTCAACGATGAATTCACCTTGAAACAAAAATAATACGGCTCGTGCCAAGAATAAGAAACCGATGGAAATATGGAAGCGGCGTGCGTAAAGGGACAGGTGTGCACTGTGCACCCCATAAGTCGATGTCAGATGGTCGTGGTCATCCGACCATAACGTACACCGCCATACTGCGCACACGAGTTTTGGTTCAAATGCGTAATGTCGGCGGTGGTGTCTTACGGTTAAAGTTTCAAGCTTCTGCTTCGTCTTCATTTCCTCAAAGTTGTGAATGTGTCGTGTGTCCCTTGGGGCGCAAAGTTAATGGAGGGTGCCGTTGCGGTGCGCAATTTTCGTATTACGGTCATATTAGGTATAATCAACCGTGTGTGCATATGGCACATCGTGGCACGTGGCTAAGTAGTCCGAAGAAAGTTGATGCTTTTTTATTTCTTCTATATCCTCTAACATTTCGGTATGACGGTTTCATATTACGGAAATTAATAAAATTGTCCACGCGTTGTTTAGGAGAATATAAATTTTAAACAAATTTGAATTTCCTTAAAAAAAACAGACAAAAAAATTCTTAACTAATTAAATAATAATAATAATTATCATATTCAACCCTTAATTTCTGTACAATCCGATATTCGAACTCGAAACCTCACGGTTTATAGACGAATACTTTTCCTCTACTACCCTATAACTCTGCGCTTGAATTTTGTTCGTAGATAAGCAGGATGTTGTGCGCCAGTTCACATGGACACGAGTGTGCACTCACTGACACCAACAAACAACTTCATTGATATTGCGCGAAAATATTTAATACGGATAAGTGCATCCCAGCGCCATCTATGCGCGCGTTATAGAGTTATATTTAGATAAGATGCGCTCAGTGCAAGCTGACTGAGAAGGAAGACAAACAAACAAGTTTATCTTTATACATCGTGTGATTTTACACATACGAATACACCAAAGTAGAAATTAAACAAAAATTGCACTTGTAATAAATAAATAATCAACTGGATAAATATTTCATGATTTTTCATAGGTTTTCACCCTTCAGCAACCTTATCTCCAAGTTTGTTTGGTTTTTATTATGTTTATAACAAAAACCAATTATGTATAATTATTTATTTTTATTTTTAACGTTTTTTAATGTTAAACAATTTGATTTTTCGCTTTTCTAGCATTTAATTTTCAACTGTTGAAAATAATAACTACACGCTTAAAAATAGAAATAAATAACTACATTGGAATAATATTCGCGGTTGGGATAGAAAAAATGTAAACAAACACAATCTAGCGTGATGTTGATAAGAAAGATACGCACGCATCGCGTGATCTCGCCCGGATCGAAGATTCAACGTGTTGAAACCTGTCTGAAAAGTTGTATCGCTGAATTTAATGCAAAAAGTGCATCCTAGCGCCATCTATGAATGATCTAGAAATATACTCTTATTTACATTAAATTAATCATTATTTGACACATTATCACATGATTATCGGACAATGAACATGATTTTTAATGATTAATTTTTTGTAATAAATGCACACAGATATATTTTACAATTTTATAGCAAATTTAAACAAACATTACTAAAACTTGCATAAAAAACATTATTTTGTATCAAAAACATCAACAATACTTTGAAAAAGTATAAATTGTATAATTTCAAAGTGATTTACCACAAAAATAAAACCAAAATATAGACGAAACGAATAAAAAACAATAACAAATCCTCTTTCACTTCCTAAACTACCGCAACTTGCATAACAGAAACGCCAAACTAGTTGCAGTTACATGAGGCGTTTCTGAAATAATCACAGAACTCGAGTTTTAACCTCGCCGAGGAAAGAGCGACGACGAGATGTTACCTCGACGCTTTTAATACAAGAAATCTCGTTTCTATATTTCCACCAACAGCAAAAAACCGAACATCAGAAGGGAAACGTGTGATTCTTGACCGGGTAGCGCTCGCGCTATGGTCACAATGAATCCAGCGGCGCAAGGCAACCGCAAGAAGTACCAGGTCTGTGTAAACAAAACCCTTGTTTTCCAAGTTTCATCCACTTTCCACACAATCTCAACTTAATATCAAACTAATTTTGATTGTATATATACAGATATCAATGGTAATATGCGAGGCGGAAGAAAGAAGGCATCGCAATGGTGTGAACGCCCTGCAAGTAGACCCAACACTTGATAGACTTTACTCTGCTGGAAGTGATTCGGTAATCCGAGTAAATGAACGCGATCGGTATGCTCAGAGTATGGAACATCACACAGATTGGGTGAATGATATTGTTCTCTGTTGTGGAGGCAGAAATTGTAAGAAATTTTAGTACTTTAATCCATTTTCCTTAATTTTCCTAAATTTTTATCGTTTTTAGTAATTTCTGCAAGTTCTGATACAACTGTAAAGGTCTGGAATGCACACAAAGGTTTCTGCATGTCCACTCTACGAACCCATAAAGATTATGTTAAAGTTTTGGCCTATGCAAAGGATAGAGAACAAGTGGCTTCAGCTGGTCTGGACAAGTCAATTTACATCTGGGATATTAATACTCTTACAGCCCTCACAGCTAATAACAATACAGTAACAAGTGAGTTTAATATTCACACAAATAAAACTTGAATAAAATAATGATGCTCACTCACATTTTAGCTACAAGTCTGCCTGGTAGTAAGGAGTCAATCTACAGTCTAGCAATGAATCCTTCTGGAAGTATTATAGTCAGTGGTTCCACTGAGCGAGTTTTACGAATATGGGATCCAAGAGCATGTGCCAAGCTGCACAAATTTAAAGGGCACACGGATAATGTCCGGGCATTGGTTGTGTCCAATGATGGCACACAAATATTATCGGGGAGTAGTGATGGTAAAATTAAATTATGGAATGTTGGACTTCAAAGGTATAAACATCTAAACATCTACATCTACTTAATTTGCTAGAAATTTATAAATAATTTGTGTTGTAGATGTATACAAACAATATCAGTGCATTCAGATTCAGTCTGGGCTCTTCTAGCTTCAGAAAACTTCACGTTTGTGATTTCCGGCGGTCGCGACCGTAAAGTAATCATGACCGAAATCAAAAACCCGAAAAACACCACTGTGGTCTGCACCGAAGAGGAACCCATCACGAAATTATGTTATTCGTCTGATCATAGAAGTGTGTGGGTCTCGACGACGTCTTCAACGATAAATTGTTGGAAATTACCGAATGATAAAACATGGGGTACACCAGCGACTAAACCAGTGGCGACAATACTCGGCGGTGCGGCCATTGTCGAAGCAGTCGTACTAAATGATAAACGGCATGTTTTAACACGAGATAGTGATCAGATCGTTGCGGTTTACGATGTGCTGAATGCACGGAAAGCGGAAACACTGGGAAAAGTGAATTTTCAGGAGGAGTTGACGAAGCGTATGAGCAAAATGATGTATGTACCGAATTGGTTTACACACGACCTTAAAACAGGGGTAAGACATTCAAAACACGTTTTAAACAAGTAATAATAAATGTTTTTGGTGTAGATGTTGACTATACACTTGGGAAACGAAAAAGACGACTGTTTTTCCGCTTGGGTATCGACAAAAGACGCGGGGTTAAGTGACGAAGCCGATCAGAAGGTAAACTATGGTAAATTACTGCTGCAGTCGTTACTGCAGCATTGGAAACCGCAGGATCCTTCCCAGGACTTGAAAGTGAATGTTCCAGACCATACTCCGTTTATTGTTAGGTGAGATCCAATGAAATTTATAAAAATTAAATAAAAATTTGCTGTTTTTTAAAGTGAGGTGCGTGGAAGAACATTGTATCGAGTGTTGGTACGCGACACAAAGGGTGAAACCGAACGTGCATTACTCACAGACCTCATCCCAACTTGGGTGACGTCGAACATTGAAGAGAACTGTCCGAACAAATTCCTTAAAGTGCAATTTTACCTGCAACCACATTCCAGTGTTCCTTTACATCTCCTCAAAATGGAACGACAGAAAAAAGTAAGTAAAATTCACGAATTTTTGAATAAAAACTAAAAATGATGATTTTTACAGCCTGATAGACTTGTAGCCAACGATTTTATACAATGTCGTAAAGTGGCCGAGCATATAATAGAAAAATTCCTAGGAGAAGGCTCAGCGGGTTCACCTGGAGGCGATACAGAACCACCTGTACCCGTCACCAATGGTACCACAGTTGACCAAATAGAATTGACATGTAATGACCAAGTAAGTTAAACAAAAACAACAAAAAATCAAATAAAAATACTAAAATCTGCATTTTTAGGTGTTGGATCCTTCTATGGACCTTCGAACAGTCAAGCAATTCATCTGGAAAGCCAACACCGACTTGACTCTGTATTTTAAAGTATTAAATAGGTAATCACTAGCACTGTAACCGTAAAACACTCTGGAGGCGGACATATGAATTCCCTCGTCACGCGTCGTCGATGTTGTGTGTGGTGTGCGCAGTGACGTTTTTAACTTAAGAGACTGCCAGATATATACTAGCGCGAAATCATTTACTTTGTGATTCTTTTAAACAATGTGATCATTTTATTATAATATTACTATGAGTTTGGATTTGAATGCATCTCTTCTTCATTTGTACAATAAATAATTTGCTGAGAGTCATTTGTTGTAAATGCGCTCGAATTTATACGCCCAGTAATCTTCCAGATCCGAAATCAGTTTCGAGACTGTATCCTCCGGAGGATAATTCGTCATTAATTTGATTGTTTTACTCTCGTAGTATCTGTACACTTGTTGGCATTGCCTGCTTGACTTCACGTACTTGATCCGAACACTTTCGGTGTTTATATCGCCGTATTTATTGATCATTCTTCCGAGGACTGAATCTAATACTAAATGGCAGTAGATTATGATGTTTACTTTACAGATTTCGCTCTCAAAGAGTTTCGCTTGTCGCAGATGCAGTGGAAATCCGCAGAGAATGAATCCCTTCGCGTTAGCATAGTTTAAGAATATATACTCTTTCAATAAAGTGATAACAATCTCGTCGGGTACTTGACGGCCCTTTTTGATGCATTCTTCAATAACACGCGCGCGGAATTTCGCCTTCTCCAACTCTTCAAAGATGAGATCGGTTATTTTGACAAGATTATAATGACTGGCTTTTTCTAACATGCACGCGAGTGTGCTTTTGCCACTACCTATGGGTCCCATGATCCAGAATATCGGGATGCGACGCATGAGGAATGGCTGCAGGTCGAAGCGGTCTTTTACTTTGGGTTTCGCGCAACACCAATTCCAGCCAATTGCTCCACCCATAGAGTAAAACACACCCATATAAAGAATGCATCAATCAGGAAGTTGAGGACAATCTTCAAGGTTTGGTTGTCGGTGTAGAATAATTCAAATATAAGCATTGAGAAGGGTGTAGGGATTGGGTACAATGACGAAAAATTATTACACGGAAGTGACAAATGTAAAAAATTCTATGTTTTGACGTTTAAAATGTTAAAAAATGTCATGAAAAATCATTTGGAAATTTGTTTGTATTGCGCTAAAATACAAATTTCTAGATTTTTCTGTAACCAAGGCAACAAATTCGACAATTACAACAGATAGAACTATGTTGTGACTGTTTGTGACCTGTTACCGAGTGTTTTATGTCAGTACTGCGTATGCAGTCGCTGAAAACATGGCTGACTTTCGTAAGAAGTTACTAATCAACATAACAGGTAAGATTTAAGCAATATAAACATAAAAATAAAATAATTTCTACTTGAAAACTCCTTCAGGAAGTCATTTGGGTTTCATAATCGAAGAATCAACATGGGAGAAAGACGTTCTGCAAATGAACACACTCGAAGAATTCCTCGAGAACGAAAACAAACTATTACTCTGTGCGTGTTTAGAAATCAAAGAAAACAACAAACGGATAAAATACTACGATGATGTAATAGACTCCCCACAAAATGGTCGTACAGTTGTGTTTTCTAAATATCGAAAAACCACACTCAGAGATGATAATCTCCTACAATCGATCGATATCACATCGATGCAAGGTTCCCCTGCATCTGCATTATATCACACGCTGAACAATGTCTACAGTCCTTTAATAATGAAAGGAAATGGAAATAATCCCACAATTGAGAAACACCTATCAAATTTACAAGCAGGACTCCGTGCTTCATTAATCACCGAATTAGAAAGCGCGGATATAGGCGAATCCGATGAAGATAAAACCGAATCTCTTGCTATGATATTATCCGTTGATCAAGAAGTTGAATACTGGCATAAAATCACTGCAGTCAAGAAAAACCCAGGCGATAAAACAACCGCAAGCGCATTTCGTGACATGTTGATACCTCTGGCAAGAGATTTAGCTGTTTTGGACGCTTTGCCAATCTCAGACGTTGAAGACATGCAAGAAAACAGTCATAATATCCTGGATGATCTTTGGAGGCATGAACCGCCATATCCAAAAGCACGTATGGAACATATCATGGAAATAATCAGTAATGATATAGTTACCTACATCACAAAACAATTTAAAAAGGTTGATATTTGGAAGGAGGAGTATAACACAGCTGTAGAACTTCTGGAACAATGTCTGGGCATTGGTAAACATTGGTTATCTTCATGTAGGGAGCTAACAGAAATCTTCTGGCCTAATTATTCGCTGCATTACTGGCGTGGACCTCCATTCGTCCCCGAAAATCTAGCGAATTTAGTCGAGAGATTGTTGCAGATCAAAGAAATCCGCGCGACTCATCGACAACTTACAAGATTATTAACAAAAGAAGAACATGATGATCTAAATTGTGACCAAATGTTTACTCCGTTTGAGAATTTCAACGCTTTGCAATGTGGTGTCTACGCTGAACAAAGCTGGTCAACTGCTAATAAACAATTTGAATATTTATTGAAACCCGCGGAGCAAACAGTGGCGAATAAACTGAAAGAACAGTTTTCTTCTGTGAAAGCAAACACGAGGCAATTATTGTATGAATATGGAAGATATGCGGAGCTAATCTGTCGTCCAGTGTTGAAAAATATTCTACAAACTGAACGAAAACATTTACTATCCCTTTTGAGGGATTATATTAAACTGCTGGTTAGTCAAATGTCACAAACACCGATGTTATCCACAAAATACGAAACACCGCAGGTTGTTGCCGAAATAATCGGGACCAGACAACTGGAAGCCAAAGCCAATGAAGTTTTGACCATAACACGAAAAATTCTCAATGATTTAGAAAATTTTAAGGATCTAGAAATGGGTACCATCGAACTAATGCGGGATTTAAAAGATCAACATACAGATCTCTACGAGGCATGGACTTCGGAGATTTTAGAACAAATAAAATCGCGGAATTTGAGTTTGTGTGAAGATGATCCAGTCGTACAATTCACACCGAATAAATTAATGCGTGTGAATTATTCTCCGAGATTAGTCACGTTGATCTCGGAAGTTCGACAATTGACTACCTTGGGATACAATATACCGGAAGCCATTGTTACTACGAGTAACCACGCGAAGCAATTCATGAACTACGCCAAGTATTTGGAGCAAATCGCACATTTTCACAACACTATCGGAGATATCATGATACAAAGTCAAAGACCAATGATGTTACCAAGCGCGATTGCTCTGTCAAAACTCGTACAGGAACAGGAAGTCGTCTCCTGGGGTGATATCAAATCAGTTGAGACGTATGTACAGAATTTAAAAGACGCCGTTGATAAATTATCAAAAGAAAATAACATGCTGACCAGTTATAATCTGCAAGTTATAGAACTGATTGATAAGTTACGAGGAGTTGATTTGATTAAATACTACGAGAAATGGCGCCTGACTGCGAAAATCCTCAGGGATATCATGCACCAAGTTCAACAGAAAGGTTTCGTGGCATCTGCAATGCTTCAATGGAAACAGGACATCGATAAACGTCTTGCAAAAGTCTTAGAAGAACAGTACATCAAAAGTTTGGATACTGTGCATCTCTACATGCCGGAAATCAACTGTGATTTGATTTATCGTGATGGTAAACTTAAGTTTTCACCGGAGGAGAAGGCCCTGCGAGAGAAATATGAACATCAAATGAAGGAATCCTTGGATATTCCGAAAAAATTCCGAGGAGTGTGCGAAACCAATGAGGTTTTTGTAGAAATTATAGAAACCTGTAAGTCACAATTGGAAAAGGTTCAAGGTAATACAGAGAAGTTGTTTGAGCAACTACAGGGTGTTAAAAAACACTGGCAAGCATGGTTGACTCTAGATAAATTGGATGTGAGTAAATTAAGCACTTGGCAAGACTGGGAACTGCATTTCCGAGCGTCGAAGACTTTCGGACAGGAAATAGCGAAATTACCGAGTGAAGAGGAGAAAATTGGATGTTTCAAAATTGGTCTATCATGGCTACGATCAGATTTAGAATCACATAATCGTAGTTATTGGGATCAACTTGTAAACACCTTGAAAGATTCAATCGCGCAGGATGTTGTTAAACTACAAGATTACGTAGATGCTTCAACAGGGACTTTAAATCGCCAACCTTTGACTTTGGAACAGATTGGGGAGGCGGATGCTTCACATGCGGATATTCTCAATCAAAAACCCGAAGTATTTATTCATTACAATAAAATTTTGATTTTTTTTAAATTAATTTCTTTTAGATGGAAGCTTTGCACAAGGAATTAATGCAAAAAGTCCACATTTTATCATCGTGGAATCGTGAACGTATCGATGCAGTCAACAGAATGCAAGCTGGCTGGGACCGATTGCAAAACCTGATGGAAAACTACCAACATATTATCTCCAAACAAGTGGAAACCATCAAAACCACTTTAACGATTGCCAGTGAAAATCTAAACAATGAAATTGAACGATTTGGCGCAAAATGGGATCAAGTCAAACCAAGACCAAATTCTGGTCAAATAAACACCGAAAGTTTAGAAGAACTTAACAAACATTATCAGGATATTAAAGAAAAGAAGGAACAGTGGAAGGAATTGACCGAAAGACAAACGAAAATCTTACAAGATTTTGCTAAATTCGGTTTGGAAACACCCAGTTTTGATCAAACAGAAGAAATAGATAAAGATTTGAATAAAGAAGAAAGTGATTGGGCGCAATTTGCTGAGTTTTATCAAGGTTTGGAGGCTTTATCCAACGAGGAGTGGATTGTCTTCAGGAGGAAATATTATAAACTGCAAGATTTCCTAAGTGAATGGGAAGGAAAACTCCAAGGAGAAGAAAATTCGCCTTTAATTACCCGAGTTCTACAAGAAATTCATAAATATCAATCAGCTGCGCCTGTTTTAAAGAGTTTAAAAGGCGAAGATTTCACGGATAAACACTGGTTGGAAGTCTATGATGTTTTGGGAATCATGCCGAAGAGTATAGATGTTTTGGCATTGAAAGATTTCCTCCGGATATCTGATAGATTAGTAGAAAAACAAAATCAACTGCAGGCGATTTGTAAGAAAGCAGCTAGTGAAATTATTGTGCGTCAAACTTTAGCGGAATTAGACCAATGGGATGTGCAAGCGAAATTTCAATTTACGAAGCATACAGATTCGAAAAACAAAGAGGTTTTGTTGATAAAAGACTTCAAAGAACATTTAAGCAAGGTAAATGATAAACTTAATCAATTTAAAGTTATTTTTTAACAGGATAACTTAAATATTTTGATTTAGATTGGTGATCATCAAAGTTTACTTCAATCTGTGAAGAACTCCGCTGATTATGAAGCGTTTGCTGGACGTGCAGACGTTTGGGAGACACGATTAACTGACCTAGATGTATATCTAACTCAAATGGGTCAAATCCAAAGAAAATGGATTTATTTAGAGCCTATCTTCGGCAGTGGGACTTTGGCGAATGAAAAATCACGTTTTGATAAATTAGATCGCGAATTCCGCGGGGTTTTAACATCAATCGAGCGTGATTCTAGAGTTTGTGCGATTTTACGCTATCCGAATTTTCGTGCAACCCTTGCTAATATCTCCGAACAATTATCACGCTGTCAAAAAGGTTTGGATGACTTCCTAGCGGAGAAACGCGATAAATTCCCGAGATTTCTCTTTTTGGGAGACGATGATCTCCTGGAAGTTGTCGGACAGTCTTCAAAGGAACACGTAATACAATCGCACCTTAAAAAGTTGTTTGCTGGTATCCACAGTACGGTTATAGATGAAACCGGGAAGAATATCACTGCAATTAGGTCATTACAAGGTGAAACAGTGCAGTTGTTGCAATGTATTAATATTAATCAACCGGTGGAGTTGTGGTTGAATCAGTTGGTGAAAGAAATGCAAAATACTCTTCAAGCGCTGCTTGTGCAATGTTTAGCTGATGGTAAATCACCGGATCCGTTGAAATATCCATCGCAGATTCTGTGTCTAGCTGCGAGTATACATTTTACGAATAAATGTGAACAAGGGATCACATCAATGGGTTTACAACAATTGCTAGGCACTTATAAAGTAATAATTCTTTTAAAATCAATGAAAAAAATTAAAATTTGATTGTTTTTAGTCCCAGTTAAAATATTACAGTGATGTTGATGTTGGTACCGACCCAGAATCATCTCTACAATCAATGGGAAATGAATCAGAATCAAATCTATTGGAAATCAAACTGAAAGCACTTTTACTAGACACTATCCAATATATTGATATAATTGAGATGTTGATTGATACGCATTGTACGAAATTAACCGATTGGCAATGGCAGCAACAGCTAAGGTTCTACGCAACTAGTTCCGGAGTGGTTACCATTAAAATGGTCAATGCCCAAATGGAATATTCCTATGAATACATCGGAAACGCACAGAAATTAGTGCGTACACCACTTACAGAGAAGTGTTTCTTGACTTTAACACAAGGTATGCACTTGGGTATGGGTGGAAACCCATATGGACCCGCTGGTACCGGAAAAACAGAATCTGTCAAAGCCCTGGGAGGTCTTTTAGGAAGACAAGTCCTAGTATTCAACTGTGATGAAGTATTTTATCAAAAATTATAAAAAATCATCAAAATTTCTATGTAAAATCATTTTTAGGGTATTGATGCCGCTTCAATGGGCAGGATATTATCGGGGTTAGTACGAAGTGGTGCCTGGGGATGTTTTGATGAATTTAATCGTCTTGATGAAGCAACCCTATCAGCTATATCCATGTATATCCAACCAATTCAAAGTGCGCTGAGGACCCATTCCAAAACCGTGACATTAATGGACAAAGAAGTAAATAATCATCCCCTAAACACCCTGTATATAAAAAATATTATTTTGTTTTAGATTCAAGTAAATACCCATTGCGGGATCTTTGTAACCCTGAACCCTGCTGGAGGTGGATATGGTGGTCGTAATAAACTCCCAGATAATCTCAAACAACTTTTCCGGCCTGTGGTCATGACCCACCCTGACCATGAGCAAATTGCTCGTACTCTACTACACTGCGATGGTTACCAACAAGCAGATGTCATCGGACGTAAACTAATCGAACTGTTTTCATTGGCTAGTAAATTATTAAGCAAACAACAACATTACGATTGGGGTTTGAGAGCCCTTCGAACTGTCCTAACCGGATGTGGACGAGCAATCAAAGAATACAAACGCCAGAATAAAATCACACCGGATGTAGAATTTGCTCTGGTCATCAATGCAACACGGCTGGATACATTATCGAAATTAACTTACAACGACGCATTTATTTTTGATAATTTACTCAAAGAAATCTTTCCCAAAATAGAAACACCTGTAACTTCAAATGATCCCAACATGATCAAAGCCCTGCATGATTCTTTTGGAGAGTTAAAATTACAGGTGAATAAAAGACAAGTTGCAAAATGTATGGAACTCTATGAGCAGTTGAGACAACGTATGGGTGTCGCCTTGGTAGGACCCCCACGATCCGGAAAGACCACAATCAGAAACCTCCTGGTAACTGCTTTGTGCAAGCAAGGAAAAACAATCAAACAACATGTTTTCAACCCGAAAGCCATGCCAAGGACACAACTCCTTGGACAAATTGATAATGATACCAGACAATGGACTGATGGTGTCCTGACCCAATATAGTCTAGAGGTAATCAATGAACCCTTGGATGTTTTATCATTTATAGTTTGTGATGGGGATATAGACCCCGAATGGGTAGAATCATTAAATTCTGTTATGGATGACAATAGATTACTATCCCTACCATCAGGTTGGAGGGTCCAGTTTGGTCCCAATGTGAATTTTATGTTTGAAACGCATGACTTGAGTAATGCATCACCTGCGACCATCAGCCGCATGGGGATTGTATTCCTAAGTGAAGAAGATGTGGAATTACAAGGATTCGTAGAGACTTATCTTGATGATTATAGCGAAGAAAGCGAAGGGTTGATATCTACATTCATCGAAGATTATTTCTACAACGCTATGGAATGGGTTGTAAACCAAGGAGAGCTTGTAATACAAACCCCGAAGATATCCCTAGCAAAAACAGCTTTAACACTGGTAAAAAACACGAAAAACAAAGAAGAATTCATTGTGAATTTGGTAAACTCCCTGGGAGGTCAATTAGAAGTTGATTTCCGGGAGGTTTTCGCTCAGCAAATGTTCGAAAACGCTGTGGTTAACATCCCCTCACATCCTGCGATGGCTTTCTATGATAAACAAAGAAATATCGTGGATTCTTACGCTGGGAATATTCAAAACATCGAAATTTTGGAGAATAATAAAATCCCGCTTATCCTCACCGGACAAATTCAACATTCTCTTGGGGTTATCAAGCAATGGTTCGATCAAAATGGCGAACACATACTCATTGTAGGACCGCACGGCTCTGCCAAAACGTAAATATAAAAATTTTAATTTAAAATTTACTAAAACAAGCAAATTTTTAGATTATTAATCGAAAAAATCCATGAAATTACTTCAGAACCTCGAAATCTAGCCGTAATTCATTGCAGTGCAAATGTAACACCGCAATATGTGATCCACAAAATAATCCAGGTAACAGAAAAACATTTACTTTTATTATTATAATCAACTGTTGATTTTGTGTGTTGTGTTTTTTTAGTATTGCCTGGTAGTGAGCAGCAGCCGCGGAAAAATCTACCGTCCCAAACGCGGCCACCTCACACTGTTCCTCAAGAATCTTCACCTGTTAAAGGCGGATAAATGGGCCACCAATATGCTGACTGCGTTCTTACAACAGGTAATTGAAATCCCTACATTTACTGATCGCATTTTGTGCCTTGGGAGATTTTTCTGGATTTTATTTTGCTACTGATCGACTCACAGAGTTTCTCTTCCAATTCTTTTTGTTTTTGTTTTTCTTTTTCCTGATATTGATGATTGGCGTCGGAAATAAGCGCAAACATTGTTTCGTACTTACTTAGCTGAGCTAACAATAACCTTTCATTGCGTTGTAGACCATTTATAGTGTGTTTGGCTTTCGAGTACTTTCCCTGTAAATTCTCAAACGCAATACCAAGATTCCTCACGTGTAATTTTACAACTTCATAGTCGATTTGTAATCGTTCATGTCCCGACATCATACCTTCAATGAATTTTTGATACTCATCCAGGGTTGCTTTCGCTTCCGCTTCAGACCAGTCAGATTTATACGAAGTGTTTTCCGTTGAGGATTTCACTTCTAGTAAATTATCCTGATACTTTTTGCACATGTCACACGTGCGATGCAGGGAATTATTGATAAAATCATTCGCGATTGATGACTGTAATGACTGCGTTGATTCGCTGGGACTTGTCCGTTCGGATGATGAAGATTCATGCAGGCTCGGCGGTGGGGTTTCCGGTAAAATGGCGGCTGGATCCGTGGCGAGGAGAGAAACCGTCTGCAGGAATTTGAGCGTAGGGCTGGGCAGGTCCGTGTCGTAGTTATAGAATCGTTGCTTCTGTTGGCTGGCGCGCAGGATGTCCATCTTGCAGAAGCGTAGCACTGTCAGCGAGCAGAAGAGCACGACGATAACGACGAGCGCTAACTGAATTTCGATGGAGAAGAAATTTTGGTAGAGTTTTGGGTCGGTGATATCCAACATAGTGCAGACTGTGGTGACATTTTAACACAACGTCAAAATTGTACACGGCACACTTGTGTGTTTTTTGTTTCCAGCTAATTGCGTATAGTGGATTCTTCGACGCCAACTTGGAATGGGTTTTCGTGGAGAATATCACCGTGGTTGGGACTTTGGCGAATCAGAATCATTTATCAACGAGGTTTACATCGCTTTTTAATGTTTTTAACGTCGAGTAAGATTTTTTTAAGGAAATTTATGAAATTTTCTTATAAAATTATTTTAGTTTACCGGAAGATGATGATGTTAACAGTATTTTCACTGCTTATATGTCGGCCATTTTGAAAAAAGCAAACGTAAATGGTACTTGGTCCAAACAAAAGATTAGTAAACTCACAGCGACGTTGATAAAAGTTTACAACGAGGTAAATAACACTTAAAAATTAAGTTTTAAATAAAAAAACTAATTTTTTCTTCCCACAGACAAAAAATCAGTTCTCCGAAGTGAGCAAACGGCATTACGTTTTCAGTCCACATGACTTAACACTATGGTGCAAAGGAATTCTGCGTTATAAACTAATGTCAAACGATATAGAAACAATCCTCTTGGAAGTGATATGCAATGAAGCATTGAGAATATTCCACGATAGACTTGTAACCAGTGAAGAACGGATTCAATTCAAAGAAATTCTCAATCAAATTGTGTCGCAAGAATGGAACAAACCGAATATTCTCGGGGTAGCCGCCGATAATTATTTTGTTGCGGCTTCGGTAAATAATAGAACTCATGCTGCTTTGACGAAATTAAACGCTGATGATTGGAGTACGATCGTAAAGAAAGGAATAATTCAATATGGTAAGATTTTTACCAAAATTAATTAAAATTTAAAAAAAAAATAATTCAAAATATTTCAGAAAGAGAAGGTTATTCATTGGATATTGAAATAATCCCTGAGCTTTTACATCTAACAGCAACTTTAAGCCGTGCGTTGACATGTCCAGGTGGACATTGTCTTCTTGCAGGTAATTCAGGCGTGGGAAGACGTTCAGCGGTGAAAATTATTTCCGTAATGGAAGGCGCAAAGTTAATAACACCGATTGGAAGCGAAAATAATCAATTTAAAAATGATTTGAAAGCAGTAAGTACCAAAATATTCAAAAATCCTACCTTATTTGATGTTTCTGATGTCTTTCGGCCATTTTGGTGGATTCTGTAACAGAAAATATAATTATTAATAATTTTAGGCTATTCATACGGCTGCTATTGATGGTGAACAAGTTTATTTATTATTAGAAGACCATATTCTAAATAATAATAACAATAATAGTGTGTTAAACATGTTAAACATACTTTTATCTTCTGGGGAAGTCCCAGGATTGTTTAATAACGCAGAATTGGATTCGCTTATTTCCGGGTTGAAGGATGAAGCAGGCAGGACTGATTTTGATGGGAATTTATACGAATTTTTCGTTGAAAGTAAATTTTTTAAAGAAAAAAATAAATTTTGATTTTTTACGAATTTTTTTTTGCAGGAACTAAAAATAATATGCATATTTTGATCTGTATGGAAATCCAGAATACAAATTTCTGGAAAATATTAGAAAATTGCCCCGCAATTCTTCAAAAATGCACACAAATCTGGTTAAATGAATGGTGCAAAGAAACGATGAAAATAATCCCGAAATTAATCATTAAAAAGTAAGTTTTCATAATTTCCCAATCAAAAATCACAAAATAATATATTTTAAAAAATTTTAGACAAAATGAAAAGTCCAAAGATGAAAAAATCGAAATTTCCAAATACTTCACAGACATAGAACAGGTTGTCGATGAAAAACTCTCAAGTCCTTTCCGTTATGTCAACATGATCAACTCGTATATAAAAATTTACAAAGATAAACAAAAGAATTTGGTAGATGTACAGAAAAAATTAAAAGGTGGCACTTCGAAATTAACCGAAGCGGGAGATGTCGTAGCGGATTTGAAAATAAAAGCCGCCGAACAACAAGAAAAACTCGCCGAGAAGCAAAAATCAGCGAATAAAGCACTCGACATGATCAGCAACACAATGAAAAACGCGAATGTAAAAAAAGAACAAATGGAAGTGTTAAAAGTCCAAACCGAACAAGAAAACATCCAATTAGTCAAGAGAAAAAAAGAAATCGAACTAGAACTTGCGGAAGTAGAACCGCTGATACAAGAAGCAAGAAACGCGATTGGAAACATCAAATCAGAAGCATTATCGGAAATACGTTCGCTACGTGCTCCACCGGAAGTTATCAGAGACATCCTTGAAGGAGTCCTGCGATTAATGGGAATACAAGACACTTCCTGGAATAGTATGAAGACTTTCCTTGCTAAACGCGGCGTTAAAGAAGATATACGCGCTTTCGATGCCGGGAGAATAACATCAGCGAATCGTGAAGCTGTGGAAAAATTAATCGCGAATAAACACGACTCTTTTGAGGAGAAAAACGCGAAAAGAGCTTCTGTGGCAGCTGCACCTTTGGCTAGTTGGGTGAGTGCTAATGTACGATATTCAAAAGTCATGCAGAAAATAAAACCACTGGAAAATGAACAAAACAAGTTAAAAGAGAATTTATCCGAAGCAGAATCACAATTGAGTAATCTAAGCGCCGGGTTATTAGATGTAGACGCAACTGTAGATCAACTAAAGAAAGAATTAGCAACATTTACGCGTGAAGGCGCAGAAATTGAGATCAAATTGAACGCAGCGCAGGAAACTCTACAATCCGCCGAGGGATTAGTTGGGAAATTGAATGATGAATACGAGCGATGGCAAAAACAGTTGAAGGAACTTGAAGTGGATCTTAAACAACTCCCGACGAATTGTTTACTAGCTGCAGGGTTTCTGAATTATTTATCTGGAGAATCAGAAGATGTCAGAAAGTAAAATATTTAATTTTTTGTTTTTGATGATTTTTTAATAATTTTAATAATTTTAACTATTTTTAAGGAATATTTTGAGTGAATGGTTAAATATTGTAAAGGATGATTTAAGTGATTTCATCCTCGAAGACTTTTTGAGTACAGAAAGAGAACAAATGCAATGGCAAAGCGATGGATTGGCTACGGATCAATTATCGATTCAAAACGCGATTATTATCAACGAGGCAAAAATGTGTCCGTTTTTAATCGATCCCACATCGATGGGTATCAACTGGATGAAGAATCGATATAAGAATAAAAGTTTTGAGGCAACCACACAGATTTCCCCGAAATTTAACACATCTTTAGAACTTGCTATTCGGTAAGCAATAAAATTAACTAAATTTCCTTTAAAAAATTTAATTTTTTGTAGATTTGGTAAAGTGTTTCTTATAGAAGAAGTCGAAACAATTTCCTCTGTATTATTCTCGTTGTTACGTAAACAATTCATTCAACAAGGCGAGAGGACTTTGATAAACCTCAATGGAAAACAAATCGATTACAATAAAGATTTTCAACTGTTGTTGAGTAGTCGTAATGCTAATTTACAACTGCCTGGAGACCTGAGAGCAATTATCAATATAATAAATTTCACAACAACTCGCGCTGGATTAACCGAACAGTTATTAATCAGTGCTATTAAACAAGAAAGTCCTGAACTTGCAGAAAAACGTAAAAATTTGCTCAGACAACGCGAAGAGTTGCAAGAAAAACAGCATAAGTTACAAACGCAATTATTAGAAGATTTGGCTAATTCCAAAGGAAATATTTTAGAGAATAAAGTAAGATTATTATTAAAAAATATCTTTTATAAATTAATATTTGATTTTTAGAACTTATTAGCGTCGTTAAATGAAACCAAAGCCAGTTCTGTGGCGATTTCTCAAGCGCTGAGTGAATCATCGCTTGTTCAAGAGAAGTTAATGCAAGAATATGATGTTTATAGAGAAATATCGAATTTTGGAAGTGCTTTGTACTTCGGAGCAAGAGAATTCTTGAAAACTAATGTTATTTATGCATTATCCGTGGCTTCTTTCACGAATTTATTCTTAAGTTCTTTGCCTACAATGGAAGTAAGTTATTTTTTTAAATTTCTATTAAAAAAATATAAAATTTAATATTTTAGGGTCTTCAGAGTACGGAAAATTATCGGCATAAAATATTAATACAATCTTTGTATCAGTACATGGGCAGAGGCATTTTTAAAAGTGACAGATTAAAATTCCTCCTGCATTTGGTTCATAAAATGTTTCCTGAGCAAATACCTACTGAAGTATTAATTATTTAAACTTTTTTTAAATAAAATTTAAAGAAAATATTTTAAAATATTAAATTTCAGGAGTGGAATCTTTTAATTGGTAACGTATTGATTACAAATCGTCCTGAGACGTCGAAAAATCGCGAATCTGTGCCTGCATGGATTGCAGATCATTCAACTTCAAAAGTTTCTTTACTACAAGTAAAATTTCATATATTTATGATGTTTAATGTATTAATACTGCGTTTTTAGTTGGTGCTTAAAAATATTTATGTTTCTTTGGACCTGGACAATGAAATGTTGTGGAAGGACTTTATGCAGAGTCCAAAATGCGAAGCAAATTTCCCGAAACATTGCAAACTGACAGAATTTCAGAAAGTTTTGGTTGTACAAGCACTGCGCACTGATAGATTATACAGTGCGATGACACAATGTGTTTTACACCTCACGGGTAATAATTTAATAAAATTAATTACCATAAACAACAAAAATTATGTAATTTTTAGGTATGAATAGTTTTAACCTGGAAGTTTTGCAATTGTCGCAAATTTACAAAGAATCTACGTCTATACAACCGATTTTATTGATTACTACATCTGGAAATGATCCTTCTAACGCAATAAGAGAATTAGCCATGAAAGAAATGAACGGTGATAAATATGTTGAGGTAATTTTAATTTTAATAATAAATAAATATTTATTTTTTTACGCTTTTTGTGATTTTTAAGATGAGTATGGGTGAAGGACAAGAAAACAAAGCCATAACAACTCTTCAGGAGACAGCCCAGAGTGGAAAATGGTTGATTTTGAAAAATCTCCATCTTGTGACTGGGTGGTTGCCTAACTTGTGTCAAAATCTACAAGAAATAAACGCAGCTCCCACTTTTAGGTAAAAAATACTCAATAAATACCCAAATAACTAAATTTAATTTAAAATATTTAAATAATTATTTAGATTATGGTTGGTGACCGAAGCCCATCCAAACTTCAGCTCAGTCCTTGCCGAAAACTCTTTAAAATTAGCTTATGAAGCCCCGTGGGGATTCCGAAACAATTTATTCAAAATATTCACAAATTACGGTAATAGTTTCGTGCAGAAGCTAAACACAATGGCGTCGCGGATATTTTTCGTCCTCGGATTAGTTCACGCAATTTTACAAGAACGAAGAAGTTATATTCCGCAAGGATGGTCAAAATGGTACGAATTTAGTGATGTGGATTTATCAAGTATGGTGAAATTAAGTGAAGAACTCTGGGAGAATGCAAGTGCGCATAATATGCAATGGAAATATTTAATCGGATGGGCTGTGAATGCAGTTTACGGAGGACGTATAGAAAAACCGAGGATTTGACCATTCTAGAAGCTTGTGTTAAGCAATATTTCACTGATGAAGTGTTAAGTCATCGGTGGAAACCCCTGGGGATATTGAATTCACCGTCGACTTCAAACTTTCAAGTGAGAAGAAATTTTTTTTTTTTTTGAAAAGTTTTAATATTTTTTGTGTTTTTAGGATTATTTGAATTTTATAACACATATTCCCTTAAAGATGTGCCTGTATTTTTTGGTTTACCAGAAAATGTGGATAGGGCATGGGAAAGGAATACTTCTGCGAGTGTTATACAATATTTAAAAAGTATTTTTCCAAAAAATTTTCAGGAAAAAACAAAAATTCAAATTTTTAATATTTTTGTAGATTTAGCAATTACGAAAGAAATTACGAGTAACCAGGAACAAGTAAATAAAACCTACAACTCTACGTCGCCCTTTGGAAAAAAGTAAACCACGGACACGAATTTATCCGAACACCTTTACCCTCAACATCTCACAATAAAATCGACTATACTCTTGAGACATTTATCAGTGAAGAATTACGTTTTGCTTTGACAACTATACAAACCCTACACAAATGTTTCTCATTTCTAAATAAAATGGCAAAAGGGCAGATTTTCGGAGATGAAAAATGTACGAAAATTAGCGAGGAATTACTAAGTTTCAAGGTACAATTAAATATTTTCCAAATAAAGAAAAATACGAAAAAATATATTTTCAGACTCCTGCATCCTGGTTGAAACTTTGGAACGGCCCTAAAGAACCAGCAAAGTATCTTAAAGACCTAATAAACAAAACAATCACTGTTTCGCAATGGAATGATAATCCCGCCACGTATTACCATCATCCAATGGACATATCGCAGTTATTCAATGCGGAAACTTTCCTCAGCGCGTTCAAAAAACAATTCGCGAGTTCCAAACACCTTGCAATTGATGAATTGGAACTTAAGTCACATTGGAAACCTAAGGACGGTTCTGTTTGCCTCACGGGTTTGCACATTGAAGGTGCGCTTTTTGACGGAATTAATTTATTACCGACCAGTGCAAATTCAAACAGTATTAATCCAACACCAGATGTTTATATTACATGGGAAGATAAGGTAATTGTTTTTTTATGGATGAAATTAGTGTTATTGTATTGTTTTTTTTTTGTTTCCAGAAAAATGAAGTTGATGATCGTACACTACAGGTACCTTTATACTACGCATTGGATCGCGAGAAATTGCTAACGAAATTACAAGTTCCCTGCAGTAACAAAGAACAACTGCAATGGATTCAAGCTGGTGTTGCTTTCTTTCTGCGTGATTAAATCTATTGCACTTACCTTGTGAGTTTGTTTGATGAATAACTACGATTTGAATAAACAACTGAATGTGTTTTACTTCCTAACCAATAAATTTTGAATAATCGCAAAGTCAAAGGCAACAATGTTGCGCGAACAGATAAATCAGCACTGTGTTGCCGATTAATATATAATTACATGAAAATAATCTCAAGAAAGAATAAATTTCATCTGGTAGAGTAAAAATTAATAATTATTATAAGTGTGTAACCATAAATAAGTTTTAAAAACCGTTTAGTTTTATTTTTGGTGAGAAATAGCTCTGTCAAAAGATTCATCCCTTCCATTGGCAACAGTGCTCGTTAATGGCGCCGCACTGTTTCCGCTGCACACAGCATTGTTGTCAGTTCTAGTGTTTGTGCAGCAAAATAACAACTCAATTTGTTGTTGTGCGGCTATTTACAACAAATCCACCGCATCAATTATCACTCCCGCATAATTACCAAGTGATCAACATCGCGTCCAGGGTGGTCAGAGGGCTGCAAGCGTACGGATTGGCGTTGTTTAGAATGTAATACGTAAGGACCTTGAAACGTTGTCGATTGGTAATCAGCTCGCATCCGGTGACTGTCAAAAGGCGCTAGATTCAAATCCCACCAGCGAATCACATACAAAATGGAAGGATCCGAAGAAGAGTTACTCGAGAATGTGACCGATGAGTCCGGTAACAGCTACATGATTCAACGTATGACCGTTGATAATGCACAATTATTAGGCACAGAAATCTTACAAACTCCAAATGGTTTGGTTGTTGACTTGGGTGGTGATTTCATCCCTGTTAACTACAGTTCTGAAGATTTGCTTACACATGACATTACAGAAGAGGATAGAAATCTAGCTGCTGCTTTGGTGGCTGTACAATTCAGCCAGCAGCAAAAACAGCAACAGACACAGTCTGATGGTAGTGTTATTGTGAATACATCACTACCATCATTGCTAACTACACTTGATGGATCAAAAGTCCAACTGGGTGAACAACAAGTTCTCCTGCAGGATAAACAAACAGGTTTTCTTCAAATTGTTGATGCAGATGAACTGTACAAGCAGGATTTCGCCAAGTTTGATGAAAACACCCAACAATTGCAGCTGATTAAAGCAGAGGATCATGTCCAGGAGGTTGAAGCAAGGCCAGCAAAGAAAAGCCTCCCACACAAGAAGAGAATTCCAAGAAAACTCAAGAAGAATGAGAAGACTATTGTTACAAAGCTACAGAAATGTTCCTACTGTAATCAATACTTTGCTCTAGAAGAGATTAATGATCATCAAGCTGTTTGTCAAGCAAACATTGCTCCTGTGAATTCTTTCGCTTGTCAGTTATGCTCGACTAGTTTCAGTGATCAGTTGGCTTTCTTTGAGCATCTGAAGAAGCACTATGAGCCTGTGCAAGGTGACAAAGCAGGGGAGGTTGAAGAAATTGAAGATCAGTCTGAATCTGCAGATGCTATTTCAGATCACATCACTATTTTAAAAGTAAAATTTATTTTTGTTTTTTTGTGAACAAATTTTTATTAATTGATGTTTTAGGATGATGATATACTGCACAATCATGAAGGAACAATCATCAAGATTGAAGGTGCTAATGAAGACCAGAAAGAGACGTTTTTCTCATCGATTCTGCAACTGACATGCCTGCAGTGCAATCGGACATTCAGAAGGCAGAAGTTTTACGAAGCGCACATGCGTGAGATGCACGGAAACAAAGAAATGAACGAATTCAGCGAGACTGAAGATTTGATGGCAGGGATCAACGTCAACGCACACGGGGAAGTCACCGAAATTGAAGGTGATACCAAAGCGTGGTATCATCGCGACGATGAACTCCAAGCAACCGAAGAAGATTTGAAAGAACTGGAGGCCAAGGAACACGTGTGTCCGAACTGTAATCAACAGTTCATGGATCGCAGCACGTTGATTGATCACATGCTCAATTGTTCCGCGTATGCTGAAGAGGAGGAGGAAGAAGAAGACGTGGTGCCTAATAAAGTAATTAAAGATAAGGGAGTGAAGAAAACAAGAAGGAAGAACACTGCGAAAACTGAGCTGGAGTGCACGCTCTGCGACCGCAAGTTTCTACACCGGAATTCATTGGTTTATCATCTCAGGAGTCACACTGAACATCGCCCTTATCAGTGTGATCAATGCGGGAAGAGTTTCTTCGCGGCGAGTGCACTGAAAGTGCATTTACGATTGCATTCGGGTGAGAAACCCTATAGATGCGAGTTTTGTGGACGCCATTTCAGACAATGGGGCGATTTGAAATACCACTGTATTTCGATTCACTCTGATGAGAAACAATATCAATGTGAGTATTGCGGGAAGGAATTTGCGAGGAAATATTCCCTGATTGTTCATCGTCGGATTCACACCGGCGAGAAGAATTACCGGTGTGAATTTTGTGGAAAAAGCTTCCGGGCTTCGTCTTATTTACAGAATCACAGAAGAATTCATACAGGTAATTAATTTTTTTCATTTTATCATCACCCAAATTAATTTTTTTTTTTAATTAGGAGAGAAGCCACACGCGTGTGATTTATGCGGTAAAAGATTCCGCGTGCGTTCTGACATGAAACGCCACCTGAGAACACATTCGAAGTCCCGCAGAGTGAGCAGAATCACCGAGATGAAAGTCGAAAGCGTCGAGCATGTCCTCCCGCAAGAATCGGAAGACACCAATGAATCAATGACGCTCCTCAAGGAGGAAGATGACAACGCAGTACAATCGCTTCAGTATGAACAAGATGGTACTCTCGAGTCGATACGCGATGCGAATACTCTGTATGTGCACATGCCTATTTTGATTTCGTGAATGTAATCATTCAACAATTGCTAATAATTATGATCTAATTAATTATTATCTGTGCTATCCAAGCGATATTTTTCTTTCTTTTTAATTATTACGTATTACGAATACAGCGCGATATCAAAAATATTCGGTATGAGTAACAAGATGATAATTTTATGAATAAAAATGTGAAAATATTTGATCGATATGTGCAAAGTACGGTACTGGCTTGTTTTAGAACCTAGAATTTCATCATCAGCTGTTTAGTTGTGTTGCAGTGCAGCAAAATGTCGATTTATTATAGTGGAACGTACAAAAGATCAGCAGGAATTATTTCTGCGATTGCCAAACAAATGAAGTCGATTAACTTGAAGCCTGTGAAGAAGATTCAGGTTTCTTTTGATCCGTTTCATGCAAATGCCGTGACTGCAAGGTAAGTTTAACCTCAAAAGTTTAAAAATTTATTAAAACTTTAAAATTATCATATATTTATCATTTACTAAGTGAAATTAAGTCTAAAAATGTTTAAATTTATGTTTTTTCTTAGTATTTTGATGAAATATTTTATAAAAATTTAATTTTTGGTAGTTTTATTGATATTTAAAGATATTTACTAGCAAAATTTGAGCTTTTTACTAAAAATTTCAACAAAAAACATAATTTTCAATGATTTTTTATGTTTTTCTCTAAAAGATTATTGTTTTATTCATTTCTTAATGATACCAGCTAGTAACGCCTGCTGGCGGCGGCAAGTAATGTCTATAAATACATGAATAAAACGGGCGCACGCCCAGTCCTCTCCTGCCTCTCCTGAAATATCGATCGTGATCAATCCACCCGACACACAACCTAAACAAATCTTTCTCGCACATTTCCAGAGACTTTCTCTACTTTATCAACGCGCCTCGTATCATCAACACCAATCTGAACTGCGTGATCAAGCCGAATGTGGTCTGCGACCGTTCCGAGCCAGAGATTAAGATACATTTAACCGACTCAAGGTAACACACCATAGAAAACTTAAAAATAAATAAATACAATTGTGTTTTCTGTGTGTTACAGCCTGGTGACATTCAAAGCAAATAATTTAAACGTGCTGGAGATATTCCAGGCTTTCAACAAGCATATTAGTAGCCAAGTGAAGCAGGAAGAAGTAAGCACGTCTTCACAGACTGCGAAATTGGAGAAGAAGAAGTTGAAGAAGCGATAAAAGTCATGGGGATGAAAACGACGAATAACAAGAACTACCAGTTGAAGCTGATTGAAACAATCTACAATCAGATACCAGCATTCACTGATGTTTTCACAGAGGAGACATTTTACATGACTGTTATTTGTTTTGTATTGACCACCATTGTTTTGGTGTTCTTTATATCTAGATTTGTTACCATTAAAGCCGTAGATTAATTCATCGCTTATTTTGTAAGATATTTTATGTTGTAATAAAAATATTAAACCTCTGCACTGACTAGAACAATGTGTATGGAATATTCTGGAAGATATTCAAATTGCGCGCTGTATTTCCAGCGTATCATAGCAACACCCAACCATTTTCCCCCCTCATACAACGCTCCAATCGCAGTGAGCGACTTCGCCCGACTTCACCGCTCAAAAGCACAACTACACCGCATTTTTACTTCACTTTCTGACTTGTAAGTTGTGAGCTTTTGCCGGTTAAGTACGCGAGAAACACATTTTCATTCTTCAACTTCAAACAAAACGTGAGTGATTAATATTCAACCTATATACTTTTTTTGAACTGAATTATTCATGTTAAACATAATTTTATTGAAAGTTACTAGTCATCTTTCAATTCGCACGTGTTTTCCATTAAATTTCTAGAAGTTTCTTTGTTTGCAGAATAATTCAACATGCCTGAAATTGATATCTCTCCCAAACAAGACAAAGGTGTATTAAAAGAGATCCTCAATGAAGGACAAGGCAGTGAAACACCTCCAAATGGATGCAAAGTTAAGGTACACTACACAGGAACCCTACTGGATGGCACTCAGTTTGATTCAAGCAGAGATAGAGGCCAACCATTTGAATTTGATCTTGGCAAAGGTAAAAAACTTAATTTTTCGACCAAAAAATCCTAATTTTTAATAATTTCTTATTGTTTTTTCATACAGGGAGTGTTATAAAAGCATGGGACATTGGTGTAGCTACCATGAAGAAAGGGGAAAGGGCCATGCTCACTTGTGCAGCTGAATATGCCTATGGAGAGTCAGGAAGTCCACCTACAATTCCCCCAGGAGCTACACTAAAGTTTGATGTGGAAGTTATCAGTTGGATTGGGGAAGATCTCAGCCCTGGCAAAGATGGTTCCATCGAAAGAGTGATAATCACTCCTGGGGAAGGCTACACAACACCAAATGAAGGTGCTTTGGTTGATATCCACCTAATTGGAAAGCACAACGATCGTGTGTTTGATGAACGCGATGCTACTTTCAATATCGGCGAAGGTGCCGATGTGGATATCATCGAAGGAGTCGAAAAATCGCTGGAGAGTTTTAAAAAGAACGAAACTTCGAGACTGATCATCAAGGCAAAGCATGCCTATGGTAAAACAGGCTGTGAGAAACATGGCATTCCTGGCGATGCCACTGTTGAATTTACTGTTACATTAAAGTCATTTGAGAAGGTATTGATGACTATTTATCATGATACAGTGTAATTAAAGTATAATTGATTATTGTTTGCAGGCTAAAGAGAGCTGGTCAATGGATAGTCAGGAAAAAATCGATCAGAGTTTATTATACAAGGAAAAAGGCACGAATTACTTCAAAGCGGGCAAATTGGAACTCGCCGTCAAGATGTACAAGAAGATTTTGTCATGTTTAGAGTTTGATAAAAGTAATTATACTTTTAAGTGCCATAAAATACCATAAAATGTTGATTTTTAATGATTTTTCTTAGCTTTTGAAGGGGAATTAGCTGCAGAGAGGAATCCGCTCGTGCTCAGCGCGAATTTAAACCTTGCGTTGGTGTATCTCAAGCAGAACAACGCTTTTGAAGCGAAAAATGCTGCAACTGAAGCCATCAACCAAGATAATACCAATGAAAAAGCGTACTTTCGGCGTGGACAAGCATATCTGTTACTTAGGGAAGCTGAATTGGCTGCTGAAGACTTTGCAGCTTGTTTAAAGATTGAACCAAATAATAAAGCGGCTCAAGCGCAACTTGCGCTCTGCAAGAAAACGCTACAAGAGCAGTTACAGAAGGAGAAGAAAATCTACGGCAACATGTTCGCTAAGTTTGCCAAAATGGACACGCAGGTGAACAATTAATTTTTCATATCGACACTTTGTAGACTAGTTTCCCATTTTTTCACCAAGTGTTAACTATAGACACACTTGTTGTTCATTGATTTTTTTACCGTCTTTGTTAAATATAAAATAAACGAGAGAAAATTGTCTAAAAAGTATGAATTTGTTTCTTTTTTCAATATGGCGCTGGCGCTCATCTCGTCTTTTACGTGGTGGTGAATATTTTACACGCAGAAAGAAGAGGAGGAAAAGAAAAAAGAACCCGACGTGATGTCCTCGCTCGGAGAATGGGGCAAAGAGGATCGCGAGCGTGAACCGACCGAATTCGAGAAAGAAAACCCGAATATTCTACTGTTGAATGGCAGCGGCCAGTTTAAAGACATGTAATCCGTAGTATAGCCATGAGTTTAGGTTAAGATTTGTATGAAACTTGTGTTTCTTTATGTGAATTTCCATCACGATAGTAATAAAGAATCACTTACGAATAATTAACTGGATTTCAGCTACCCGCACGAAGTTGAACTGCTCTTTCGTTAACGTATTTTTCAACAATGACGCCATTAGCACGCTGCAGTTTTTAGCGTCGGTTGGTAAACAGTGTTGCCAACACAAAAATTTAAAACTAGTTAGACAGATACAAAACTAGGCAATTTTCTTACACGCAAACTAAATTACACTTTCAAAGATTAAAATTATGTTCCAAGTAATGTTATAATAATAAATAGATTTATATATTTTGAAATATACTTTTTAAATATTGTAAGTACGTATTAATAATAATAATTCAGTATGAACGCAAAATCTGTTAGTGTAAGATTTGTCATTGCGGCGAATTGAAAGATTGCAGACTTTCCAACACTGAACAACGTCGACTTTGTATTAAAAAACGCACAAAAACCTAATGTTAAATCATATAGGAACAAACAACAATCGTTAAATTTTCAAATTTCGCCCATCCTGCGCGCATTTTGAGCCGGCCATCTTGTTCTCCAAGCAAATCAACACTTACAAAAACAAAACGTGTCTCTCACATCTCATAAGATCAGCTGAGTTAACAATACTTGTAATAAAAGACAAACGATAGTGATCATCGTAGTGATACTAATAGTACTTACAACCTAATGTAACACAATATGCTTAACATAGTTATCGAAATAAATAAAATACGCTCGGCGCGTAATGAGACGAATGCAATCACCCTAATTATTGCATATTGCATATGGTTTAAAACGTTGCATATGGTTTAAAACGTTTCAAATTTGGTCAACCGTTCCGTAGAAATTGCAGTTATCATAAGCATGAATGTAGTAATTTTACAATCCGTTAAACATTAGATGGACCACATAGGAAATCTTTGGCTAATTAATTTATAGCTTCCCATCGCTTAGGCATCCCGCAACGCGCAACACTCGCAAAGGCCTCAAATCGTTTCAATTCAAATGTCGTGCGACTGACGAAAACACACTCAATGTTACAAATAGAATTCTTACATTTTGCTGCTGCTTACAGTACATACACACACAAACAAAATGTTTATTTATAGTTAACCTCTCTTTAGTTTGGTGTTGCTAGCTTTGCTTTGTCCCATCTTCACTCATCCTCGGCTTAAAAACGAGTAACAAAAATAAAATAAAATTTAATTCGTAATCAGTCAAAAATGTATGTAAGCTATGAATCCATTTGAAAGTAAGAAAGAAATTAAAAATGGTGACCTAAGTAATCGGAAGTAGACTACGACAAGACTGAACCGAACTGCCACGCCCTCTCTCTATCCGTAGAGATATTATTAATAAACGTTGAACATTCAAACGAGTACAGTGATAAGGTGGGCGGCCGTTTTAGTAATCTGTTAACTACGAATTACCTGGATTCTGTTTTTTTTTGTTCTTGGTTGCTGTTCGTTTCGGATTGTGTGGTTCAGACGATTGATTGATTGATTATTAAAGTATTGTTTAAAGATATAAATTAGATTGGCGTGTGGCATACGCGATGCGTTTATTTCTTCTTCCCCGCGGGCGCCTGTGAGCGCTGCGGCGTCACTGGCCTTCCTGAATTAGTACCTTGATATTGATATTTCGCTTTCTTCTCAGACGGCTTCAAAATCTACACAAACACACAAATTAGAGTTAACCTCACCAACTAGTTAAACATAACCTAACTTAATTTTTATAGAAATTAATTTACCTGGAATGAACACATGAGTGTTTCATCAACGCTCATCATCCCACCGGCGTTGTCAAACTCGCCGCAGTAGTTTGGCGCTGAAAACAGTGTTACCAACTGTCGCTTGGCGAAAAACTCATAACCATCCTCAACGACTTGATGCGCCCTGCAAATCAGGTCGAGATCGTGTCGGCTGAGGAATTTGCTCACCACATCCGCACCGAACGTGAACGATACACCACGATCGTTCTCGCCCCAACCCTGCACATCCTTATCTGGATCCGACCATAATAAATCGCATAATAAACCTAAAACCATACAAAAAAATATTTTTTTTAAAACAAAAAACACTAAAAATATTATAATTACCTGTGTCAGGTACATCTGTAGGCCGCATAATACGACGAATCTGCTCCATGCCCTGCAAGTCAGGACTCAGCCCGCCGTGGCAGCAGAAAATCTTCTCGTCGATAATGGCGGCGATCGGCAGGCAGTTGAAGCAATCCGTGAACGTCTTCCACAGCTTGATATTAAAACGCCGCTTGCATTCGTCGTAGAAACCATAGATGCGGTTAATCGACGCGCATTCGTGATTACCGCGCAGCAGGAAGAAATTCTCCGGGTATTTGATCTTGTACGCGAGCAGCAGGCATATTGTCTCCAGCGACTGCTTGCCGCGGTCGACATAATCGCCGAGGAAGAGATAGTTTGCCTCCGGGGGAAAACCGCCATATTCAAACAGTCGCAAAAGGTCTGTGTACTGTCCGTGGATATCACCTTCAAAAAATCATCAAAAATCAACAAAAAAATCAATATTTTATCATTTTTTGAGGTTAATTTCATGAAAAATCATTTTTTAAAGAAAAATATTAAAATCAGAGCTTGTTTTATGCTTATTTCAATAATTCATTGCTTTATTGATGGAAGCCTTTCTGCGTGCACATTCCTAACAAGATTTTTCCAGTGCACTCATTTCACTTTAATCAAATTAGGAAAACAAGCTGTTTGTTTGTTACCGCAAGCTCGCATTACGTCGTAATGCGCTATGTAAATGTTAATTACACGAATCAATAACGCGTGCTAATATGACAGACGTACGTCAAAAATACCACACATTATCAATTTTCTGCGTTTACGATGACTAAACACATGATAACAATGCGTTTTGCATTAAAACACAACAAAAAACTCAATTTTTGCGCAGATTCAAGCCGCCATCTTGTTTTCCAAGCAAATAAACACATAAAACGCTCGAAAATCTTCTAAAAATTAATATAAACACAATCTAAATATATTTTTACATGTGTGATGATAGAATATGCATGTTTACAGTATAAAATTCCTACTCACCACATATTTTCAACGGTGCTTCAAGCTCTAACAAAATGGGCTGCTGCAGAAAGATCTCTCTCGACTTGAGACACAGGCCGCGCACTTCCGACTCGCTCATCTGCACGGACTTGCCCGGCCGACATCCTCTTACTATAAACAAACATTCATAGCGTCAGCTCATTAAAATCCACTCGGCTTCACTTTGAACATAATAAAAATGTAAAACAAAATCAACAAAACGCGAGTCGAATGTTTCAAAAATTATAATCACGATGTATAAAGGAGCAACAAGACTAATTGTAACATTTCAACATAGCGCATAGAATATTGGAAAAGAGTTTTGGCAAAGCGGCAGGCAAAAGCGATGGAGAAAGAGTAAAGACTGCGGCGGTAGGCGGTGAATCGAAGATAAATGTAATAACATAATCGAATAAAAGACTACTACGTGTTAATAGTGTATCGGTTCTCTTACATTCGGAGGAGAAAATGTCTTTGAATTTGGTTTTCTTCTTTTGCAACTCTTGCGGCGCATCTTGCTGCTGTACTTTGTATACTTTAATGGCATTTTTGGCACACACGTAAAGCAGCACAAAAACAACAAGAGAATTCTTTCCAGAGTATAACAACGAACAGATTTCCTCAGATTATCTATCAGATAACAAGAAGAACACATTTTTCCACATAAAATTTGATTATTGCGGTGAATAATCCATTGAAAAAGCGCAAAATTTCGAACGAAAAATGCAACGTTTTCTTGTTATCTTGCGAATTTCGTACATAAATCGTGTCTTACACCAATTGATGAATGTTTGCAAGTGTTTCTTATGTGAGAAATTAAAGAAACTACAAAATAATGTAACAAACTCATGAAAATTAGATGAAAACTGTTCACATCAGAGATGCGCAGCTGAAAGGCTCCCACAGAGAACGAAAGAACTTACAAAAAGAGTTGGAACCGTGTGTGTGTTAAAGTGTGACTATAAATATAATTCGTCGACGGTTTTAGTCCGCATTCGAAATGTTGAGACGCCGACGCTGCTGCGATTGGGGCCGACAGACGCAATGGCCCGACCGGAGGCTTGTCACTGACGCCGCAATTTTGTGATCGAACTGCACGTTGGTGATGAACGCGATACGCACGCACTTAGGCTAAAAGAGATTGCGAATTATTTGCTTAAATTACCTTCTAATAATCGCTGTATTAGACTGTCGACGTTTAATTCTGGCTCCGCCATTTTTGTGAATTTAGCTTTTGACGTGTAGGCACACTAACATTTTAGTAAGAAAAACCCCAAACGTGTATAGTGGGGACTTTTCTTGTCATTTAGTTACTATACCACGCATGCGCATTGAGGTATTCATCAAACCGTTTGAAATTTAAACAATATTTTAGTTTTAAACATTTTTATCACTAATTATGTATTGCAGAATATATTGATATTAAAAATTATCTTTAATTTGGTATACTACACCTGTATTTTCTTGTTTTAGTTCATTTTTTGTTTTCTTTTCTTTATATAACCTAAAAAAATTTAAAAACTTAGAAAATTGCGTTGAAATATTCAAATTCTTGAATTTTTTCTATTTTATTTTATTACAAAACGATCTTGGAAGCAACGTTCTCATGAATTGTAATCATCACACAATTAGGTCATGAATCCAGGTGGATTTGAATTTTATATGCTGTTATATTTGCATTAAACTTATCTAATCTTTCCTGAATTTTATTTACTCAACGTATATCACATCGAAAGTCAATATTATTTGTCACACTTGGAATGTACTACATTACAACACTTTATTTTAAGTAAAGTGCATCAAATTACACAATTTTTCACTTGTTAAATACATAAAAAAAAATGAATTTATTCCCCAAAAACATTTTTCCTGCTTTCAAAGCTTAAAACTGTCAAATATTCATCAAAACTTGCCTAAAAGGATTAAAAACTCATTCCAGAATATTTCTCATCTCCGAAATTTTATTTCCACCTGCGTAAATAACACATGAATCAATTTTTTCCTCACAAACATGAATCACAGGTCTATTTGCTCTGCTTATCACGAAAATATTCAGGTGATAAGATGAGATAACAAGACGCACAGTTATTAGATGAAGCAAGTGATCTAAAAAACATCGTTCCAGCACAGTTTCATCGTGAATTGCGAAGGCGTCGGTGTGTTGTCCCCGCAGTGTCGCAATCAGTTGCAAACAAGTGAATAAGTGATAAGAGTGGTACGCGACGCAGAGAACCGCATGGTTCTTCTTCTCGCAAGACAATCATGGCGAAACTAAGCGTATTCCTGTTGCTGCTGGTCGCTACAACGTGTTTTATACAAACTGTGCAATCGCAACATTCTACCGGAAGTGAAGAAGATGATGGCGTCGATGTGTTCAATCCGGGGATGAGCAGTGACACACATTTACCACAACCAGGGGGTTCAAACGAAGGTAATCATTGAAATTCTTATATTTTACTAAGTTTTACTAACCCGGGAGTAGTTGGGAGCTTAATTTGACTAAAATTGGGAATTCAAAATGGCGGTGCTTGGATGTTTTAGAAAGTGGTGATGGTCATGAAGGTGATGGTGAAGGGGAGGTAATGGATAAGAGTGAAGAAAAGCATGAGGCTGATGTAGAAAAAGATGAATCCGCTGAGGTGGAAGAAAAAAAGGAGGAGAAACCAAAACCAAATCCAAAACCGAAACCGGTTGAGGAAACGCCCGCCAAGCCCAGTAAGCCATCGCTGCAGCGTAAGATTCCATCCCAACTCGGTCGCTTGACATATCCCAACGGGGATACAGACGGTAAAAACCCTTTTTCCAGCGTGAATCACACGAATTTCGCCATATTTCGCGCTGATACGCCTTTGTTCCATTTTTAAGGAGTGGCCGCCATGTCACTTTCGAATGCGTCACGCGGCGATAACGCGTTATCATCACTCAAAACCTGAACAAACATCATTACTTGGTTTTGCAATCAATCATGTTCAATACACGATATTTCGCACAAAATGGCCGCCATGTTACGTATCTATATATGTTTCTATCACACAGGTACCAAGTTCAGCGATGAGTACGCACGCGTCGCACCCAATAAGAACATCGGGCAAGGGACCGGAGGTATTCCCTTTGCGTTGTCCGAATCTGAATTGAAACGAATTCGGAGTTATCCCATGTACTGGTATTATGACATGGGTGGGGATTCTGAGAACCATGGGGATTTCCAGCATAATATCCATTCGTCCTCACCAACTGTCCATAAGAACCTTAACTTCCAGTTGCCATTTTTTGGTTTCCGGTATAATTACACCAGGGTGTCACTCAACGGGTACCTGGAATTCAGTGACCCGCCGGAGAATTATGAGTCATACCCATTGGTATTCCCCAATAAGGACTGGCCCAAGAAGAATGACCCTGCGTTCATTGGTATCTGGCATTCCAGATGTCGTGTGGGTGCCATACGAGCTGAGGATAGGGATCAACGCGCACCAGGTGTCTACTTCCGGTTGGAGCGTGATCTCCCAAGCAGGACTGATGAATTAGGTGTGATGACCTATGAACGTCTCAAGTGGGATATCAGGAAAGGAGTGATTGGGGCTGATTCCTTCGTCCCTAAACATGCGATTATTACCACCTGGAAGAATGTCACCTTTGCTGGTGGTATTAGTAACGCCCTCTACACCACCAACACCTTCCAACTTGTACTGGCAACTGATGAGGTCTTTACTTATGCTATCTTCAACTACAAGGACCTCCAATGGACAACTCATACCGAAGCTAGAGGTGATACCACTACCGGTGAAGGTGGTACCCCTGCATATGTTGGTTTCAACGGCGGGAATGGTACCAGGTCATACCAATACAAACCCTACAGTCAATCTTCGGTTATTCGTGACTTGACCAGTCGTGGGTACGCGAATGGGTTCCCGGGAAGACATATCTTCCGTATTGATGAGAATATTTTACTTGGGACCTGCAACAAGGACATTGACGATGCTAATCTACCTCTGATCATTGCTCCCGAGAGTGGAAATATGTTAGGTGGGACCGTTGTAAACATCACAGGACCCTGCTTTGAACCAACTGATAAGATCCGGTGTAAATTCGATGTGGTTGCTGATGAAGTTGTGGGTACCTATGTCAATCGTAATCGGGCCATCTGTATCCAACCTAGACTCTTCGTAGAGGGTTACATCAATCTGGAGGTTGCCATTGGTAACGGAAAGTTCAAATGGAAGGGGAAATACTTCGTTGAGACCCCCGCCTCGGCGGCAGAGAAGATTTTCTTTGATGGTAACCAGGTAAACGAGAAATACCCAGAGGGTATCAAGCTGACTTGGGTTAAACAGAATTTGACAACGAATGAAGCGGCCCAGGTGAAGTTCTCATTGTGGGGTTACCGTGAACGAACAGTAAGACCCGAATTCGTCTACATTTCAAGCCTGGGTGAGTCCCAGAACAACGGGGAATACACCATTGTCCCAGGAAACTACCGGAACAACGACAACCCTCAATTCAGCGATATCAAATTTGGGTTCATTCAGATTAACCTCACAGATTCCATCCCTGTGGATACTTTAACAGGAAGTTCCAGCGATGTGAAGATTACCCCTGTGATTTGGTCAAGACCTATCCCCTTGGGTTGGTATTTCGCTCCGCAGTGGGAGAGGGAGCATGGTACTGAATGGCCCACGGTGTTGTGTAATACCTGGTTGAAGAACGACAGGTTCCTGAAGAACTTTGCCCATGAACTACATCAATGTCCTTGTAGCTTGGAACACGCCCTGAATGACAAAGGAAGGTACCTCCCTGACTTTACCTGCGATAAAGACGTGAACCCAACTTGTATGTACAACAAGGGAGCTATACATTGTGTGAGGAGTGGGTCACCCACTCTGGAAGGCTCTGAACAACAATGTTGTTACGATAAGAATCAGCTACTCATGATGTCCTATGACCAAATGTGGGGATCCAGCCCATTTAGGTCCCATAACCTAGGATACCTTCCTTGGAATGAAGCTAACAAAGTCCCAACCCTTTCGCAGTGGTTCCACGACTACGTCCCGAAGTACCTCTGTTGTATCTGGCAGGATAACACAATCCGAGGGGAAAGTGGTGAGCAATCAGTTGGTTGTGAAACCCTTCGTTTTGAACGTCGACCCACACAAGATTGTGTTGCTTATCAACCACCTGCGGTTGCGGGTGTATACGGGGATCCACATATTGTTACTTTTGATGATTATGAGTACACCTTCAATGGGCTTGGAGAGTTTACCCTTGTCAGGACGGAGAATAAAGATATCCGCTTGGATGTCCAGGGACGGTTCGAGAAGTTGCCTATGAATGCTTACGGAGAAGTCAGAGCAACCCAATTGACAGCTATTGTAGCCAGGGGTAACTCCTCAACTACGATTGAGGTTAGGGCAAGACCCAAGGAAGCTACTTGGAGGTACCGATTGGATGTCCTAGCTGATGAGAAACGAATTTACTTCGATCGGCCATCTTTGAAGTTCCAACACTTCCCAGGTGTTCTAGTCTACACCCCAACTTATATTCTGAATCAATCCGAGGTTATCATCATGTTTGACTCAGGGGCTGGTATAGAAGTCGTTGAGAACCAGGGATACCTTTCTACCAGAGTGTATTTACCATGGACATTCATTGTAAGTATATTTATAACCTCAAAATAATCAATTTAACCTCAAAAATTCATTTTTTCACAGAATCAAACAAGTGGGTTGTTGGGTAACTGGTCCTTTGATAAATTAGATGACCTGACCCTTCCCGATGGTACAAAGTCACCTCTAGTCACCAACATCAACGACTTCGGGTCAATCTATCGTGATTTCGGATCAAAATGGATGCTGGCTGATAAAGATGAACCAAAAGTGGGTCGCGCCCTGTTTTCACGAGACAATGGCCGCACCTCCAGCTATTACAACAACAGGACCTTTGAACCACAGTTCATCATGGACATAGAACAACTTATCCCACCGAACCGGACCAGGGACCTTGACAAAGCCAGAGATTTATGCTACAACAACTATCAATGCGGGTACGATTACGCGATGACCCTAAATCGGGACCTGGCCCATTTCACGCTCAACTATCACGCGTCCATCAAAAACATCAAGGAAGTCAACAGCCGCCCTACCATTTCCTGTGGAGTGCTGGAAACTCCTCGATTCGGCCGGAAGTCCAACTTTTTGTTCGTCCCCGGGACCAAGGTGACCTTCGAGTGCAACGAGAACTTCATCCTCAGAGGTGACCAGCGTAGGGAGTGCATGTCCAATGGTCAATGGAACCTTCCCGAGTATGGATATACAGAGTGTTTACGTAAGTCTTCTTTTATTTATTCGTTGATTTAGGAACAAAAATTTCAAGGTTATGTGTGTTGATATAAATTTTGCGGTGTCTCATCAGGTGGACAGGAATATTCATCGCGTACAGCGGGTGCTACCTTTGGGATAATCCTGTTTGTAGTCATCAGCGTGATAGTAGTGCTCGCGTACGCAGGTTTCCGCATTTACCGCCGCGTTTACATTAAAAAAGACCGTTCATTCCTAAACCCGCCATCTCGGGCCGCTTCCAAATTGAGTCTGAATAAAATCGGCAACGGGGATTCTGATGATGACATGACTTACCCGGTTAAGTCACCCACATTCAGTGAGAGGAGCTCATCCAATAGTGACAGCATCAAGAAGCCCATGTTTTATGATAAGAGTTATCACACGCATGAACCCTTAGCGGGTTTGCCCGAGGTGGAATTTGAGGAGAAGCCAATGGATTTGGATAGTGAATACGACGCGATGAGTCAGAGCAGTCCGGAAATGAGACGCGACGCTGATGGACGCGTGTATGATACAAGGGATTCGGTCACAAATGGGCCGATTTATACTGCGCCAATGCATAGACCCGCTCCACAACCGCCGGTTCCATCGTATGCGGCTAATACGTATGCTGAGCCGTTCGCGCATGTCAATCGCGGGAATCAACCACGTGATACACGCGATACGTTCCAAAGTCAAGCGTCGATTGTAACCGATGTTTAATAGCAATTATTATGACAAGCATGTGGAATGAGTAGATTATTAATATCAATTCTTATCACTTAGTTGTTAGCACTTGGAGATAATATAAAATTTAAGTTATATTTTATTGTTATGCTATATAAAAGTCTGCCATTGAAATAAATAATGTTAAAAAGTTGATATTAGTCATTTTTACCATTCCACATGCTAGGAATATCAATAATGTTTATTTGGTTGCCTAATTCTTATTTTTTTATATTAATTTTATTTGATTCTTAATGTGTGGAATGGTTGTAACCTATTTTTTCCTTTCATCCAACAGGACAACAGGAATACGCTTCAAGGACAGCTGGTTACACCTGGGCGATTATTTTATCCATCACAGTCACGCTGATTGTGATCCTGGCGTATGTTGCGTACAGATTCTTCCAGAATAAGAAACAACAAGAAGATTTAGTTGATGATGTTGGATAGTAAGTGAATTCTTGTTAATATAGGCAACCCAACATACACAACTAACCTTGAAATGTGTTTCTAGCCCGGCGAAAATGGCAAAGGCGCGTGAAGCTGCATTAAAGTCATCCATGCCGACAGGTTACTACGAAGATGAGAGTTTGAGGTCGACTACATCAAACAAAGATGATTTGCGTTTGGATCAACAAGGATTGTAAGTTTTTTTAACCTAAAATGTTACATTTTCTTATTTTTTGTTGGTTATGTTTGTTTTAGGAGAGATTCAGATTTGCATTCGGAAGTATCACATAAGCAACCTTTTAATGGATCAACTTTCCAACGCGAGAGTGAATATGACTTCCATACGCCTTCGCCTTCCGAAACACCGCAGAATGAAATTCCACAGCAACAATTTCAACAACAGCGCCCGCATCAAGAATCGCCCGAATTCAGAACTACTTCACCATCAAGAGAAACAGTCATTTAATTAAGAATTAGTGATTTTTAAGTTTCTTTTTTGTTAATTAAACATCGATTTTATTCAAATTTAGGGTTTGGTAATTGCTTTTTGTAATTTATATCTCATAAATTCAAACATTGACAAATTTACTGAAATTTAAAACTTAAGTGACAGATGCTTTTAAATCAAGTACAAATTGATGCAGGTTCTAAGCGCAGGTTAATTGTATACTACATTTTTATGTCTTTTTTATACTTTGATAACGATTAAGTATTATTTTCACTTTAGCATTTTAGATTAGAATAATTTCATGACTTTAAAATGTTACAAATGTATGAATAAATGCTAATATTAATAATATAAAACGAATTAAACTTAAATCAAAACTAAAGAAGAGGTTATAGTACAGCTATAGTTGACTGAGCGCATGCGCCGAAACACGAACGGAACCAACTTGTTCCGACGTAACTTTTCGCAAGTAGGCAACCCAATACACACGTTCAGTCGTGCCTAACTCACCCAACAGATTTTCTAGGTTCTTTTCTCATCAATCAAGGGGTTTAACTCACTTCTGTAACCTATTTGTACAGTAATATTGCACAATACTCAACATAAATCGTAAATTACCAAATAATAAAACGTCAAAAGTGAACAAAACAAACAAATAAACGCCAATCACTTCAGGAACAACACAATTATGATTTACATTAGTAAACTGAAAAGAAAAACAAATTTTAATTACTTTTGCACATCTACAACGAGTATAAAAAAGCACAGCACAAACCAATACCGATATTGTTCTTCCAAGATGTTCAACAACAACAAGTTCAACATGTGTAAACTACTCGTAGTATTCTCCGTGATAATCTCCATTACTAACAGTCAGCAAGCCCCAACCACCAATAAACCACCATCGCGTTATCCAGACATTGCGTCTGCGCAAACCTTCGAGGAATTGGCCGCCATTGCCGCAGACGAAGCAGCCAACCACGATAAAGAACTCGTAGCATTACAAAACAAACTAATAAAAGGCATCAACAACTGGATGGAAGACGTGCAAGAACGCGGTGATCGTTTAAAAGCAAAAATGGCTGACAATGATGCATCCTGTCAAAAATACTCAGAAGTCGACGAAGTTGTTGCGGAAAGCAACCGAATCTTCACAGCGGAGTTAAATCACGATCATGTAACAAATTTAAAAGAATTTCCTGCTTTACAAGATGTTTACAAACAATTTACTGCCAATATTGATGAAATTCAAGACTCAATTGAAACTTGTCGCACACAACGCTGTTCGCGCCTGCGCTATCGTCGTAGATTATTAGAAGCTAAACAAGGAATGGAAGAAGCCAGAGATAAATTCAAACCTGCATCACTACGCGCATTCGGCAAACAAAAAGCCTACCCAATCGCGCATTACAATAAATACAGGAATGGGATCCGCAGCATCGAAGCCGAATGGAAGACATGCGTGGATAACCTACAATAACCTCAAAATGACGCATACGAAACACAACACGTTATTATTCAAAGAAAACATGATAAATATACAGATCACACCGGGTAATTCGCTAGAAACGCATCAAACTGTTCCCTATGCGCAGGATTAATAAAATTACTCAGACCCGTCATCAAGTAGCAGAGATTCGGTTTGCTGGCGAAGAAACCTGTCAAAGTTAATAAAACCTGGCGCAGATCCTGACTCGCTGTGTAATCTTTCACCATTGCAATAAACTCAGAGTAATCCTTCGATGAGAACTTATTTTGAACCTATGCAAGTGTTATATTATTATAAACATGTAAAAATCATATAAATTACATAGAAAATAGTCACGATAATTACCATCACTAGATATTCCTTGATATCGTCGACGCTAGGCTTCTCCGGCATCTCTTTCACCTTTTTCTGTTCATTTTCGAGGTTAATGTTGGGTTTTAACAAGAATTTCTGGCGTTTGAACTCTGGTCCAGCCCTGTCCCCACTACGTTTACGAATTATCACTTGATTATGACTACTACTCGATGTAGCGCCCTCTTCTGAGCGTGAAAAACATGTCAAACCATTCTTTTCGTCTGGTTTTCGACGTTCGATTACAGGGAACGCCGCAGATGCGTTTTTGAAAAACTCTCGCAACTCACAAACAATCTCTCTGTAGTTGTTCACGTTTTTAACATGTCCACGCAACCAGAATGACATTTGATTGATGATTCGTGGATTGTTAAAGCGTGAATCAAGCAGGATTATTGCACCGTAGTCTTTTCTATGGCGGATTACACGTCCTATAGCTTGATTGACGGCTTTTGTTGCTTCTAGACTATACCAATCATCACCACTTGAATACTGAAACATAACCATGAAATTTTTATGTCAGCCATGTTTTTTTTTGACTGTCAAAAACTTACTTCTTTATTTTTTGATCTGCAAATATCCAAATATCGCTTTTTTAATATAACTCTAGGATCTTTCATTGGTGGATAAGGCAATCCAGTGATTATCACAGCGCGACCATTAGCATCAACAAAATCTAACCCTTCGGATACTTTACCTCTGCATACACCCATAAAGATGGCGCCACTATTCGCCGGGTCATTCACAGTCTCATAATATGAATTCATGCATTCTGTAAACGCTTTCTTCTCACGTGGTTCAACAAATATGTTTTTATGACCGTGAATGTTCGCCCACATGCCATTCTCCATCCATTTCTCTTGACACATTGCTAATATAGGATACGAAGGGAAAAATATCAGTAAACCTCCGGGGATCATTCTTGTAAGGTTAAAAATCGTCATTCCGAGGGATTTTATATATGCTGGATCATTTCTACATAAAAAATCATAAAATATGTTGATTTAACCTATAATTTTAAGGTTATGATAAGTATTACCTTGTTTTATAGCTGCTATTCAAAGTGGTGCCATCTGGACCTCGTGATAGAATCTTCACACAAACCTGATCACTTTTCACGATGTGCGGATTCTCCAAACGCACTTGAACATTCAGTTCAAGCTCAGTTATGAGTGGATTTAGTGGTGCTAATGTTCCACTCGTTAAAATAACACATTTTATGCCTTGACCCATGAGCATATTCATCCTAAAGCAACATAACCTCAAAAATATTACTAAATTTAGGTTATATGAAAAAACCTACCCAAAACCAGGACTAAAACACCAATAACTCAACACTCTGCATTCGGATTTGACAGCTGTTGCCTTTGACAGCCAATTACTCTTCACAAATTTCTTTTTCTCTTGATTTTCTACTTGTATATGAACTTTGTAACATTTTTGAAGTTTTTCTTTGAATGTACCCTCTGTGCTTGCATATGCAATACGTAACAAATCCTCAAACAGCTGTAAACCATGTCCGTTACGTTGAAAAGGTCCTTCTGAAGCTGTCGCAATAAACGTGCAAATTCTCTCAATCAAACTACTGACAATAGTTTGGTTTTTATCGGTGATTCCAGCCGATTCAAACAGATTAAAAATATACGCGCCATCGAATGTTGATCCTTCTTCATGATTCTTAATCTCAACAGCGTCTAAAGCTTTCTCAAAACTTAAAAACATGCCTTTCAACATCATTAATTCCTCGGCGCTGAAGTCGGGCGGCGTTTCCCTGAACGACATCTCGTTGTTCTCATCACTGATGACTTTCATCACACTAGTCACCTCATCGATACACAGAGTGACATCTGTGCTTTTGATTTGTAACGACGCAGAATCCTCGCAGATTCGCTCCACGTTGTGCGCTTCATCTAAAATAATAACTGAATTCGCCAATTCAACTCCCAAGGCTTTCCTCGCCCGAGGATCCAAGAGGTAATTATAAGGCATGAATACAATATCAGCGTTTTGTTTCAACTCTTTTGACATGTAATACGGACAGAACTTCTGACTGTTGCCTAGTTTTAGGAGATCCTCGATGTCAATGACGCCATTTTCCTGAAAGACTGGATTGTCACGCTCGCGCTCAACGCGATTGTGATAGAAACATGACCGGGATTGGACTTTTGCACGACACATTTGTATCTTCGTCGCGTTGTTTTCGATATCTTTGATTTCCGGATGAATACACATTTGTTCCCTTGAGCCTAGGACACTTGCTTTCATGTACTTGTAAGAAGTGCGTTTCAGTTCGTTCATCGCTTGTGATAGTTGAGAATGCGTTCTGGATGAGTAGATAATTTGTGGGTATTGTATAAATGCGCTGCGATTTGAGTTTGAATTCGTCCCACCAAGTGAATTTAGGTTGTTAACAAGAGATTCAGTGTTCTCAAGGCACTTTGAGAAGCCTTTCGCTTGAAATTCCGCCTGCATTTGCGCTTTTTTTACTTCCAGCCATGCAAGGGATGAGCATAATAGTGAGAGTGTTTTACCAGTGCCGGTGGGCGACTCCAGGACGCCGTTGCGTTCGAATTGTAGACATTCTATCACTTTGGACATGTAGTCTTTTTGTAACTCGTAGGGTTCGAAGGGGAATTTCACGGGAATTCCGTTTATTGTGCAATCTACACTCATTTTAATTGATTGTGGGTTGTATACTGATAGTAGTACAAAAACTTTGTTACATGACACACTGTTTTTAATGAATATTTGAAGTAAACAAGAAATTCGGTTGATGGACTCTGAGTTTGTTTAAATATGAAGGTTAGAAAGATAAACTGGCGCGAAGTTTAGTTACTTTTGAATGTCACTAGAATTTATAAAGTTTTGTTTATTTTATTTATTTATTGAGCAAAAACACACTTTAAAACCTTCTAAAACATATAAATTTATCCGTATAAAGATGTACAAACTATCCTGGAGGCACAAAACAAGTAAAATATAAACAAATTCTTTAATTTTTATTTGGTCTGGTTACCAACTTTACACAAAAAGTTACTGCTGCCTTCATTCACAGCTGATAGTGAAACAATATTATATTTCGTTAGTTTATTATTAAAATTAGACTACTATACCAATGTTTTTCGTGATATTTTGATATAAATAAATAAATAGGATAAAATCACTACTCAAAATGCATGAAGTGTATAAACTATCGCCGCTTTTAAAGCACACCAGCGTCCAAATTGAATGCATTACCTCATATGGTAAGATTTTTAACATTTTCTTATCAAATTTTATACAAAAAGGAAGTTTCTAAGCATATAAAACAATTTTTTAGATGAATACTTACTATTGGGAACCAGACAAGGTTCCCTTTTGATGTATAACGTAGTAAAAACCACTTTAAATGATGATAAACCAGAGATTCAGTTGATGCGATTCAATAAAACATTCAGCAAGAAACCAATTCAACAATTGGATGTCATTGCTGAATACAATGTCTTAATAAGTCTCACAGGTAACGTCACAACAAACACAATTTTATTTTAAATAAATAAATCAATTAAAATCTGTTCAGATAACATAATTCAAGTCCATGACATAAATTCATCAAACTTTGCCACAACTTTTACCCTGGATAAAACCCGCGGTGCCACTTTATTCACCCTTGATGTTAACCGACAAGTTACCATGACTGGTAAAGAAGTCTCCATCTATCGAATGTGCGTGTATGTCAAGAAAAAACTGCAATTTTACGTCTGGGCAAAGAAAGAATTTCTTCAATTGGAAGAAGATGTTGCCATTAATGATGCTCCAAAGGCCATAGCACTCTGCCAGAACACAGTTTGTGTCGGAAATAAGAATGAATACTCATGTTATCAGGTAATTAAACATCTAAACACTTAAAACTTGATTTTTTTATTTTTATTAATTTTTGTTGATTTTTGTTAATTTAGTTAAAAGATAAATGGAATGACTTGTTTCCAACATCAAGCAATCAATCCAATGAGCCATTTGTAATAAAAGCATCAGATACGACATTTGCTTTGGTTAGAGACAAGCAAACCTTCCTGGTTAATGATAAAGGCGGCGCTGAGAAGTCGAAAATATTAAAATGGTCCGGAACTCCGCATGCGCTTGTCTGGGACGAGCCATATTGCATTGCTTTGATTGGAGACACAGCGGAAGTGCATGCAATCGAAGCAGAGGAAGTTATACAAACTATTCCTGATTTAGGTAAGGTTAGGTTTGTATCTCGTGCGCAGCAGGGGATTATCTACGCGGCATCTATCGGACAAGTTTGGTTATTCCGTGCGATTGACATTCCTATACAAAGAAACGCATTATTAGAGAATAAACAATTTGAATTAGCACTAAAACTAACGGTAAGTCATATTTTTAAACATAAAACACTTTAAAATTAAATTATTCATTGTTTTAAAGAATGTTTCTGATGAAACAGACATAGAAAAAGATAAAATCATCTATGACATCCAAACACGCCTTGCATACGAGTTATTCAACAAGAAAAAGTACCACCAAAGCATGAAAGAGTTCTTAAAACTCGGAACTAACGTCCATCATGTGATCAGACTCTTTCCTGACTTGCTACCACCGCAAGGTGACGAACCAAAAGTAGAAATCACTAGTCATTTAGCAGGGAAAGAATTAGAAGAAGGTTTGACAGCTTTGATTGAATATTTAACACAAATGCGGTTTAAATACGCTTTAGAAGCACAGAAAAACATTAACACCACCGCGAATATGAATAATGTGCAGATAATTGACACAACTTTATTAAAATGTTACCTGCAAACCAATGATGCGCTGGTTGCGCCATTGTTGCGGTCGAACAACTGCCACCTGGCGGAAGCCGAGCGAACTTTAAAAAAATACAAGAAAAACAACGAATTGATTATTTTATATCAAACAAAAGGACAACACCGACGCGCTTTGGAACTGTTAAAAACCGAGGATAATGTTGAACGTAGTATTACATATCTACAACACCTGGGTAATAAAGACATGGGGTTGATTTTAGAGTATGCTGACTGGGTGTTGAATAAAACCCCCGAGGAAGGTTTGAAAATCTTCACAGAAGATTTAGGCGAAGTTGAAGCACTGCCACGACCACGTGTGCTTGATTATCTGTTAAAATCACACATAGATTTAGCCATTCCGTATCTTGAGCATGTGATTAATATCTGGAAGGATACAAATCCATTGTTTCATAATTCACTCATACATAAATATCGCGAGAAGGTTTTGATTGATGAACCTGGCGTGGAGGTAACAAAAAAGAAACTGATTGAATTCCTAGAGAATTCTGAACATTATAAACCCGAAACTGTGTTGATACACTTTCCCACCAATGCTCTGCTTGAAGAACGAGCGTTGATTCTTGGAAAATTAGGAAAACATGAAGAAGCACTGGCTATTTATGTGCGCGCGTTGGGTGACATTGAAAAAGCCATCAATTACTGCAACAAAACTTATAATCAAGAAGATAAAGTGTATGTTATGTTGATTAAATTGTTGTTAAACCCTGAAGGGTTTAATATTAACCTGCCTGGGGTTACGCTGTCGCCGAAAACAGCGCAGACTGATCTGGAAGCTGCTCTGAAACTACTGGAAGACAACGCTTCTTGTATTAATCCACTGGATGTCTTGGATGTTTTACCGGAGAATATTCCAGTGTCGAGGATTTATAAGTTTTTGCAAATTGCTATGCAGCAGAGTTTGAAGGATAGGAGAAGAGTGCAACTTTTGAAAGGATTATTGTATGCGGAACATTTGCAGTGTCAAGAGATGCGGCTACATCTTGAAAGTCAAAGTGTGTTGATAACTGACATGAATATTTGTCCTGCGTGTAAGAAACGCTTCGGAAAACAGAGGTAATGTTATTTGTAGGTTAAAATTATGTTTTGTGTGTTAATTTGTTTGTTTTAGTGCATTGATTCGTTATCCCAATGGAGATGTGGTGCATTATTCCTGCCAGGATCGTAAATATTAGTTTTATTATGTTTTAGGTTGGTTGTATTGAGTTAGGTTGGTTGCCTATACTTGGCCGCCATGACTGCTTGTATAACCTATGAATATGCGCAATGTGCGTGTAAAGTGATGCAGATTCAAGTAAGTTGATTTATTTAATCTAATATTATCAGATTATAACTATGATAATACAAAAATGATAATTATAACTATCGGTAATCATAATATATACTTTTTACCATTGTATTATCTAGTTTTTAACAAAAAACAAGTAATTTTATTGCAAAAAATGCAATTTCCGGTTATATGCGACATTTCTATTGATTAATTATGCAAATCATTGCATTTCAAACAATGAAATGTTGTAATTAGGGCAGTGGTAGAGTATGCAATGCTTTTTATGACATAAAATCATAAAAAAATGTTTCCCAATGACAAATTTACCATAAAATAGGTTAAAAGAAGTTAGACAGGTTAAAAAATAACGTTTAAGTTTATTTCATAATGAATACAGAAATAAGATAGTATTTATTACCTGAACCGGCGTGAATTCCCCTCGAAATAAAGATTTTCCACCGTTTGAAGATGAAATAAGTGAAGAAACTAAGCTGTGAAGCATTTTGACAGAAGAAAAAGATGGCTTCCACCACTAACCATAAGTTTATCACAAGAATATTAAGTATTAGTAAGGAAAAGATTCAATTTTCGTGCAAATTTCGTTTATTTTATGATTAATCTTATAAAAGAACCAAAAAGTTTAAATATTCCTATCACATTATATTGATATCATAGATATTATATTAATAATTCCCAAAATAAATGAAAATTCAAGGTTATATTCATAAAAAGGAGACATGCATGAGCTGGGAGGGCGCAGAGAACATTGAAAAGAGTTTTGCAATCATTCACGAACTTGTTTGCGTCTTATTTCGCTTTCTACTCTGATCAGATTCGATTGAACCTGAAACATCATACATAGTTCACGTCGCGTCTCAGATTACCTATTTCGGATTTATTGATTATAGCTTCGCTTGCATTTGCATAATACGTTTGTGACCGTGCTTGTGTGCATCACTTGCCTTATCAAGGAACTCATCTAGTAGCTCCGTGTAAGCGGCGCGATACTTGATGAAGTGCCCGACATGGTGTGAGTCCACCCAGTCCTTCCAGTACACTTCCATGCCCTGCGCCTCCCAGTTATCACGCACCGCCTGATTGGAGGTGATTTTCCCGATGGGGTCACGTGCGCTCACCATGAACAAACATGGCGTCCGGATGAAGTTCGTGTGGAACATTTGCGAGCCACGGATGTAGTGACAGGTGGCGACTTTGTCAAAAGTGCGCATGTGGTAGTTAACGTACGTGCGCATTGCGGTCTCCATGACGGGGTTTTTCGGGAAGAGAGCTTTCGGCATGCCGTCAGGGATGTCGTTGATGTCAGCGGCTGAGTCCCAGACTTGCGCGACGAAGCGTGACGTCAGCGGTTTGTATTTTTCTTGCTCAGAAGACATTTTAACAAGTGTTTCACTCCAGACGTAACCACCAACTGAGAATCCATGTAGAAATAGTGGACTGGTGAGGAAGTTCGACGTGAGGAACTTCAGCAGATCACCAGCGACGACTTGTGTGCCTGATTGCGGCCATAATAGTTGCCAGGGTGATACGTTAACGGTTAAAACATTGAAGTTCTTCGCTAGGTAAATATCCGCGTATTTTTTTATGTGTTTCGGACGTGCGAGGAGCCATGCGTGCATTATGGACAACGGTTTGTCTTCGGCGACGTCTGAGATTGATTTTGCCTTGTCGTTTGTTAACAAGGTTATGTTTTTTGTTACAGGTATGGTGGACATGTTCTTGGCGGCCATTATTGTCACCACCTATGGAATACATGGAAAATTAAGGGTTAAAAGTCGAAAAAAAGTGTAAAACTTACGAATTTTTGTTGGTTTTGCAGTAAAATGTTGGCAGAGAGACAATTGACGCCCCGTTTAAGGCTTAGACGTATCACAGACATTCTAAAACAAAGAATGAGTTAATTTTTGTAGGTTTTTGAGGTTAAAATGCATACAAAGTTTAAAATATTAACAGAAATCAAGTTTATTGCTTTCTCACAGTAAAAATACTTGCGAACTGAGTTGATTTAAATAAATTGTTTCATTGAGGCAGACTTGAGTTGGACTTTGAAGCGGATAATTTACTGTCATGTATGTTGGTTTAATATTGCGATTAATTCGATAATAGCGGTGATAGCAGAAAGTGTTAAACAATGCCGACGTAATCAGACGCAAAAATGCTGAGTTTCCTATTTATTTTATTTTAATTGCGCAGTTAAACATGTGCAAATTTTAAAAATATAAAAAAAAACGTCAATAATATGATTTAATTCGTTAATTTAAGATGAAAAAAGATTTTATTGACGTAAATTAATGTTAATTAATTGCTTGCTGGGCAAAACAATTGACAATTTTAAATACATCTTTGATTTTATTAAATTTCAAGGTTAATTTGTGATTTTGGCAAAAAATCTCGACAAACACGCGCTGGGAACATGAACAATGATGAAATAATGTCTGCATATTTCATTCCAACACTTATTCTAAGTTTATTCTTGTTTTTATTGTGTATCTTACCTGATTGGTTAATGTTTTGCCCTTTTTTGACAGATAATACTTCGTGCTCCTCGCAGGTTTGCAGGAAATGATCGCTGGATTAATCCACGTTGAATAATTCGTCGGCTGGGCGGACAAAGAGCGCGATGCACTCGATGACGACGGCAATGAAACCCAGACGCAAGGAAAGCGAGTCGCGGTGTTGTAGACAGAACGCGTGTAATGTAATGATTCAATGTTGGTCGTTGCTCGTGGCCCCGCAATATGCGTTGCGTGCGACTCAGCCGAACGCCAGGCAACAACTGTTCGTCGATGGGAAGGCAGACCAGTATTTACATCAACGAAAGCTCCCCTGAAAGCATCATTGACGCATGCAAAACAAGCAGGTTTTTAAAATTTATTAATTTTTATGATATCAAGGCTGAAATATGCTAAAAATCAAAGAATTTCTTTTATTTTTATTGATTTTTGATTTATTCAACGCCATTTTGTGTTCAGTTCATTTCCCAATGCACATTTGGGCTCAAAAAGGTTGAATTCATGCGTTGGCAAGCAAAATCACTGCCAAAACACGTTTACTTTGTATATTTTGTCTAAAAATATACTAAAACTAATTTTATACACCAAATTATGCATCAGCGGCCATTTTGATTACATTTTTTCGGTGTATACGTCCAAAATTACAGTTTTCATCTGATTGTTAATAATTTATATATGTATCTATTAAATTTGTCCTTGGTTGGCGATGCGCCGCTGATGTGGTGATACTTTGTAATGATTGTAACACGGCTAAAATTGGTCTGTGCACTCGCCGACCACGTGCGTGGCGTACAAAGTAGAGAGGATTCCGTTCCATTTTCATATGTTAATGCTACTGTGTGCAATATTAATATTTGTTACTATGTTGCGCTGCGAGTCAAACTTAAACACATATTTGATCATTGAGAATGAGAGATTATTATGCGTCGAGCAATGCTTCATTAAACAGTTTTAGACGGTTTATTGTTAGATAATAGTCATTGAACTTGAAATTTTTTGTTCAATCGCGTGGAAACATGCATTTTAAACATTTGAGACATTTTTAAGGAATTTTAGGTAAATTATTGGAGTTTTTTTTGTACACGTGTAGACAAAATAGTTTAGTAATAGTGTATATAGTTAAATTATAGTTCTAGACGCGATATTTATCAATTATAAAAGAATGATAACAATGCTATTGTTTGCTTGATAAAAGTATCATATTTACACGCAATAATGCTGTAATTACGTCTATCGGGACATTTATACGGTAGTTATAATAATTTAACACGATGAAGTGTCATATAATACGTAAAGACGTATTTATTTATGAATATTATCATGTTTTGAATGAGTGATTCATATATTATGCTGGATTGGAGTCCATTTTGATATTTACTATAGGCAACCAACTATACACGTCAATAATTTGCATTATACCTACACAAAAAACAAAACAAACGTTTTTTACATAAATTCACATATATTTTAGTTATTTATTTAATATTTACTATGTTATATTAATTTATAAGTTGTTTTAATGATTAGTTTAATGTTTTTAATGATTTTTATATTTTCTGTTTGAAAACACTTCGAATCTGGGTGTGTGCTTCATTAGTACAGCGCATCGCCGCATAGACGGCAGCACCTCCCGGCGCACAACACCCGATCGGTATCCTCGGATGCGACTCGGCGCTCGTTCAGTACAAAAATCAACATGGACGCAGGTCAGAGTTGTCGGGCGTGAGCGTGCACACGAATGTTGCGATACAATTGTACGGTGGCGCAAAATAAGTGCTGTTGAGCGAAATATTGGATTATCTAGAGCGACTACAACCGTAAGGTGAGTGCATCTTTCTATCCATAGTATAAATCCGCTGTAATCACGCCTCGAAGTCGGCTACACACGGCCATATCCCCTGACCTTTAAACATGGCTGTGGATCTTGCCGACGGTGCGGCCCATCGCGCACCTCGCATTGACATAAAACAATCGCGAATCGCTTATTTAGGAAACAATACTACCAACCTCCACAGAAAAATTAAAAACAAAATTTGTTTATCTCATAGGTAATGATTTTGCAAGATTCAGATAAAAATCAAAATCAATTTTTTAGTTTTTGTGAATTTTTTTATCGGTTGAGGGTGTGATTACGATTGCGAAAGCACCGTAAAGAAATCGCGGCGCGCAAGCGGTGTTATTAGGGCTACGATATGGCCGGCCGATGATGTCAGAGTCGTTGAACTCAACTCCGGGAAAAGGGAAGCGATGGACGCTGGCGGCGACGCCGCGCATGAAACAATGTTAGGTATTCATAGACAGGAGGACGAACGGCACACTATGTATTTCAACTACTAGTAATCCGTCACCAGTTTGCATTTGCACTAGTGAATAAAAAAAACACATTCACTTGCGTTGACTTCATCGCGATTCGGCGGAATAATTTTTTTATATTGGATCACCTCTAAAAATAGCCTGCAAACACCAGCAGACGTAGAAAGTCTCATACAACTTCAACTACAAACAAATAAACAGGAGATGTAAGTCGAAATAAATCACAAAATCCACAAATATCGATCGAATACATGCGAATTGTGTGTTTGAAACATCTTCACGCCATTATCACACGATATTAATAGCCGTGAATTGCGTGCGAGCCGAAAATTTAAGATTTTCGAACGTGGATTTGGGTCATGCATGTAAAATGTGCGAAATGCGAATTTTTATTATTTTATCTTCATCATATCGACGTGAAACTTGCAACTGGAAACACTATCTAGTTAATTAAATTACGATAAGTGTACTGCAAGCATTACACACGATACCGCGATAATATTGTGTGTACTTTTTTAATTATTACACTCGAAATCGCGTTCTGCGCGCGCTCACGATACGAAAACAAACAAGAAACATGTTTTTAGCTCCAGCAATGATGTAATTGTTTTCAGTTTCGTAACTTAACAACGATTATTTTGTATTTTTTGTATTTTTTTGGTATTTAACACCCTGTATAATGCTGATTGTTCATTTTATTACGTAACTTGTCCTACCGTGCGATGACTGACTGACACACACACTGAAATAACCACATAACCAGTTTCTTTTTTGTTGTTATTTGTTTCCCTGGATGGCCCGAAGGCGCATCGCGTTTTATTTCTTCTGCGCTGGATGCGCATCTGCATCGTTTGATATTTTCGTCTCGGAGAAACACGCAGACGTGTTTTAATAAGTGTTTCAACTTGAGTTGAACGCAGTTGAAGATGACTCAGACGTTTATTTGAAGTTTAAATTTTTTTTTTATTATTATTTGGTGTCAATTGTGACAATTTTTAACGTAATATTAGTGATTAGTGTCAGCAAGGTGTGATAGTACACTTGTAAGTATAATCTTGGTATATCGGTACACTTTGTCGCGTTTATTTGATGTGATAATGATGATAATGTTTGTTTTCGATTGTTACTATTTACATTGCGCTGTGAATCACACACACTACACTTGTGCACTGAAATTCTCATAATAACGAGGTGCTGATTCTTATAAATTGTGCACAAAATGCGATTGAAGCAAGTCTATGCTATTATTAGACGTTACGCGGCGCATTATTTACAATCACACATACAGGGTGTTTATAAAACATAAAATAATGCTAAAAATTATTAAAAATACAAAATATGTGAGTTGTAGTTCTGTGTAGATGTAGTTTTGTATGTAATAATTATTGCTTAATGTTTGTGTTGTTTACACCTTTGATTCCAAGCGTGTAATTTTGCTTTCATTTCATTCTTTGCGCGTTATTTTACGAACGTCTGGCGTGGCCGGCTGTGCATGAGTAATTGCACTGCTCATTGACTGACCGATAGTGTTACAATTTCACACGTCAGCAGGCAACTGAGTTATGAATATTGAATTCCCATTAAATACGTTTAGTTGTACATAAACTCTGATTGAGTTGAAAAAGAATAAAAAATACAGAAAACTATAAGAAGAAAAAAGATAAAGATACGAAAGTCTTTGCTGATTGGTCCGCGTTCAACCAATCACTGAACACAAGCAGGTTTTTAGAGTTTAATAAACAAAATGGCGGTCTAAATGTTTGTTATTTGCATTAAAAAAGCCATCAACACAAAAATGACAAATGAAAATTGACACATCCCGTATTATATAGTTTTTAATTCAAGTTAACTGTAGTTGTACTACTGGCGTAGTGTGTATTAACAAATATTACGTTGTCAAGGTTATTGTTGGTGTGTGCGCTTTGTGTCGCCATTCGCAATTTGCAAAGTTGGGCAAATAATTGCTTACGAACTACAACTACCTAAATTTGATACATTTAAAGTTTTAATGTTCTATATTCTAAAAATAGACGTGTAATTAATGTCTATTAGGTTTTTATTTAATATTTTGCTTTTAAATCATAATAATTAATTGGCGAATATTATGATAACGCTACTAATGTGGTTCACAATGCGGTTACTGTTCAAATGTATTTTATTTTATTTTATTTCATTGCTTTTCAGTTCGAGTATGTATAAAAATAGTCTCATATGTGTGGCGCTTTGTTTTGTACATTTGTATTGTCCTCGTTTTACTTTTTTTTTTAATGCTGGCTTCGCGTTTTTGATGAAGAAGTTCGCGTGATCGACGCGGCGCTTCCACCAGGATTTTCCATTAGTCGTGCCGGGCTAGAATTTAGTTCAATTCAGTTAAGTCCGTGTTTATCGTCGACCTTGACTTGATGATTTTCAGATTTTCTGATTTTCTGAGTTTTACTTGTGTACAGTAAGCAGAAATTTACAATACAAGTAAAATTTCATTAAATTTACAACAAAAAACATTTGTTTACAATAAAAAAAAATAATTTTATGTTGAATTATGTTAAATTCCAAGAATTTACTGAGTAAAATTTAACGAAATTATAACTTATTATACCCACACGAAAGTATGTAACGTTTGTAATGCCGACACACAAGAAACACGACGAAACCCCGAAGAAATTCTCAAGTGCACGCAGCGTGTTTGCACGAAGACGCACAGTAAAGTTAATGAAGTCTGGAAAAAAGTGTTTGCTACCACGCCCTGTGACGGAAAGTCAAATTAATGAACACGAACATGCCTGTGTGCTTAACTTTAACTATTCTCTATTCTACGGGTAGTGTACATACGTGTAAAGAGAGGTCCAAATGTCAATGATATTTTTAAGCATCCACACGAACGAGTCATCTTTGCCTGCTTCAACGTGGACTCTGTGGTAAATTCATTAGATAATTTACAATTTCTCATTGAAGCCGATTACGTAGGTCGAAGGCTGCACATAAAAATATGCCTGCCGCGTGTGTGACATCATTCATTCATTCCGCTTATCAACGGTTTATGTTTTAGTTTGTTGCTCATCGGGCAAAATAATAACGCACCGCGCGCTCTGTTATTTTCTACTCTGGTGAGCACCACGCAGACGGAATATAAAGACATTGACAAAAAATTTAAAGCGGAAGCACAACGCATCCGGCAACGCAGCGTACCTGTAATTTTTATTGTTTGGTGGTTTAATATGCTTTTTTCGTGTTTTGCATGCTTTTAAAGAGTTAATTAATTTACCTAGGGCGGTATCGAGTCATCCCTTCACATGTATGGCTTTATTTCATCCCTCTGGTGTCCCCTAAAAGTAAATTTGACCTCATTCTCTTGAAAGAGTAAATTTTCATTGTTTTTATAGGGATAATATTAGGTTTTCTTGTTTTTCCTGTAATTGAACGCAAAAATTGACCCAAATTCGAGTGGCGACGGTGCGTAATATAATTTGGCGAGGTCGCGATTTCCTCATTCGCCCCCTTCGGTCCCCATTTGCCCATTACAATGCCGCCGCAGCCAATATGAGCGATGCGTGTCGGTGTGTAGGTGCGCGCTGCGCGCACTATCGATCCTGTGCGACGCTGACGCCGGGACGCCGACGCGCCAACTGACGCCGAACCAGCAACAAGTTCCGCAGAACTATATCCTAACCTTATATGCATTATTATCATTACAGGCGGCCTGCCTAGGCTAAGGTTGTAAAATGACGACCGACATCAGTTTGAATCGATGGGATCCCAGTCTGCAGCAGGAGATTGTCGAGGAGTACGAGTACGATGGCGGTAATTCGTCGTCGCGGCTCTTCGAACGCTCCAGGATCAAGGCCCTTGCGGACGAGCGCGAGAGCGTGCAGAAGAAGACCTTTCAGAAATGGGTGAATTCGCATCTTGTGCGAGTGAACTCACGCATCGCGGACCTTTATGTCGATCTGCGCGATGGCAAACAGCTCATTAAATTATTAGAAGTGCTGTCAGGTAATAAAAATAATAAAATATTTTATGTCCTGTTTTTTTATTATGTTTGTACTATGTTTAGGTGAAAGATTGCCGCGTCCTACCAAAGGCAAAATGCGAATTCACTGCTTGGAGAACGTCGACAAAGCGCTGCAGTTCTTGAAAGATCAGCGCGTCCATCTTGAGAATATGGGCTCGCATGATATCGTCGATGGGAATCCGCGCCTCTCGCTGGGTCTCATCTGGACGATTATCCTGCGGTTCCAGATTCAGGATATTACGATCGAAGAAACCGATAATCAAGAAACGAAATCTGCAAAAGATGCGCTTTTACTTTGGTTAGTTTAAATTTTATTCACTAAAATTTATATAAATTACATTAATGTTTCCTTAGGTGCCAGATGAAAACTGCTGGTTATCATAATGTAAACGTACGCAACTTTACGACATCTTGGCGTGACGGTTTAGCATTCAACGCTATCATTCACAAACACCGACCCGATATTATTCAATTCGACAAGTTGTCTAAATCGAACGCCATGCACAACTTGAATAACGCTTTCAACGTCGCCGAAGATAAACTCGGTCTGACACCACTACTGGACGCTGAAGATGTCTTCGTTGATCAACCCGACGAGAAATCCATCATCACCTATGTGGTCACTTACTACCATTATTTCAGTAAGATGAAGCAGGAGACGGTGCAGGGCAAGCGTATTGGTAAAGTCGTCGGTATCGCGATGGACAACGATCGCATGATTGGCGAGTATGAATCACTCACGAGTGATTTACTCGCGTGGATTGAGAGCACCATTCAAGCTCTGGGCAATCGTGAGTTTGCCAATAGTCTCGCCGGTGTGCAGCAGGAATTGATGCAGTTTAGCGCCTATCGCACCGTGGAGAAACCCCCCAAATTCGTCGAGAAAGGCAACCTGGAGATTTTACTCTTTACTCTCCAGTCGAAGATGCGCGCGAATAATCAGCGTGTATACACTCCCAAGGAAGGTAAAATGATTGCGGATATTAACAAGGCGTGGGACCGGCTGGAAAAGGCCGAGCATGAACGGGAGTTAGCTGTGCGTGAGGAATTGATCCGCCAGGAGAAGCTGGAGCAGCTCGCGGCGCGTTTCAATCGCAAGGCGTCGATGCGCGAGACGTGGCTCAATGAAAACCAGCGGCTGGTGTCGCAGGATAACTTCGGGCATGACTTGGCTGCGGTGGAAGCCGCGGCGAAGAAACACGAAGCCATTGAAACTGATATTCTTGCGTATGAGGAGCGTGTGCAGGCTGTCGTGGCGGTCGCGTCGGAATTATCCGCTGAGAACTATCATGATATCGATAGAATTAGTCAGCGCAAGGATAATGTACTACGCCTATGGAATTATCTATTGGAATTGCTCAAGGCTCGTCGCTTGCGTTTAGAATTGAGCTTGCAGTTGCAGCAAACATTCCAGGTAATAAAATATTACGAAATTTACATCAACATGATTTTTATTTATTGTTTTGTGTTTTTTTTTGTTTGTAAATAGGAAATGTTGCATATTTTGGACTCAATGGAAGAACTCAAGGCGCGTTTGTTAACCGATGATTACGGTAAGCATCTGATGGGTGTTCAGGATCTGCTCCAGAAGCACAGTTTGCTCGAGGCTGATATCAACGTGTTGGGCGAACGCGTCAAGGCCATTCCCGCACAATCCCAGCGCTTCCAGGACATCGAAACCAACGAGGGTTATCGTCCGTGCGAACCATCATTGGTTGAAGAACGCGTGCAACAACTTGAAGACGCTTATTCCGAACTGGTGCGTCTGGCTGTCGAACGCCGTGAACGCCTTGAAGAATCCCGACTCCTGTGGCAGTTCTATTGGGACATGGCTGATGAAGACAACTGGATTAAAGAGAAGGATCAGATCGTGTCCACTGATGAAATCGGTCATGATCTCACCACGATTAATCTCCTGCTGGTGAAACACAAGGCTTTGGAGAATGAAATCGCTGCGCACGAGCCGCAGTTCAAAGAAGTTCTCAGTGTTGGTGAGCAACTCATTGAACGCAACAACTTTGGTAAGGATTCCATCCAGGAGCGACTGGATGTCACCCTGCAAGCATGGAATCATCTGCAAGAACTCACTGCCAATCGCCGTAAACGTCTTGAGGACGCCGTGGATTATCATCAATTGTTCGCGGATGCGGATGATATTGATTTGTGGATGTTGGATACTCTGCGTTTGGTGTCCAGTGAAGATGTCGGGCGTGATGAGGCGCAGGCGCAGAGCTTGCTCAAGAAGCACAAGGACGTTACCGAAGAGCTCAAGAACTACGCGTCGGTTATTCAATCATTGCATGAACAAGCGCAGCAATTGGGATCAGACTTGGCTGGATCCCCAGAGGTGACCAAACGTTTAGAGTCTATTGATAACAGGTACAAGGAATTGAACGAGTTGGCCAAGCTGCGTAAACAACGTCTGCTTGACGCATTGTCACTATACAAACTTCTATCTGAGAGCGATGGTGTTGAGCAATGGATCAGCGAGAAGGACCGCATGTTGGAGACGATGGTTCCAGCCAGGGATATCGAAGATGTGGAGATCATGAAACATCGCTATGATGGCTTCGAGAAGGAGATGAATGCCAATGCGAGTCGTGTGGCGGTCGTGAATCAACTCGCGCGTCAACTCTTGCATGTCGAACATCCCGACAGTGAGCAAATCACTCAACGTCAGAATCAACTCAATCAGAAATGGTCGGAACTACGCGAAAAGGCCGAGGGTAAGAAGGAGGAGTTGAACCAGGCGCATGGTTTACAAACGTTCCACATTGAATGCCGCGAGACTGTCACCTGGATCGAAGATAAGAAGAGGATTCTTCAGAGTACTGACAGTTTGGAGATGGATTTGACTGGTATCATGACTCTACAACGTCGTTTGAGTGGCATGGAGCGTGATCTTGCTGCGATTCAAGCTAAACTCACCTCGTTGCAGAGGGAAGCTGATCAGATCGAACATGATCATCCTGAGGAGGCTGCGTTGATCCGCGAAAGAATTGTGCAGATTCAAGTCATCTGGGAGCAGTTGACGCAGATGTTGAAGGAACGCGATGCGAAATTGGAAGAGGCTGGTGATTTACATCGATTCCTGCGTGATTTGGATCATTTCCAGGCTTGGTTGGCACGTACACAGACGGATGTCGCTTCTGAGGATACTCCTAGTACTCTGGCAGAGGCTGAGAAGCTCCTGTCGCAACACCAGAGCATTCATGAGGAGATCAACAACTACACTGATGATTACACCAAGATGATGGAGTATGGTGAGCGTATTACTGCCGATCCTGGCACGCAGGATGACCCACAATACATGTTCCTGCGTGAACGTTTGAAGGCCCTGAACGCCGGCTGGGATGAACTGCGTCAGATGTGGGAGAATAGACAGGATCTCCTCTCGCAGTCGTTGAATCTACAGCTGTTGAACCGCGACGCGCGTCAGGCTGAGGTGATTTTAACTCAGCAAGAGCACCAGTTGAACAAAGACGAAATTCCGACTAGTTTGGAACAAGCTGAGAATCTACTCAAGCGTCATGAAGCTTTCCTCACCACCATGGAAGCCAATGATGATAAAATCAACGGAGTTTTGCAGTTCTCCCGGCGTTTGGCTGAGGATAAACACTTTGCTGCTGATAAAATTGGTAAACGCACCGATGCCATTGAAGAACGTCGACAGGCTAACAAGGATCGTGCATTGGCGCAGCTAGAAAAGTTCAAGGATCAGCTGGATCTGCAGCAATTCCTGCGTGATTGTGAAGAACTCGGGGAATGGATGCAGGAGAAGCACGTGGTTGCTCAAGATGACACCTATCGCAGCGCGAAGACTGTGCATTCCAAATGGACAAGACATCAGGCGTTCGAAGCGGAAATCGGCGCGAATAAAGAACGACTTAGTAACTTAGCCAAGGCTGGTGAAGAACTCGCACGAGATAAACCAGAATACGCTGAATTGATTAAACCGAAGATTGAAGAATTGTCTGATCAATTCAACATCCTTGAAACAACCACACACGAGAAAGGCGAGCGTCTTTTCGACGCCAATCGTGAGGTACTCATCCATCAAACCTGCGATGATATTGACTCCTGGATGAACGACTTGGAGAAACAAATCGAAGCCGATGACACCGGCTCGGATCTTGCTTCTGTTAATATTCTCATGCAGAAGCAGCAAATGATCGAGACACAAATGGCGGTTAAGGCGCGTCAAGTCAACGAGCTTGAATCTCAAGCCAAACACTTGGAGAAGACCGTACCCACTGAGAAACTCGACGATATTAAGATGAAGAAGACTCAAGTGGAGGTACGCTTTGAACAACTGAAGCAACCTCTGGTTGAACGCCAACGCGCTTTGGAGAAGAAGAAGGAAGCCTTCCAATTCCGTCGGGATATTGAGGATGAACTCCTCTGGATTTCCGAGAAAATGCCGCAAGCTTCCTCTGATGAGTATGGTAATAGTTTGTTCCATGTTCACATGCTGATGAAGAAGAATCAATCCCTGCGTACGGAGATTGATAATCACGAGCCTAGAATTCACACCGTTTGTAACAACGGACAGAAACTCGTTGATGAAGGACACGAGAGTGCTGATGAGTTTAGTCACTTGAATACCGAACTCCTGCGAGCCTGGCAGGAGTTGAAGGACGCGTTGGAGAAACGTCGTGAGAATTTGTTGCGTAACGAACGCGCGCAGCAGTATCTCTTTGATGCCGGCGAGGCTGAAGCATGGATGAGCGAGCAGGAGTTGTACATGATGGTTGAAGACCGCGGTAAGGACGAAACATCTGCACGTAACCTCATCAAGAAACATGATGGTTTAGACGCGGTGGTTGAACAATACGCTGATACTATTCGTTCTTTGGGTGAGACTGTAAGACAACTCGCAGCTGAAGGACATCCGCTTGCTGAACAAGTCGCTGTTAAACAATCACAGCTTGATAAGTTATACGCTGGGCTAAAGGATTTAGCAGGTGAGAGACGCGCGAAATTAGACGAAGCCCTACAACTCTTCTTGTTGAATCGTGATGTTGGTGATTTGGAGCAATGGATTGCCGATCGTGAAGTAGTTGCATCATCACACGAATTGGGTCAGGATTATGATCATGTCACGTTGTTGTGGGAGAGATTCAAGGAATTCGCCAAGGATACAGAAACCATTGGTAATGAGCGTGTTGCTGCAGCGAATGATGTCGCTGATCAACTCATTGCTGCCGGACATACTGATTCAGCAACCGTTGCTGAATGGAAGGACGGTTTGAATGAAGCCTGGCAGGATTTGTTGGAGTTAATCGAGACGCGCACACAGATGTTGGACGCCAGCAAGGAGCTGCACAAATTCTTCCACGATTGCAAGGATGTCCTCAGTAGAATCATGGAGAAATCTGTGGCGATGAGTGATGAACTCGGCCGTGACGCTGGTTCCGTATCAGCTTTACAACGGAAACATCAGAATTTCATGCAGGATCTGCAAACTTTACAATCGCAGGTGCAGCAGATTCAAGAAGAAAGCGCTAAGTTGCAGAGTGCCTACGCTGGCGACCGTGCTAGAGAGATTACCAACCGTGAGGCGGAAGTTGTCAGCGCCTGGATGAATCTGCAAGGATCCTGTGAGCAGAGGAAGTTCAAGCTTGGAGATACAGGCGATTTGTACCGCTTCTTCAACCTGGTCAGGACATTGATGCAATGGATGGACGATGTCATCAGACAAATGAACACCGGTGAAAAACCACGTGATGTCAGCGGTGTGGAGACATTAATGAACAACCATCAGAGTCTAAAGGCGGAGATTGACGCCCGGGAGGATAATTTTACTGCTTGCGTGTCTCTTGGTAAAGAGTTGCTAGCACGTAATCATTACGCAACCGCTGAGATCCGCGATAAGTTGCTCGCGTTGAGCAATCAGCGTAATTCTCTGCTGTTGCGTTGGGAGGAACGATGGGAGAATCTTCAGCTTATTCTGGAAGTGTACCAGTTTGCTCGTGACGCAGCTGTTGCTGAGCAGTGGCTCATCGCACAAGAGCCGTATCTGATGAGTACCGAACTGGGGCAGACTATTGACGATGTGGAGAATCTTATCAAAAAGCACGAGGCGTTTGAGAAGTCTGCAGCTGCACAAGAGGAGAGATTTGAAGCATTGGGACGTCTAACAACAGTAAGTCATGTTATTTCATTGGGTTTTATGTGTTTTGTTACTAATTTGTTTGTTTTTGGGTGTTGATTGTTTTTATTAATATTTGTTTGTGTTTGTAGTTAGAAAAGCTCGGTAAACGGGTTGGTGATGGCCTCTGGGATAACTTGCATGTTGCACAAGAGTCGGTTGAACATGTCGAAACATTTGAATGTAATTCTTTACCGCCTGAAACAATTCCTCTTCCTGTTAAACCTTGTAATGCAACGCATCTGCCTTCAGCGAGCATTGTGAAGTCCATAGTAAACGATTGCGACCATTTTTACAATCCTAAGATTTATTATCGGCGTTTGTTCACGCTAGATGGCGTGGAGAAGTTTGTTCCTAATCAGCATCGTGAGAACGATAGCTTTTTGTATCCGAAACATGCACGTCCCTTTCGCAAAACACGCATTTACAGTGACACAGACGCTTTGTTTTTGCATCGTGACTATATTACTAGCAATTATTCTTTGTCAGATGATACATGTTCTTTAAATTCCTATTCTACTAATTCCACACTTGCACAGGTACGTTTTATCATAATTTCCTGCTTGTTTATTTATTTTTTGTATTTTTTTCTTGTTTTATGTTGTTTTATGTTGTTTTGTGGATTTATATACTAATTTATGCTTTCTACAGTTCGAACTGAAAGAAAAACGACGACGTGAAGAAGAAGCCGAAGCTGCAGAGCGTGCAAAACGTGAGGCCGAAGAAGAAGAACGCAGGAAAGCAGCGGAAGCGTTACGCGCGACGCAATCACCCGAAGATCGTCCTGACGCCTCCTCACCGCAAGAAGAGCGTCCCGGTAAGCATTTCAATCATTACCGGAATGATATGGATTCCAAACCGCCGAAAAGATCGCATTTCTTCGTGTTCGGTAGAGTTTTGAAAGCAATTTTCTTAATGACAGTCTTCAACAACAAAATTTAACGCCAAATCGATATCTGTTAACAAGAAAACATGCGTCGCACACACATTTTAACTGCTAATTGTTTGCAAGCTGCCGTAACTGCACATAGGGTTTCACTTAAAACCGAACCCGCTGGTGAAGGTAAACCAAAAGGTGTCTGAAATTCATTACGTTTCTACTAGCATCTTACAAAGCTCATTTCTTCGTGTCATGGTGAATCATGGTGATGGCTCCTATTTTTAACAATACCAACACACACAAATAATCACACACATTTTTTTGCTTGATGTTTGCACCGCTTTTTTGTCTTTCTAGAGGAAACCAATGACGTTCATCATTAATCATTGCTTAGAGTGATTGTAGATTGCATTATTATAGTTTTAGTATTAAAATAACGATTGTTGCATGTTTTGTTTGAATTTAGCGTTTGAGCATGTGCATGCTATAAGCTCCGCCGATCGCAGGGCAAGTCAGGAACACAAAACGCCAGGCACAAGTTCACCTAGCAAAGCTAGGCCCAAATCACACGAACCACAACTACGGCCCAGTAAGTATTGCATGTTGATGGTGGTGCAGGAAGAAAACTGCATGATTTTGTTTGTTTGTGTGTGATAATTTGCCGTTCATGTATATCGTCATTATTTTCTGTTTGATTATTTGTGTGCTTGATTTTGTTGTGAAGCGTCCTCTCGGTCGACCGGTACGTTAGAAAAAGAGCGCCGCAAGGATCGGTCGCGCAGTAAGTCCCCATTCAGGAGCTTCCGCTGGAAGAAGAGCGCTCCTAAACCGCATGCGGGACATCATAGCGATGATGATACGCAATCAGGTAGCGAAACATACACGAGTGTAACACACTACACAAGTTACAACATGCGCGCCTATCTAACCGCCCTCGTACACAACACGATATTTAACAACCCAACAATGATTCGGCACCGATTTTTATGTCTCCAAGCAATAAAATACGAGCCACCACTGTGATTTCATGTTCTCTTTTGGTATTGGTACTTTCTATTTACGCTCTTTATATTATATATTTTAAACGTATTGTAGTGCAAGTATACCGCGTGTAGTGTTCGGGTGTTGATTGTTTTCTTGATGATTTAGAGCGTATGAGTCCCGATGATGAGGTGGCATGCGAAGGTACTCTGGTGCGTAAGCACGAATGGGAGAGTACTACAAGCAAGGCGTCGAACCGCTCCTGGGACAAGGTTTACGCGGTGCTGAAGGGCACTCATCTACATTTCTACAAGGATTCGAAGACCTCGAAGAGTTCTCCTGATCAGACATTCAAGGGAGAGCCGCCATTGTCACTACGAGGTGCTGAGTCTTCTGTTGCTTCCGATTACAAGAAGAAGAAGCATGTTTTCCGACTAAAGTATGTGTAAACATATTTGTAGAAAGTTTATTTTTAATATTTTCGGTGTTTTTATTAAGGTTGGTGAGTGGAGCAGAGTTCTTATTGCAAGGACACGATGACGCCGACATGAATAACTGGATAGCGCGGATAACGGCCGTGCAGGAGACAGATTCGGCGGGTCCGTCGCGTAGTCAAACATTACCTGCCTCTGCGCAAAAGGATGATCCAAAGAGGCGCAGCTTCTTCACGCTAAAGAAGAAGTAAGTGCACCTAACACTCTCATCGCGCTCGCATGACGTGACTAACACTTTCTTCTTTTGTTTTCAGTTAAATTATGTAATAGAATATACAAAGAATGGTAACGAGAGAGAAAGAGAGAGTACAGAGAGAAATTGATATATTACAAAGTTGCTTTTAGCTGGCCCGCACACCTACGAAGGCAAAGGGCATTAAAAAATACAAACAAAAAGAGAAAGAAATTACAAATAATAATATTATAATAATTAATATATTCACGTTCTATTTTATATATTATTTTTTAGTACTGTAAGAGCCCTTAATTACTATTGAGTTGATTGATTGATTGGTATATATTTTTATGTAGCCGCACTAAAAGATAAAACTAAGGCAAGGCGATGAAGGATTTCAAGGCACGGATCGGATGTGATTGCTAACCAATAATTCTATTATTGTGTGAATGTAAGCGGAGCGATATTTATATTGGATTCGAATTCAGAACACACCTAACACACACACACACAGATATAAATAAGTACACGTTAATGATAAACCTAATAAGGATGATATGACACTTTCATATTGTTAAATGGTATCGATAAATAGTAATTGTTCTTACAGTGGTTACGAATACTACGACTACTATTACTACTACATTAAATGCATAACTTAACGATTCGATATTATGATAATTACATTGAGGAAAATGCAAAAGGCTTGCGCTTGCTATGCTGCCAATAATAACATTCATGTTTGTTCACACTTTGTCTCTATCGCTACCCCTCTTCGATTCGACTATGTCCAGCCAGATTTTATTCATTAGAGTTTATCGACATATATTTTAAATAAAGGTAGTGTGCTTTTGTTTACGAACGTACGTGCGTGTTTAATATCTTTGTTCACAGGGTTGATTAAGGTTACAGCGAGAGAGGAGACCCTTGGAAGACTCAGGCACGCGGTGAGCACTGTGCGGCCTTTTATAACTGCGGTTTTTACACACGACCCGCAAAAAGTGGTGGGGGTTTAAGCTCTTGCCAATGGTGGGTAACTCACAACTCGAGTGGTTACCCCCACTACTTTTTAGGGATCACCCGTAGGTATAAAAGGGTAGCATGCAGGGTGCAACAAGTTTAGTCGTCTCTGAGTCTTCCAGTAGTCCAGGCGCAGCGTTTTTAAGTTCCTCTGTAATCTCATTCTTTTGGGGTTGCTTTGAAAGATTGGTGAACTCTTATGCTCTGAGTGGTTAATGTTTAATGTTGTTTTATTTTAATACCTGAAGATGTCTCCCCATGTCGGTTTTGGTGTTAAAACTGCAGTCAAAACAAAATAATCAAACGTTATTGACAAGGTTGGAAGACGCTGAGCCTGTGGGGGTTACCTAGAGGTTGCTGTTTGTCTATCTTCAGTGATACATCGCCGCGTGAACGATGCAGACGCGTTTATTTATGTTTCGTGTTTTTTAGTGATAAAATCGCAAATTTCGGGTAACAAACTATTCAAAGCTAATTAAAACGTTTATTAAACTATGTTTCCATTGCTGTACCAAGTCCCCTATTGCATGACAAGGTTAGTGCACTTAAGTCTTAAGCATGCTCAAGTTATACGCGTTAAAATCACTGCGCATACATATTTTACTCATCGGGAAACAAATTTCAAACAAATTTCAAATTTTATACGTATTTATTTTTATTCATTCCAATTTCCATCTTAAATCTAAATATTTTTGTTCATGTTTATACTATTTGTATATATTACTATGTGTTATCATCGATATGGCACATTCAAGAACACGTCTCACCGCTGCTATCAGTTTCTATCTGGATTGTTTTGATGCCACAACGACGAGTAGTTTGTACGGCACACGGACGCGCTCTTCGTTGTTGTTATCGTTACATTCTAGAAAGTTTAGATTGCGTACCTCGCTGATGAAATCCATCAGATAGTCATTGTGCATATTCTCAGGAATATTACCCAAAAATGGATTCACGGCGATTACAGACTCTGGAATTTTGGTTTTTATTTTAATAATTACTTTGTACAAAAGAATAGTATATAATTAAGGTTATGTACTTACTTCTGAAAACATCCAAGTCACTATAAACGTATTTCCGTTCAATTACGGTACAAAGATGAATGGAAAACCCAACTTCTTGCATTAAACGCTCTAAAACCCGCTCGGGTTGCTCACAATGCTGATAGGGATTGATAAACTTCTGCGCGTTTTTCATGTAATCCATCCACTTGGTATTCGATGCGAGATTTTCATAAATGTGGAAAATTGGGTTTGATGCCAGGAAGGTCAACAGCATATCTCCACCGGGTTTTAGCATTTTGTACAAATTATCAAACGCTTGCCTTTGGAACAAAACATTAACTCAATTTTTCTTAATTTCTTTAAAAATTTTAAAATTTACTTACCTCTGCTCTTGGATCCAATGCAAAGCATAGAAAGAAAAAATATGCTGAAAACTCTCCTCGAGAGTTTCCGGAATATCTTTGCGTTCAATATTCATCTGGCAGAAGCTCACATTCGGGTGAGTATTCTGCGACGCAGCAAATCGAACCATTTCTTCACTGAGGTCCACACCGACGAGTTTTTTGAACGCGCATGGAATCCGCGGCAGCAGGAGTTTGGTCGTAACATCACCACTACCACAGCCAACATCCAGGATGGCATCATTTTCACGCCAATTGATCAATCGTAGATAATTCTCCAGAACAAAATTGACGTCCGTTTTTTGTAGAGCATTGTATTTGGAATAGAGGATCGCTTGATTCATCTTGGTCTTGCCGGGGATCCTTTGGAAGGACCTTTGGAGTGGTCGCGTCGACACTACATATTCCGGCTGAGGTCCGGCCGTCTTTTATACATTTTTTCCCAATCCGAATTCGAATCTGTTATATGTACAACTCGCGGGATGTTGCCGTTGGTGTTGGTGTGGTGGGAAGAAGGGAGGCGGGCGAAACCGAAAGCCGAAGATGGCCCATCCTCCCGAACGTGACCAAAACATTCCCAAATTAGTTTAATCCAACTTTCTCTGCGTTTTTTCAATGAAAAAACGCATTTGAATTTAAATTTCAAATTCTTTGCTATTTTAAGGTTTGGTATTGTATGCACCTATTTCTATTTCGAGTAAAAATTGATTTTTAACTCGAGATGATCTTTGAAAGTAAACAAACAATAAACTTCCTGGTTACATATTGTAAATTTCTATAATAATAACTTATTTAACGCTGGCTGTGAATGAATATGAATGGAAAATAACTGAAACTATTATGCGCACACCAACGTGACAAGATGGCGGCCATAAAACTCAAAATGTAGCCGCAATAAAAACGCCGCTGCTGAAAATTCGGTATATCTGTATCGTCTTCTTCGAAGAATCAGCATTCCGCGCAGCTTTCTTTGCGATGCGCGTAAAGTTCGGCATTTAATATACTGACCACTACAACATTTTCGTGTTTGTGTACCCTGCAAACACGCGACCGCGGCAATGCAACGCATCTTGGCTCTCGGTCAACAAACTCGTCTCTTCATCCTCTGGTATCTCTTGCAGCGCGGCGTTCGTGGAGCCCCGAAAATGTGTGTTTTGTTTTCCGCTCGCTTTATTTTTGACTCGTCCGACAACATCAACCACTCGCACGCCGTGACATCGCCGACGCCTCGGATGAAAAAATAAGAAGAAGCTAATTGTGTCTGGTCAGGGTACTTTTCGGCCGGCGCAGTCGAGGCATCTTCGCCCCGGTGCATCGGGGCGACAACAAGTTCAAGAAACCGAAATGCAACGTGTGTGTTTCTTGATGGTTTTTTTTTTTTTGTTTTGGGCAATGACCATCGCAACGAACCACGACTCACGCCACTAATTACTTCACTTCTTGCTTCGTGTAGGTTTTAGTTATCTTTCCATCATCTGGGGATGAAGAAGCGGTTTTGATTTGTTTTTTTCAGTTGAAAAGTTGAAAAAAATTCAAGGTCTTCTACTGTATAGAAAAAAAGGGTCTTTGGGATGTAACTAACGCGTAACTAACCTAGCCGAACATCACTTGCATTGTCGAGGGCTTCTGGGCAGGTTTTCGGGTGGAAAACAATGCGGGGACGAATAAAAAGTCATAAAATAAGAGTTTTTATATTGTTTCACGCACCTGCGTCTAGGAATATGTTAGAAATGGGTTTTGGGGATGTAAAATAGTGAAACTTTCAAAAAAACTCTCAAAAAACTTTCTAAAAGTCTTGAAAATGAAGCTCTGGATGAAAGCTTTGATAGCAATGGATGGCAACGACCTTTAACAACTAAATCTTGGCCTAATTTTCATATTTGACTAAGTGTACCGGCCAGGCCCCCGCTTTGAACACTCTTGGGGCTTTCAAGTATGTGTCAATGTTAGGTCAGCGCTAACCATCTACTTGTTTTGTGGTTTCAATGTTATCACAAGAATATCTAATACTGTATGTTACAATTTTTCAAAAATCATTAATTTTAACCTCAAAAAACATTTGCAAACCGAAAAATAATTTTATTTCTTTTTAAATTTATAGATTTTTACATTTTTTAAAAATTTTTTATTAAAAATTTATTTTTTCTTGATTTATTTATGATTTATACATAACTAGTTGTTTATATTTTGGGGGACCAATGACCCTGCGATCAATGTAACGCTGTAAACCTTAGAAAAGAGAAATTTCAACATTTGAAGGGACATTAAACTTTCGGTCGGGATTCTAATCCTAAATCACATAAAACTTTCTATTCGTTTAACCCCACGTAACGTCACCGCGCTGGTCATTGTCCCTTTTTGTTTAAGCCTTAACTTATCGCGAGAATATGGAGGTGTTTAGAAAGTTCGAAAAAAAATGAAGGAGAAATGCGTTGGCGTTGCATAGCATAGAATAAAATTTATTAGTAATAGTAATAGATATTCTGTGAATGTACATGGGATAAATTATTTTCTAAGTAAATTAAAAATCGGGTTTTCGTAAGTAAATCACCGCCAAAATGTAAGGCACAATAACAATCTGGTTGTGCTGATCGTGATCCGAGAAGAAATGTAGACCTTCAGCGATGTCAGCGAAATCGTCCATGAATTCCTCGTGTTGGTCTTCGGGCACATTTTTCACAAACGGGTTTATTACAGCCATTGATGCTAGAAATCGGTTCTCATCAATAAAATTTTTAATTTTTATAAAATTAAAAACTTACTTTTAAAATGTTCTCTGCTGGAATAAATAAACTCTCGCTTTTCAAGTTTGACCATATGTGAAAACCCCGCTTGATTGAGGTTATCTTCAATGGCCACTTGCGGATCTTCACAATGTTGATACGGAAAAATATCAGAAACTCTTTGTAAATACTTAGACCATTTCGGCATCATCGCTTGTTTCTCATATATTAACATCACATCGGTACTGGCGACAAAAAGACCCAACATATCTCCACCTGGTTTCAACATGGTGTAGATATTCTTGAAAACACGCCTGAAATTTAGGTTATGTTAGGTTATATTAAGTTATATTAACTAACTAGCTGTTGCCCGCGACTTCGTTCCGGCAGTGTTTAATAAAAATGTAATTCGTTTTTACTCTCTTTTTCTAGACATACTCATAGTAAGAGTTAATTCGATCAATAAGATTAGCAATTTTAATTTAAAGAAATTAATTATATAAAGTTTTGTCAATAATGCACTTCAGCGCGCCATCTCGAATTCAACTATTTAACTATAACTATGATTGAATCTCAATGTCAAATTTTATTTTATAGAAAAGAGCTGTTTTGAGGATTTTTCCGGCAATTATTCGAATTTTTCCCACCTTTTAAACCTTCCCTAGACCTCCACGAATAATTCAAGACTAAGATAAGATAAATCCGTTCAGCCGTTCTCGAGTTTTAGCGAGACTAACGAACAGCAATTCATTTTTATATATATAGATATCATAAAAATAAGTAAAAATCTCACTTTTGGTCTTTAATCCAGTGAAAAACATGGAAAGAAAACGCATGATCAAATTTCCCACGTAGATTCTGATCAATTTTATGCTTCGTGGCGAGATTTAGATGCTTATATTCAATTTGTTCGTGTGAGTTCTGATCCCGGGCGAATTTTAACATGTCGCTTGATATATCCACACCAACAATTCCTTTGATTTTCGGTGATGATCGCAGAATAACGTCTTTGGTAACATCTCCACTACCACAACCCAAATCCACGATCATTTCTTCACCCGTGCCGGTCCATTTTATGAGATTCATTGAATTATGCAACACTTTGTAGATATCACGACGTTGTAGATCATTATTACGTATATACAAATCAGCCTGGTACATTTTAATGATATTTAATGTTTCACAGTAAAAATTATTGTAACTTTATGGGTACACAAGTCAGGTATGATTTTGTTGTGGATTCAGCATCGGTTTTATAGCAAATTGACGACGGATTGTTTTTTGAGCGTGTGACGTACATGGTGGGGATCTTCAGAGTTTTTTTTTGCTTTAAGACGAAAGCTCGCCGGCTAAAAAATAAGATTATGCAGTTATTAGACGTAAACAATTTATAAAATTAACATAATGACACAATTTTGTTAATAATGGATCTTTTTTTGCACTTAAATTACAAAATAATTAAATTTTTGTTTAAAATAATTAAAAATTGAGTTTACTTCCGTTTAATTTCTCAATTTTTATTATTTAAATGAATTTACGCATGGTAACCTTGCTACCAAGTTTAGTAAGTAAACAAATTGATAAATGGAATCATGGAAACGTCAAATTTGATTGAATTTGTCTTTTCCGGATCCTAAAAGACTAATTACAAGTAATTTGTCACTATTTCAGTGCGTATTTAATTTTTAAGTGTTTTTAAGTGCTTTTTAAAACGTGTTCACGCATTTTCTGACGTCATGAATTAATTTCTGCCCGGAATTATTTTTGTTTACGTGAAATTCTCGGAAATTGTACGAAAATAAATGAGATCAGTTTCTGGCTAATTAAAAAACAAAAGAAAAATTATTATTAATGGATGAATTAAAGATTATCTTATGATTTCATCGTTATTTCATCTTTATTAATATGTTTTCCCTCGTTGAATCGAGTAATGTTTGTGCTTCACAATTAATTCGTTTATAATTGCTCGCAATTTGCATAAATTTTAAGTTTAAACATCGTATATTTATATATATTCACAACAAGAATCGTAATTAACAAGCTGTTTATATTCGTCTGCGTCGATTTGTGTTTTTGTTTGTTTTATTGTAAAACATTTTCGTCTTTTCTCATTCATCTTGTCGATTGTGCACGTAGGTAATACTTTATTTATATATTATAGAAATGTACGTATTGTATGTAAAATTCAAATGCTGCAAGTCTAAAGCTGCGTTTCGCTTGTTTTTGTTTTTGTTTGATATTCGCTGGATTCGCGCGTCGTTTTCATCTCGGGCTACGGCTAGGCGGTAGAAAAATTAAGGCATTTGTTTAGTGCAAGTTGTAGTTAGCGTTCAAGTATCAAATGTACTCGTAGTAGTCGTCGTCGAATTCCTCCGGCGTGCAGAAGAAGAACTCGATGAGGTTGAGAATCGGTCCGCGTGAGAACGGGTTGAAGTAGCGCCCTCTCTTGTCGCGCAGGTACGAATAGCGCTTGTAGTTGAACATTTCGTTCGTGGTGAGATTCATACAAGCGTGCAGCACCGACGTGCATGTGAGGATCCACCCGAGGCCGGAAAACACGAAAGCTTCAACAAGCCCCAACAAATATAAAAAGCCAAATCCTTGAATTGCAATGCAATACGTGGCGAAATAAATCGTGATGGAGCAATTGATGGCAACACTCATTACAAACAAGAAAAACCATGTGCGATTACGTAGGCCGATGCAATTGTAGATAAACGGGCAGTGGTGGTCGTAATACGACACGCAACGATTACAAATTCGACAATGTTTAGCACGCAGAGGGCGCAGGCATCGACATGTGTGACAGAGGCGATTCAAGATGGCGTTGCGTTTCTTCCATTTGTCAAAGTACGGGATTTGTTTTATAGCGCGATAATAGGATTCAGATGACATTGGGACATAACCAGGGTCCTTTCTGTTTGCAATCGCCCAGCAAACCCACATTACGATATTCCAGTAAATGAAACAATAGTGGGACCCACGTAGGAGGTTCCAAGTTACAGGCACCACCTGTCAACATAACCTATAAATATTTAACCTTAAATTAAAGCTTTTTGGACTTACCCTTAAGATGTACATAGGATATCCCCATAAAAGAACAGAAACCATGAAAAATAACAACGGGATCTTTGAATTCCCTGCCCTTCCGAAGATCAAACCCCAGATTTCGTTAATTGGAGGGAACCATGTACTCCTACGCTTGTTTTCTGATAGTAATACTTGGACAATGTCTTGATGACGATGGCTTTGTGCTAACATCAACGGCGTCTTGTCATTTTTATCCAAAGGCTCCAAATCAATATTGCTCTAGAATTTAACCTCAAAAATTATTTTTAAGGTTATTTATAGTTTTTATAGGTTACCTTTTCACAAAGTATTTTTACACATGCAGCATTCCCCGATAAACACGCTAGGTGCAACGGTGTTGACCCAAAATGATCCGGTTGTTGAAGATCTGCCCCTGAATAGGTTAACAACCGAATAAGATCAGCGTGACCCTTGTAGGCGGCCCAATGCAGGGCTGTATCGCCATTGATGTCCACAAGCTGATTCATTGCACCCATTCCAAGCAGGAATGCTGCTGTTGCAGTGCGTCCGAACATGGAGGCGGTCATTAAAGGTGTGAGACCTTTGAAATCAGCAGCGTTGACTGCTACTCCTGCTTGGAGAAGGACCTGGACTACAGCTGCGTGTCCTTTCCGGCAGGCCCAGTGGATGGGGCGTGGGCCTTGTGTTCCCAAACAACTTAGGTCGATTGGTGCACCGCGGTCGACTAAATACCGCATGATTTCGACGTTGCCGTCCAGGGCGGCCCAATGGGCCGGTGTGTAGCCCCATTCGTCTCGGGCGCGGAGGATTTGCGTGCCGAGTTTTTCTACGAGGTCTTCAATGTCGGAAACCTCACTAGGGAAATATTAAGTTTATTAGTTTGAAAGAAAAAAAAGAAAAGTAGGCGACGCCATTTTGAATTTTACGTCATAAAAATTCAAATATTGTCAGATTGACAACATTTTTCGTGTAACATAAAAATTCTCCGTGTACACAGATTCGTCCTACGAAATGTGGTGGCATTTTTCGTCCTGATTTTGAACATGGTATTGTTTCTTAGACTCATAGTCGACTGGCTCAATAATATGCGGATTTAAAGATGGCGCATGCAATGTTCATTCCCATAAGGAAACCATTACTCAATAAAAACTGCTTTTTTATACGCGGATTAGTTGGCAAGCCGGAGGAAACGGAAAAATATGGCGACGGTAGTGGAATCTTCGATAAACGCCGGGACGCTTTCGAAAAAGAATACTTTTACAGACGAGTATAAAAACGAACTTAAAATAATTAAAAAAAAATCTCAAAATCTTTCTTTTTTAATGTTTTAAGGAGAAAGAACAACTAGAACTACTAAAACGGAAGTATAGAGATGGAGAACATGATGATGATGAAGACGATGATAAAGAATATTCGAAACATCGTGACCATGACCATGATGATGATTAAATATGATTTTTAAACTCAATTTTGGTGATTTTATGAGTTTCTATGTGGTTTTTGTGAGTGTTTACCCGGTTTTGACGACATCGAAGATACTCTTCTGCGTCTGATCGGCAATGTCCGCCTCGCTGAGGTTGGAGTCACGTGTGACCGCCGCCGTGGGGTGGTCGGTGTCAGCCACCATGCTGCAGGACGTCTGCGGCAAGGCCCACACGCTGCGGGCCGAGCCCGGACTCGGGTACACCTTGCACAGCGTCCTGCCGTCGTCGAGAATAACCGCGTGCGCAAATACCTCTTCGATTGTCCTCCCCGCAGCGAAAACAACGAGAACGTTATGTTTACAGTTGACCAAACAATCTTATCTTAATATTTCACGATCATTTGTGGCTTTCCTTTTAAATTTTGGATTTCTTTGTCCTCAATATTCTAAAAAAACACTTTTTATTACCTTAAACTAGATTGTTAGTTGATACACACCTGTGATATTTGAATATTTGGGTCAGAAGTTTAGTTTTAATTTGGTTTTTAAAATGGAGGCGTTTTTGTCCTTATGGAAATTGATTAGAATGCGGTTTATCGATGCCTACACTGATTACGTGCAGTGGTTGTAGGTTAACGCGCTAGACAACAAACTAGGGGAAAATTATCGATTTCGTGCTTTGGGCATGCAGCAGGAAGAGTTTTCCACGATATGCGTGCGGGGCATTTTCCGGGAACGCGCGCATGCGTTATTATCCTGTTTGCCGCAACGTAAACGTGCATAAACAGTTGCCTACGTTATAAAAAATTATTTATTTATTAAAAATTAATTTATGCTTGCGATAAATCACTGATTCGATAATGACTAACTAATTGCAACATTTTGACTGTTTGGAATAACATATTGCAATACATTAATGCGTTTTTTGCATTGGAATAATTTATGAGTTTATAATGCTGTGATTAATGCTTGTTTTGCGCACATTAAGTGCTTCAACGTGTCAACGAGTTTAATTGATTATAGTAAATATATTCAGTAAAAAAAATAAACTAAATTTAGGTTTATTTAATTTAGTTATGTACAAAAGAAACAAAACGATTTTATATTGGTTTATATTTTTACTGTGACTAACTGTAACAGTTGACATGCGCTCCTTTTGCGTAATAAATTCTCATAACTTCCTTGTATGATAACGTGATAACGAGTAAGGACACACGTGACTTGAACTTGCATATGTTGTTGCATTACTTCCATAGTTGCAGTCCAAGAGTCACGTCACAATTTAAAAAAGCGCGCTTTGTGGAAACAACCAATGACCAAGTGATGCATTAGAATCTAATGGTAGTAGTAACAGTAGTGGGAGTCAAGAGTAATAAGAGCTGTAATGAGTGAAGGAAAGTCATATCTAATGTCACAAAACAAGTAACAACAGCTGACTCTTGTCAGTTGGTAATTAAACATAATCTGCACGATTTTAATCGTCTTTGATTGGTTGTATGCATTCGGTGCATGAAACTGAAGGTTTATTCAAGAACAACATGACTCCTGCAATATCAATGTGACTATATCAAGTAAGTCCATAACAAATACACAATAATCTTATCTATCGTATCTTATCACATTCTGGACTTTTATCTTTCATCATAAACTTAACAATGCAGTTTAGTGAATTCTGTATTGTTATGATTCTTTAATTGTGCATAATTTTACAGCGAACATGATGTAGTCTTCATCATTACATAGAAAGTAGACTTAGTCCACTAACAACAGCTACAAGAGAGGTTTTAATTATATCTGAAGAGGTTGATATGGAGTATACTAATAACACAAGACCACTTTTACAAGAATCAGACTCTGATACTGAATCTGTCGATCTAAGAACACAAAGTTACCAAGAATGTATAGTGATCAAGGATACAAAACCATTGTTCAGGCCAGCAGAGCCCAGAGACAAGTATTACATGGCCTATTTAATTTTTTACTTATTGGGTATGACCACACTGCTGCCATGGAACTTCTTTATCACTGCGGATGATGTAAATGTTTTTACATTGAATAATTTCATCATATTTATCATATTTATCAATGTGGTTTTATATTTTTAGTATTGGATGTATAAGTTTAGGTCTGTGAATGCAGATGAGTACTTAAATGTGTCTCAGGTGTCTCAGCACGATGGAAAGCGAACACCTTTACAGGCTGAGTTCACTTCTTACTTGAGTGTTGCCTCATCACTGCCAAATATTGTGTTTTTAACTTTGACTACATTCCTTACACACAAGTAAGTGTATCATTAGAGATTATTCAAGTGTAGTAAGATATTTAATGTTTTTGTCTGTAGAATATCATTACAAAAACGTGTGATTGGTTCATTAATTTTAATGCTGATTTTATTCATTATGACGACGGTTTTCGTGAAAATTAACACTGACTCATGTAAGTATATTGCATATTTCATAAATTTCCCAACTGATAACGAGTTTTCACCTTGAACAGGGCAACAAACATTTTTTATGGTGACACTTGCTTCGGTCGTTTTGCTAAATGGTAATTATTATTTTAAAAAACAATTTTTCATGCTTTTAACTCTATATTTTATGATTAGTTGCTAGTGCAATATTATCTGGATCTCTCTTCGGCATAATCGGCAAGTTTTCGCCGAAATATATCACAGCCACCGTTGGTGGGCAAGCCTTGGGTGGAATTTTCGCCGCAATCGCCCAGATTATTTCACTGGCGATCGGTATATCCTCAACTTTCAGCGCTTTCGTCTATTTCATGGTCGGCAATTTAATGATTCTGATCTCGTTGGCGTGCTACATTATTCTCTCGAAAACCGTCTTCTTTAAATACCACATATCTGAGAGGACAGGAGTCACTGGTAACGAGTTTCAGACGGAATTATTACGGCCAAGAATCGTCTGTCATCGTACCATCTTTAAAAAAATATGGCCGCATGCATTGAGCGCTTTTTTGGTGTTTACAATCACACTGAGCGTTTATCCAGGCGTTACAGTGTTGATTGAGAGCGAGAATCGAGCATCAGGCAGCGCATGGACAAGTAATAACCAAAACAATAAGTTTTATAACAAAAAAACTAACAATTTTTCATGTTTAGATGTGTATTTTGTACCGGTGGTTGCATATCTAATCTTCAGTTGTGGTGATTATGCTGGACGACTTGCTGCAGGTTATCTTCAAAGGGTAATTCGTTGTTTTGTTTACATTTATATGAAAAAATAATCGAAAATTTGTTTTATTTTTATAGCCACGACATGGCGGATGGATTCTCTTGTTTAATCTCATCCGAATTGCGTTTGTACCGCTGATGCTTTTTTGCAATGCACAACCGCGCCACTCAAATATTCCGGTGCTTATCACCAAGGATTACTACTATATCTTGATTATAGTTCTTTGCTCATTGAGTAATGGTTACCTTGCCAATCTGGCGGTACTTTGCGCCCCACGACTAGTCGAGCATCACGAACGAGAAACCGCTTCGTCGATGCTCACCGTTTTCATCGGCATCGGTCTCGGTCTCGGGTCTTCCGTTAGTTTACTTATAGTCAAATTGCTTTAACTCACACACGCTAATCTAGACCAAATTCAACCATAAATGACATTTTATTACGTAGTTCCTAGTGCGTAAGATGAATAGATTCGAATATTTAACTGATACATGATTAGATAGTATTACAAATTGATATTTATATATAATATTTATGATATCTACGTATATATGCACAATTTTTTATGTTTTACGTATTTGTAGACTTTGTAAATACATAAGTGTCGGTAGGTGTGTCGTAATACTGATGTTATGATGATATTATACTCAAGAACAATTCATTGTGATCGATATGTCAACATATTGCTGTTTAAACGTATCTGTAACTTAATGCCAGAGCACAAATTAAATAATTTCACAATTTATTACAGATATACACGCGAATATGACGATTTGCAACCTTACATATGCCGTACTTATTTTTTTCTTTGAATAATATATAAATTCAGCATTTTGTCGGAGGAAAGTTTTGATGTTTGAATGGTTTTAGGATTGTAACACCGCGTATATTATCCTGTAGGCTTTTCTTTAGTACATCAGCAGATACATGCTCCAAACCAAGCGGGCCATGTGTTTTTACTTTATCTACGATAGGTTTCTGTTCTTCAGCAATTCTTTTTTTGATATCCTATCAGTAAAAACGGTGATATTTAGTTTTATGTTGTGTAAATATGAATAAAACTTACATTGAGTTCTTCGTTGGTGGTTAAATTTGCACCAACAAGCATCTGTCTAAGCTTTAGCATCGGATCTCGTGTTTTGCGTGTGTGTGCAACTTCATCTCGAGTACGATAAGTGCTACCGGGATCAGACATTGAATGACCGAAGTATCGATAAGTGCGCATTTCGAGAATTATCGGACCGTTGCCTTCGGATGCAAATTTGATGGCGAACTCAACTGCGTTTTTAACAGCGAAAATATCCATTCCGTCGATCTGAACCAAAGAATTATTAGGAATAAATGGAAATTTAATTATTTTTATGTTTTTACCAATATGCCAGGAATATAAACGCATGTATTGAAATAATTTGGGTTTGCTGAGCTGCGTTCTACAGACGTGCCCATACTATACATATTATTTTCCACGACGTAAATAACTGGCAAGTTCCAGAGTTTCGCCATGTTGTAGGATTCATATGCTTGTCCCTAATATGGAAATTAGGGAGATTATTGAGTAATGACCGTTTTTTAAAGAAAATAATTAATTTTACTTGATTTGCCGCGCCGTCCCCGTAAATGGTAAAGGTAACACCATTGTCGTTTTTGTATTGATGTGCAAAGGCTAATCCGGTACCCAATGCAATCTTAAATTTACCAACAAAAGCCAAAATCAATATCCCAAGCAAAAATTGATACTTTTACCCACCTGGGCACCAACAATTCCATTACCACCATAGAAGCGATCCGTATAAATATGAACAGAACCTCCTTTACCTTTGGAAAATCCTGTTTTCGCCCCAATTAGTTCCGCGATGAGTGGTTCTAGATTTTTACCGCCCATGAGGTACGCATAGCCATGTGCGCGATAAGAAGTGATAACGTCGTCCTGTGGCCGTAAGCAATTATAAATACCTACTGCTATTGCTTCCTGTATTGGAAAATTATTTAAAAACAGTTTTTTTCAAGATTTTAAACTTACTTGACCAGTACACAAGTGACAAAAACCCCGGACCATTTTTGCTTGATAAAGATGCGATATTGAGTGCTCTGCACGTCGAATATTCGCCATGTCTGTATACCATGCAAGTCCTTCCTCTCTGCTGATGGTACAATCTAATTTGACTCCTTTTGCAGCGTCAAGCAAGTGATACTCATAATTCTAATAACAAAATGATATAGAATGCTTTCTTTTGATGGGAAATTTATGATGGCATTACTGTAACGTTAAAAGTTGTTTGAAATCTCCTCCAGTATAGATTGACATCGGTTCTGAACAAGTTAGCAATAGACTTCGCAAGCATTTTGATGCCAGACAAGGACAATTCCGAATGCGATTAACAACACCAACAATAATTTAATTCCGTAGACGGAATGGGAGCAGTATGAACATGTGCATGATTTGGAAATTGTATATTTCGCTTTTGAAGGCATAGAAATATAATATAAAAATTGTAAAATTGAATTTTGATTGTCAGTTTGTGTTGAAAAAACTGACTGAAAAACTGAAATTTCAAAAACTGTGCGGGCTGCTCAATTATTAATGTCAAATATGTCGATATTTGATTTATTCAATTTGAATAAGTGTCTCTTGAGCAAGGTCTTTTTGTTTAATTTATTACTTGGATTAATTAGGTAATGTTCTAGTTGTCCTTGTGCGGTCATTCAAGTATCCAAAATTTTGTGTGAATTCATTCAATATGCGGTCAAAATGTGTTTGATTCATCAAAATTTAATTTATCTTTTGTGACCTATAACTTATAAGATGCACAAATGAAAATCATAAAATATGTTGATAAAAATGTGAAGTAAGCTTTATGCAGCATATTAGGGTTAACTAAGCCTTGGAAGTTTCAATTCCTTAAACTTTACTTTAATTTTTATTAAATTAATTAAATCACTTATAGAAACATTTATTTCTATTTTAAAAGGTGTACGGTGACAATTATAATACTGTAATACTAAAATAGAAATAAATATAAGTTTGTTGAGAATTAAATGTGAGTACAAAGTGTGAAGTGTGCCTTACGCACTACGTGTGTGTTAACTATGCCTTGGTAGTTTGACACTCCACACGCCATAACACATAAAATATAATACATAAAACATGAATATATAAAATGTTACTCTTGTTTTTATTAAGTAAATATAATAACTAATATCATTATTTATTTATATTTTACGTTATGTAATTATTACAAGGAAATCACTATAACATCAAAATAGAATTAAGTACAATTTTACTGTCCTATACACATATAAAGTATAAAGTATGCTTAAAAAAAAATGTGTTAACTGAGCCTTATAAGTTGTACATAAAATTTTGCTGCCAAAATTGCTATTTAAAGTGTAAAGTCACCTTTACAGAAAACGTTTGTGTGTGAACTAAGCTCTGCAAGTCCACAGATAAAATTCGTTTAATTTTGCTCAAGTGGGAGTACATGTAAAACATAAGCAAAATAAGTCGAGTCAAGCGAGGTGAGTGAGGTAACAAACATTGTCAATGTCAACAACAAATAAACAACAATCAAAAAACCACCGAGCGATCTTCAGTCCGTTCGTATCAGTCGCGTTTTATTAAACCGTTGCAGCAGACGTGGTTGACAATTCCACAACACACCAAGTAAATTACAACATTAAAAATAAATTATATCTAAAATAAAATAAAGACAAAGTTGGCGTTGATACATCTACATTGCAAAAACTATACAGCATATATATGTATTTGCGTATAATAATAGAGTGAGTCTGAATGACGCGACGCCAAATCGAATATAGTGCACGACCACGACCTGTACGGGGATTTCGATTTGTTTATTCCGTTTACGCGCGGCGCCTGTGAACACATTCAGTAGCCAGCCACCGAGCGTTGAGAGAGGAGATCAATTGTATAATTCCCGTATGCCGGCTGTATCGCTGGCAACGAGAGTGATAACTCCACGCAAATTCTTTCAAACGCGTTCTTAACCTCTCTGTGAATGTTATTGGCATTGGCAAGGTTTCTGTGTCTATTTTCCGCATTGTTGTTCGCAAACGCGTGAACTTGGCCATCAAATAACAACATTAACAACATGTTCAATTGAGTACAAGTTACTGTAAGTATAACATTTAAAAAAATAACCTTAACATTTTGTTTTCAATGCCTAATCTAATTCATTTTAGTTAGTTAACTAAAACTAAAAAATGCTTTGGGTGGTGCAAGTGGAAGGTGGTCCAAAGCGCGTCAACCACGCAGCTGTGTCCATTGATAACAAGATCTACACATTCGGCGGTTATTGTACTGGTGAAGATTTAAGAGAATATTCATCGATAGATGTGCATATTCTGAATACCAAGACGTTTCGATGGACGAAACATCCAGTCAGTGATCTACCATACTTCGAAAATGATGATATTTTACCTTTTAAGAGATATGGACATACTACGGTGCCCTACGGAGATAAAATTTACTTATGGGGTGGACGCAATGATCGGGTAACTTGTTCAGTGCTCTTTTGTTTCGATACAGTTTGGCATTCGTGGACAGCGCCGAATTGCACCGGTGATATTCCACTGGCTAGGGATGGACACAGCGCGTGCATTTGTGATAATAAGATGTACATCTTTGGTGGATTCGAAGACGAGTCTGATTCGTTCGCCAAGGGTGTTTATATGCTCAATTTGGACAAAATGCGTTGGCAGTATATTCATACAATAGGTATGTAATGTTTTCATTGTGTTTTAATCACTTATACAACGTGATTAACAGTAATTTGTTATTGGAAAACAATTGAATGTGTTTTGATGATAAAAAGTTGAATTTCAATACATTACATTGTGTTTACTGGAAATACTAATGAATTTACGCAAATTTTGAGTGAGTTTTTGCTATTTTACGCTACTTAATGATAGGTGTGATTAAAAATACGTTCGCATTTAGCAGTCAAGTACAATTCGTGTAACCTTCATGGAGTGAATGGCAATGGAGCACAAAATATGCATATTTAGTATTACAACAATGTTTTCTTCAAATTGGAGCAGTCAAGGTCAACTAGTTAATAAATATCAAAATCTTGATTTGTTTTATGGATCATCAAACTTACAAACTTGTAAAAATATGTTTTTTTCTTTGTTTTACAAAGGACCTGAACCACAATTACGAGATTTCCACACGGCAGTATGCATCGATCACAAAATGTATCTCTTCGGCGGAAGAAGTTCCGAATTTGAAAGTGGTGTCTATTTACCCGGCGAAAAATATTGCCCGAAATTATGGTACCTTGATTTAGTCACGTACAAATGGCACAAACCTGAAGTGTATGGTGATAGACCAATTGGCAGAAGAAGTCATTCAGCTTGTATGTTTTATTATTTTATTTTAAGTTCAAATTTTCGTTTTATCACATTTTTGTTTAATTTTACAGTTGTAAGAGGTAAAAAAATGTACATTTTCGGTGGATATAACGCCATCAAGAGTCAACACTATAATGATATGTATGAATTTGACACCACGACGAATTACTGGACGAAAATCAACGCTCTGGGTGATCCACCTTGTGAAAGACGACGCCAGGCTTCGTTAATAATTGATGATCGTGTTTATTTATTCGGTGGTACAAGGTATTTACTTGTAATTTAATTGTTATAATGGAAAACACGCAATTTTTGATATTATTTCAGTCCGTTTCCTTTGCTGAACGACGAATCTCGCGGTAATGATGATAAATTGATTGATCACAGCGATATGTACGTGCTGGATTTCGTACCGACGTTGAAAACGTTGTGTCTAGTCGCTACTCGTAAATATTCATTAAATATTTCGTCCTTACCTTGTAATATTAGGTAAGTTTCATAACAGTTTAGTTAAACATGTCAATATTTTATGTTTTGTTTTTATTTAGGAGTGAATATAAGAATATGACTACTCCTAATCAAATAACTGTCAATAGACCCTGGAATTCAGCGGGATAAATCTGCACTAGATAGATTTATGCAATGGTAGGTGCTAGAATTATACATTAAATAATTGCCCACGCCGCTACGGACTGTTAGGAAAGAACGCGAGATTAGTTTTTTATTTAGTTAATTAATTGTTAATAATTTCCTGCCGATTTTCTCGAGTTTTTGCCATCGCGCAGCTATGAAATGTCTTTTCTTCGATTTCGTTATCATTTCAGGTTCTTTTGTGATATTTTTCTTATAAGATACGATTGCAATCACAGTCCTAATTTTTGTGAATGATTTTTTGGTTATTTAATCGCGCTTATCGTCAGTGGCGTAGCTAGTACAGCCACCCCATCCTACGTCACTGCTTGATGTATATAATTGTACTGATTTACGATTAGTACTGATATTTATACTCTGTATTTCACGTAAAGCAGAATAAAACATTTACAAATTATATATTTTAAGTAATTTAGTGATGAAATAAGTATTTCTGCTTAAAATTAGATATTTAATCCTTTAAAACCGTGGCGATGTCTAAATCTGAAACGTTTCTTGCTTAATTGACATTTGGAGTGACTTCGTTATGAGTTGGAACAGTTGTTCTTTGATTTGTCACTCGGACGGCGTAAAATAAACAAAGCGCAATCTTGTAATCGCGTTAACCCACTTTATCAGCGTATTAATAAAATGCGTGCGGCGTTTCACGCGATGCTATTTTTGTCAGATAATTGTAATCGAAATTGCACTGACCTTTCTTAGCGGCGCCTGGAAATGCAATGTTCATATTTTATATTTTAAACAAAGAACAGCGCTGAAATATATTCGTTTTTGATGACTTATTAAAAAGATATCTAAAAACTAAATTTCATTCAAATCGGGATTTAATATGAACATGCCGGGCCTGTATGTAAAAAGTAGGTCATTCTTTGCACGTTTCTCTAGCGCGTCTAGCATCTCAGATTTTTTTATGAAGCGTGTTGAGAAAGGAAGTGGAATTTGAAGGCGAATGTTCCGCGTGCAACAACGTATTCGCGCATTCGCCAGACACGGCGGCGCGATCGCGCAGCAGATAACAGCTGGCGCTGCTGGAAAGTGTGACTGCGTCGTGGGAAAACAAGAAGTCCAGTGATAGCGCAGTGTGATAACACATCGGCCCTGCTGCAGGAGCATTCTGCGTCGACATGAGTGCGGCTATCAAGTGAACAACGAGCGATTTTCATGGACAAATAACGTGAGTAGCCGTAGTTTCATTGAATATCCAAACAGGGTAACGAGAAGGTTATTTTAAAATCGATTTTTGTGTGGTTTGTTATTTTATATGAATATCTAATTACAAAGGGTGAAATTGAAGGGTTTTAACTGGATATTTTAAGGTTTTATTTCTTTTGCGCGAAGCGGAAGCATTCTTTGTTTTATTACTTGTTTGTTTATTTGTTTATTAGAATGTTCTTAGTCATCGTCATGTGTTTATGACATCATTTTGAGTTTACCGTAATTTTCTAATGAAATTCTTCATGTTTTTCTTGGATTTAATTTATATGTAACGATTTTATATATAGCGCATAATCAGCCATGTTTTTTTCGATTATTCTGTGATAAATTGCGCGGTTTTTCATTGTTTTTATGTGTACAGAACCGTATCGATGAATATTTTCATTTCAGAAGTTATAAATGCTTCCAAACGGCGCACAGCCTGCACATCGACTTCCACAGTTGACAATAATAATAATTAACGCAATTAACAATAACTACTAACGACAATAATTGAAGCAACAGGCGGCAAAATGAATGAATTGACGCCGTTGAATCCACTGAAACCAAGCGTAACTAACACATTTTTGATGTTTTAAACGTTTTGATGTTGTATTATTTAATAATAGTAAAATAATTAGTTTTTAATTGTTTTTACGCATATTTTTGCGTGGGTATTGTTTGTTTGGTTGCCTATATTCAATCGTAATTTTATTTTGCTAAAGATTTTACATTAGTTTCTCTTAATCGCACGCATTCTTTTGACTTTTACTGTTTTGGTGTTTATCACAATCGTGCGACACGCTTTGCTTTCAACTAGACTTGTGATTAGAATTGAACTCTGCATTGCTGCATGGAAATTTACCAAATTATTTGAACTAGTCTATAAATCTATTAATTTTTTATAGTTTATTACTTCACATGTAGTTATATTGAGTGTATCAATATTAATTTCGTTTATTAATGATTAAATACCATTTTAATAGTGTAATAAATGATTAAATACCATTTTAATAGTGTAATAATAACACTGTATATAAATGACACTAATTGGGTGAAGGTTTAATGGGCCGCGAGCATGCATGAAATTTCGTTTTTACGTCCCGTTTCGCTTTGTCGGAAGCATCAATGCAACAATTCCGCGCTCATCGACAATTAATCATTGTATAATGTTGTGACTGTGAGCAAGTGCAATAGATTTTTCGAAATTCCTGCGCCATGCGCTCGAATAGTGCGCGTATGTAACGAAAGTATTAAGTAATTAATGACCGTCTCTAATGCGTGCGATAAGAAAATTCCGCTGGTGATAAAGCGCATCGGACACAAACAACATAACATTTTTTCATATGTATAATATATTACAATATTAAAATCGTATAGAAATTTAATAAAATAATAAAACGCGTGATTATGTGATTATGATGCGAAAAGTGACGCATATATTGCGTTTTACTTTGTTATTGTTATCAAATTTATATCAAACTTGCGTGCGTCATCGATGTGGTGTTAAAACGTGTGCGGCTTTTTATGTTGACACAACAATTTGTTGAATGGCAGTGAGTCAAGTTAGGAAAACAATGAACTCTGTATTTTGTATTACATCAAAGTATTATGATTGAAGAAAAAAGTTAAATAAATAAAATGATCGGAGGAATTTCTTGAAGTCAACGTAAAAGGACTAAAGTTGAATGGACAATAGGCGATTTCATTCTGGGGCCAGAAAAGTTTAAGCAAACATAACCGATTAAACTGGATTTATTTCGGAGTGTCGCGATTATCAATTATCAAAGAGTGTGAACAATCACTGCTAGTGTTGGAAGTTGAGAAGATTAGTAAAGGATTTAGAGTTTAGACCTTGTGATGAAAAATAAAATAAAACGATCTGACCACTAAGCAGATTGTGGCACGTCATGGAATTATATTTTGTTTGGTATTTATAAAAAGTTAGAGGAAAAATGTTATCAGATTACAAAGTTGCAAAATTGCTAAAAATAAATGATGAGTAGGTCTCAGTTCTCATATAACATGATATAATTCGTTAAAATATACAGGGTGTTATAGTTATTGTGAAATTTAAAAAATGTCTAAAAGTTTAAATAATTTTGATATTTTTTATGTTTTTGAGTTAAAATTATCAATTTTTTATAGGTTTATAATCAAATTATGAGTATAACGATATAATTATTTCAAAATATACAAGGTGTCATAGTTATAGTAAAATTTTAACAAAATATCTAAAATTTTAAATAATTTTTATATTTTTTTGATTTCTGGGTTAAAATTATTAATTTTTGGTTGGATTATATTCAAATTATTAATAGAAAGATAAAATTAACTTAAAAAATCAATAATTATGCTGAAATTTAAAGAAAAAAAAACAAAAATTTTCATAATTTTTAATTAATTTTCATATTTCCGTCTTAAATTTATCAATCTTTGATTTAAACTACATTCAAATCATTAGGAATGCAATCCTACATACAAAAACAAAATTTCTACCTGCTTACCTGTCCCATCTCTCTTCTCATTCGTCAATTCGTCATCCCATCCAAACCGTTACAAAAACTTCTCACCACCACGACCCGCTCATGTGTCTCATCATGCTTAGCTGTTTAGTTTCGTGTCCACGGTCGCAGCGCGCACACTATCTTATTATTCACTGGTCGAGTTGTTTCTGCGGGCAGCAACAAGCAACAATCACTGGACGCTGGGTCTCCGTGGGCCCAATCAGTCTATTCAGTCTGTAACGGTCTCCGCGACGCGCCGGACATTCTAACTCGCCGACCAACTCATCACTGCCATTATAAAACGCACAGAAACCACAACAATCAAAATATAAAATAAAAATTAAAACAAAACGTTGTTTAATCGTCGCATGTGTTGAATATTTAAAAATAATAATTTATTATTGTATTATAAGTGTGTTTTTTATAAGTGAATTTAAACATAAAACAAACAAAAAGACTGAATTGTGTTCATATATAGATAAATAATTTTAAAATATTGTTTTCTAAGAAGACAAGATGAGTGGGAAGACGTACGGAAGCGTTAATTGCGTAAGGTTTTTATTTTTTTTAAATTTTATCTTTACTTTTATTGTTTTGCCGACAAAGTACGGCCCTGGCTCGCTTGTCGCCTGTCTCGAATCATAACATCCAACAGCCGGAAAACTACCAGCATCATTAATATGAATAATAATCATTTGTTTGTAATTAATTCCTCATTCCTTTCAATGCAATATGCGCAATTAAAATCTTTTCTTAAAATTTTCGCGTCTTTATCTCAGAAATTATCATGATGAACGTCTGGAAATATTGATAAAATTATTTTATTAAGCGTCCATTAAATAACACTCAATTACCGACTGGAACACACAATAAATAAACCCATTTTATTGATGTTTGATTTATCTCCGCTCGCGTGTTTTCTGTCGTCGTCGGCGTGTGCGCTTAACAACCATTGCGGTTAAACACCAATGTTAAACAATTTGATAAAAACAGCTGGACTATTATCGAAAGAGAGTGAAAAATTGTTCATGCTGACCACAGTGTTCATCAGTACACTCGCACGCGTGATATTCGTATTCATTTTATTCGTTTATTTGTTTAGACGTTTGTTGCTAAGGCTTTTTTCTTTTCGCATGCGGCGCGTTATTGTCTATCGCAGACAGTGCGCGAACCGGATCGGAATGCCAATTACGCTGGCGATTAGAATATAATTTCGAATTGCGATAACGAATTTTAATTTCGTCTAAATGCCGGGTCAATGAAATAATGAATTTCATGTGTGGCAGAGTGTCAACGATAAAAATTTAATTATTAACTGAAATTTAGGCGAAAATGTTTTGTCTTTTGTATTTTTTATCTTTACACAATTGTAACTCATAATATTTAAATTGTATGATGTGTTTTTAGTTATTATACTGATTACTCATTGGTAACTAAAGTCTACACGTGCGCATAATAAAACGTGCCGTTGTTTTCAATTATTTATTGCTATGCTAATACGCGAATGATTTTTTTCATTACAATTGATAACAGATTGTTATGCCTTGCGATAAATATATTCTATAAACAATAATAGCGATGAATGTACATAAAATTAACACTAATATTACAACATTTGTAATTTTATACAAAGTGTTTCAATTTTTAGCCAATTTAATTAAAAGTTAGGTTAGATATTGAAATAAGGTTATGTTTATAGCATATTTTACCAGGAAACTACCGGGAATTATCAATATTTGAATAAAATATGCTTAAGTCTACTAATATACAATTTGTTCATAAATTTCTACTTTAAAAAACTTATTTAAAAGATACAGAGAATAAAATTAATGATTTCTAACAAATTTAATCAATAAAATGTTATAATTTAATGTTTTAATTGATTAAGTCATAAAATATAATTAATTTTTTATTCTACTATGAACATATGGTATATTTCTGCGGAAATTTTATCACCATTTATTTCCATCGTGTAGATAACTCAATATCATTATCATTCCCCTGTTATCACCCGCGTCAAACACCTAGGTGCCAGCTTACCAGCACACCAAGGTGTTAACTAGTCTCAAATATATCGTACTCGTCATCAATTTGCCTCTAAAACTCTAAAATGATATAATTTGATTGTGCAGGACTCGAATGGTGGTCTACATGGCAATACGACATCAGACCAACACCAAAATCAACAAAACCTACAGAAGTCGAAGAACAAAGGCAAAATGAGGGACGAACGTCAGCCATTGCTCCTCGAGGGAGAAACACAAGAGGAACATGTTATGAATATGGATAACATTACAGCGTCAGAGAAGAGTTTCGACAGCGATTCGGACCCAGTGCTGAATCGTAATCTGGAATCACCCACGTCCAATTTGGATACGATGATTCATTTGTTAAAGGGTAACATTGGTACCGGAATATTGGCTATGCCGGATGCTTTCCGGAATGCTGGTCTTGCAGTGGGTTTCTTTGGTACTCTTCTAATGGGTGCCATTTGTACACATTGTATGCACATGTTGGTTAACTGCAGTCATGAACTTGCCAGACGAATACAGAAGCCATCTTTGAATTTTGCTGAGGTTGTTGAGGCAGCGTTTGAGACTGGACCGGAGAGTTTACAAAAATATTCAAAACTAGTCAAGTAAATATCTCTTAATATCTTATAAACTCAATCTAAATAATATTATCTTTCAGGACATTGATAAATATATTTTTGTGCATCACCCAATTGGGATTCTGCTGTGTGTACTTCGTGTTCGTCGCGGCAAATCTCCACGATGTGGTCAAACACTACTTTATCGACGTCAATGTTGTTTGGTATCTTGCAATGTTACTACTACCGATGATCTTTCTGAATTGGGTGAAGAAGTTGAAATATCTCACGCCGGCTTCGTTGTTCGCCACCATTCTAACTACAAGTGGTTTGATTGTGACTTTCTTCTACATGCTGCAAGGATTACCGGATACATCATCAGTAAATGCATTTTCTTCATGGGGACAGTTACCATTGTACTTTGGTACTGCTATTTATGCGTTTGAAGGAATCGGAGTTGTGCTTCCATTGGAGAACAACATGAAAACACCGCAGGATTTCGGTGGTTGGAATGGCGTTTTGAATACTGGCATGGTGATTGTTGCTTGTTTATACACAGCTGTTGGGTTCTTTGGATACTTGAAATATGGCGACGCTGCTAAGTTGGGAAGTGTGACTTTATTGTTGCCACCAAACGAAATGTAAGTTAAATATTTATTTTCTCTGAGTTATTTGTTATTAATTTGGTTTATTTTTTAGCTTGGCACAAAGTGTACGTCTCATGATGGCCGTCGCCATTTTCTTGTCCTACTGCTTGCAGTTTTACGTCCCCTTGAATATCGTGTGGCCCTTGGTCAAGAAACACCTACACACTGAGCGTGCAATTTATTATGGCGAGTATTTAACGCGAACAAGTTTGGTTATTGTTACGTTTGCACTGGCGGCGGCCATTCCCAACTTGGGAGCGGTGATTTCCCTGGTGGGTGCGTTCAGCAGTTCAGCGCTGGCGCTGATCTTTCCACCACTGATTGAAATCATTACTTTCTGGCCAAATCGTCTTGGTAAAAACAACTGGATGCTGTGGAAGGACATCGCCATTATGATCTTTGGAATCTGTGGCTTTGTTGTCGGTTCATACGTGAGCGTGCTTAATATTTTATATCCAGAGGAGTAAATGAGTGATTGAATGCCAAATATTTATGCAAACAAGATAATATACTGCTACAGGAGTAACTATGACAATAACTAATCTCAATTATATGAAATTACGAATATCGTTGATAGTCTCAACGGATAATTGTGCAAACTATTTTTATGTGCTAAAGGTGTGAACAAGACAAATAATAATATGCACAAGTATACAAAGTATCTCTCAAACAAAATGAGACACAAATAAATCATGCATTATCTATTTTACTATAACGCATGCTTTTATTTTCTTCGATTGTTTATATTCAAGAGCTTGGAGTATAGTGGAAGCTGGTGATATCATGAACTAGTACCTTAAGTATTTAGTTTAATTATGTTTAGTAACAAATGATGTTTAATGTGCTGATGCAGAGTGAATATCAAGAAAGATGAGCGTGATAATTAAAAGTTACTATCATTATAGTAGATATTATATAAAATGTCAATGTAAAAACGAGATATATTTTATGCTTCTTACATTTAAAAAAATTAGGCAACCAAAGATGGAGACATTTGGTAATATTCCACTTTTATAATTTATTATACGTAAAATACTGTAATTTTATTTCGAGTGTTTTAAACCGAATTGTTTAATTACTACTTGTGTTCCATATCAAAGATATATTGTAAATGTAATGTTAATTTCTAATAATAGTTGTTACATTTAATGCTGCGCAATGTGGAGACTTAAGGATGAGTTGATTGTTCAATCGAAATAAGTACCAAGGTAAAAGAAAATGTGTTGAATTTATGCTGTGCGGTATAATTTATAAATCATTAACAATCGTATTTGCCGTTCAAAGCACTGTTATGGATCATGAAAAATAGGAAATTATATACTATATGATAAATATGAACAATAATAAATGTTTTCGTAAATGTCTTCTTTGATTCAAACACGAGGGAGAGAATTGCTTTTGTCCTTGAAGATAGATTGATGCCCCTCCAACTGCGGGTTGGCTATCAATACGCTGTTCTGTTTATTCTGGCTTAGTCGGTTGTGCGCTGCCGTGTGATGCGCACGTGTTTTGTTCATTAATCGAACTACGTGACGATTTTTCGCGTTCCATTAGATATTAATTCGGTAGTAGTACTAGAATCGGTTGATAGTCGGCAGAATTTAATAATAACAATCTAGTGTAGCTCACAACAAATTATTTGTTGTTGTTTATTCCGTGAATTTTGTTCTTTTTAAATTTGTATTTTACGGAAACGTGTTTAAGTACTTGAAGTAATTTCTGTGCTTCCATGTTCTACTTTTCGGTTGTTTTAGGTGTCTAGCGGGCGAACGGAATGTCCTAGGACAACGATTTTTGTATCAGATTGTAAGTATTGAATTTGTTTATCATTTTCATAAATAATTTGTGTGATTATCACACGGGAAACCTGTGAAAATGCCATTTTTGTGCTTCGATGTGCTAATTTTCGGTTGTTTTAGGTGTCTAGCGGGCGAACGGAATGTCCTAGGACAACGATTCTTTTATCAGATTGTAAGTATTGAATTTGTTTATCATTTTCATAAATAATTTGTGTGATTATCACATGGGAAACCTGTGAAAATGCCATTTTTGTGCTTCGATGTGCTAATTTTCGGTTGTTTTAGGTGTCTAGCGGGCGAACGGAATGTCCTAGGACAACGATTTTTGTATCAGATTGTAAGTATTGAATTTGTTTATCATTTTCATAAATAATTTGTGTGATTATCACATGGGAAACCTGTGAAAATGCCATTTTTGTGCTTCGATGTGCTAATTTTCGGTTGTTTTAGGTGTCTAGCGGGCGAACGGAATGTCCTAGGACAACGATTTTTGTATCAGATTGTAAGTATTGAATTTGTTTATCATTTTCATAAATAATTTGTGTGATTATCACACGGGAAACCTGTGAAAATGCCATTTTTGTGCTTCGATGTGCTAATTTTCGGTTGTTTTAGGTGTCTAGCGGGCGAACGGAATGTCCTAGGACAACGATTTTTGTATCAGATTGTAAGTATTGAATTTGTTTATCATTTTCATAAATAATTTGTGTGATTATCACATGGGAAACCTGTGAAAATGCCATTTTTGTGCTTCGATGTGCTAATTTTCGGTTGTTTTAGGTGTCTAGCGGGCGAACGGAATGTCCTAGGACAACGATTTTTTCATCAGATTGTAAGTATTGAATTTGTTTATCATTTTCATAAATAATTTGTGTGATTAGCACACGAGAAACCTGTGAAAATGCCATTTTTGTGCTTCGATTTGCTAATTTTCGGTTGTTTTAGGTGTCTAGCGGGCGAACGGAATGTCCTAGGACAACGATTTTTGTATCAGATTGTAAGTATTGAATTTGTTTATCATTTTCATAAATAATTTGTGTGATTATCACACGGGAAACCTGTGAAAATGCCATTTTTGTGCTTCGATGTGCTAATTTTCGGTTGTTTTAGGTGTCTAGCGGGCGAACGGAATGTCCTAGGACAACGATTTTTGTATCAGATTGTAAGTATTGAATTTGTTTATCATTTTCATAAATAATTTGTGTGATTAGCACACAGGAAACCTGTGAAAATGCCATTTTGGTGTTTCGATTTGCTAATTTTCGGTTGTTTTAGATGTCTAGCGACCAAACGCGGTGTTCTCAGAACATTAATCTCTCATGATTTTTTAAATATTTAAATTGTTTTCTATTGTTTAATACAAGGGGAAGCCACTAGTGTTATTTTACCATAGTATGTTAATTAAAATCCTTTCTTCCTAATAATTTTGTTTGTAAACTTCAGCTGATTACTTGATAACTTGCAATATGTTTGTAATTGCATTTCTGTCGTATGCAGATGCCCCTCCAACTGCGGGTCGGTTGTCTATCTATTCTCTTACCTGCTTATTCTGGCTTAGTCGGTTTAACGCCGTCTCGTGGTGCGCACGTGCTTTGTTCATTAATCAAATGTCGCGCCGATTTTCCGCGTTTCTTGATATTTTAATTCTGTAGTAATACTAGAATCTGCGGACAATCAGAGGCATTTCGTAATAACAGCCCAGTGTAGCGCACAACGAATGATTTCAGTGATCCTTTGCGGTGAGCGCGTGGCGTCCGTCGGATATGTGTTCCGGTGCCTATGGATACTTATAGGATATCAAATTAATATTGTGTATTCAACGTGACTACAAGTTATACATTTGTGATATCCACGTGGAATAGTAAAGAAGTGCGTTAACTTACAATTTGCGGAAACATGTTTGTGTGCTTTAGTTCTTTATGGATAGAAGAACTAAGGGGGTAAGTAACATCAAGTAAAACTTTCCTTTTATTTAAGTTTTTAAATCTTACAGACACAATATTATTGCTTTATAATAAGTTTAAATGATTCAGTCAATAAAGGATAATTTAATTTTACATTCTTGTTTACATGTGTCCCTACTTAGTCGTTTTCAGGATTAGCATTAAGTAATGTTCGAATCTAAGAGTATACCATAGTACGGCATAGTATAGTACAGTGTAGTATATGTATGTTGTTGTTTTATTTTACTATAAGATATGAAAACATAAATAGAAGAAACGAATATAGTTTGATAAGAAAGCCGCGTGGCTCGCAGGTGTGCAGTACATGCTGCTATACCGTAGATAGATGGTTCGATCCCCAATTATAGAAGGCATTTTTCTCAAATATAAAAATAACAGGTGTAATTTGGGTTGCATATATGAATTGCAACGAAATATAAGAGAAGTTGCAATACAAGTGAAGGCAATAAGAGAAGTAAGAAAGTAAGTCGAGAAAACAGAGAAATAGGAGAAGTAGAAGAAGGAATAGCAGAGTAGAGAAGAGAGGAGGAGATAGAAGAAAGAGCAACAGGGGTGGATGAAATTTTTAAATTTTTTGGCACGTGTCGTTATAAGACAGTCTACGGTCGATCTCCCAGAGCGCCTCCGGCGCTCTGGTCGATCGCCCACTGCTTCGATGCCTCCATTGCTCCCGGCCCATCCTACAGCTACGATGTCTCTGCGCTTCATCCCCGAAATTATCAGGCATATCAACAATTTTTATGGTGGGGGATCATCCCCAGAGAGAGGGAACTCCTTATAAGGACTTCCTTTTAAGAACTTGTAAAAATATTTCTAATTTAAAACACTTAAAAATATTCTTACAAGTTCTTACCTGTAGCTGAAATGAAAGATGGAGTACACGAATCATACAGGATACCTTAACAATTTTTATAGTGGGGATCATCCCCCGAGTGGGAGAACTCCTTGAGGACTTGTAGAGATATTTCTAAGTGCCGCCGCGCTCTCAGAGCCGACCATAACACTGAGAAATACTTTACAAGTTGTGACCTGTACCTGAAATGATAGAAGGAAGGGGTGCACAAGTCATAAAACACAGCCATTGCCTTTAACATTTCTTTATTAACAAATTACATACAATATAACTTTAGAATTTGCAATTTCAATACCTACAAAACACGTGACGTCATTTTAAAATATGTTTATCATCTGCATAGCGACCATATGCAAATTGCTATCAAATTACAAAATATAACACTAAAAAATAGCAAATTGCGCCCTGTTTTCGCATGACATCAGTGGAAAATTATATACAGGGTGAAATCAAAAGAAAATCTTAAATTTAAAAAAATCACCCCAAAACAATAAAGATTGTCAATTTTTTGCTGGGCATAAAGAAAATTTACATACAGGGTGTTTTCAAAAGAAAATCTTCACTTGAAAATGAAAATCGCCCCATAACAATATAATTATGCTTATTTTCGCAGAGCATTAAGAAAAATTTGTATACAGGGTGATACAAAATAAAAATCAAAAGTGAATGTTTTATTACCTGTTTTCTACTGTTTATCTAAGGGAAGTGATAAGTATGTGAATAGAAACATAATAAATAATACAATTGTTAATAATTATAAATTTATTAAACACATTTTAAAGAAATACTAAATTCAGATCTCTTAAACACACAAATTAGCACAGACAAAATTATGAATACAAAAGCAAAAAGAAGCCCCGAAAAAGCCCCGAATGAGAGCGAATGTGCAGCCGACGGAACGCGACAATATTCCAATACTTGTATTGCAAAGGTTATTATATGCAACCATGTGACGACTATGCTAACTAATATTTCTGATCGCTTTTCCCTATAAGGTTGGTAATTGTAATAGAATATAGTTTTTATGATACATACTTTTTTACGTTTTTGCAGATGAAATATTCCATACGATGCACAAATGATTCAAATTAATAATTAAATGGATACACGAAACGAGCCTGAGTATTTCTTAGCCGACGAAAGATATCCGACGGCCGACGGAAAACACGTGGTGCGTACGTTGTAAAACCACGAAATGCTTGGTTCCACGCGCGATAACTCATTAACTATAGGCCGCACTTGTCTGTTAATTCTAAATCTTATCTTTGGTGACTGATTATAATTCAACTACCGACTTAAAATCACAAGAAACGCAATAAGTCGCCATGAAGACCGCTACGCAAGTAAACGCGTGCACACTACGCCGCAGCGCACGATCGACTAAGTAAGAAATGGAACAAACACTGCTGAGCGCATCGGATGCGCTGCAACACAATAAAAACAAGTTTTTTGTGCACTAACACCGATAAGAGCCAAGAGTGCGAACTACGAGTATACACTATTCAGGTTGTACCACGGCACACACACACAACGTTCAATATAACTCGCGTTACGGCATTTTCTTGCAATAAGTTTCTATACAGGGAGATACAGAATTAAATTTTGCATCTGGGAAAGTTATTCCAAACTTATTGTGACACCGCGTTCGCGTGTTATAACAAAAAACTACAATTCCCAGCGCAACGAGTAATACTGCGCACACACACAACTTTGAATATAACTCGCGTTACGGAATTTTCTTGCAATAAATTTCTATACAGGGAGATACAGAATTAAATTCCATATCAGGGACAATAATTCAACTTTCAATTCATAACTCAATTCCTAACGCAACTAGTACTACGGCGCACACACACAACTTTCAATATAACTCGTGTTCCGGAATTTTCTTGCAATAAATTTCTATACAGGGAATACAGAATTAAATTCCGCATCTGGGAAAATTATTCCGAACTTATTGTCACACCGCGTTCGCGTGTTGTAACAAAAAAACTACAATTCCTGGCGCAACGAGTATTACGGCGCACACACACAACTTTAAGCAAATGTAAATTTGACCGAAAAATATAATTGAATTATAAACTTACCAGTGTACAGCTTATCGGACTGCCAGGTACAAGTGCTGTAACTAAACGAAACATAAATTAAAACAAAAATATTTCATACATTTGAATTATGTTATAATTAACAATCTTTCAAAATAAACAATCTGTGTTGTTTAGTTAAAAAATACTTACACGAGCCTGATGGATCTTTCGGAATGGTGGCGATATATATCCGATTAATTTAGTAACCGACACCAAACACAACGCCGAGTGAGGAATGTTATCAAATCCACTATCACGTGACTTGTAATATACATAACAAACGCGATCAATAACCTGCATTTCCGAACATTAAACAAATTACTATTGTCGCAAAGTACAAATAAATAGTCTATTGGTCTTCGAGTATAACACAAATTTAGAATATTGAAGTTCGAATAAACGATATACGAGTAAGTCTCTCAAAACACGACTGGATTAACCAGCGACCGGCACGAAACTGGCTGCAATCCACCGATAGTGCATGCCGAAACTGCGTAAACAACGACGGGACAGTATATGATAAGAAAGCAAGACGTGCGCAAAGACGCATCAAAAGCACGCGACCTTGTTGGCTTGTTTTGCAATAGGCAATTACCTGTGATCTAAACTAAACTAGACTTTGCTGGATGTAGCAAATTGATGCAGCGTTAAAAATTGCCAATTGCCTTGATAACTTTTATCGAGAATTCTCGTTAATTAATATCTCTATAATCTCTATAAAATAGGCAAGTTAAAATGGAAATCGAAGACATGAAATTTTCATTCTTAAGAAAAAATTGACAAGCTTGATACTTTTTTTCGACGATTTTCAATAATTCATATCTCCTAAACTAAAAGAGATAGCTACCAACGAATTGTTGATTATGAAAGATTGGAAAATTGTCTATCAGATAAAAATATAAAATAATTATATTTCCTAAAGTAAAAGGTCGAAAAACGCGACTAAAAGTGCCAAAAAATGACATTTATCAATTTTGCCCGGTACATTCAATCGCGAATATCTCGTAAACTAAATGAGATAAATAAGATCTGATCGCAGCGTCATAATCTACGGACTATTTTCTATCAGATAGGATAGATTAAAAATATAGAGAGATGAAATTTTCCATTCTTAAGAAAAAATTGCCAAGGGGTGCTTGATACTTTTCGACGATTTTCAATAATTCATATCTCTAAACTAAAAAGAGATAGCTACCAACGAATTGTTGATTATGAAAGGTGGAAAATTGTCATCAGATAAAAATATAAAATTATTATAAAATTTCCTAAAGTAAAAGGTCGAAAAACTCGACTAAAAGTGCTAAAAGTGACATTTATCAATTTTGCCCATTTTATTCAATCGCGAATATCATAAATGAAACTAAAAGAGATAATTAAAGGATCTGATCGCAGCGTCTTAATGTACGGACCAACCTCTATCAGATACGATAGTTAGGAAATCACAGGGAGACAAAATTTTTAAGTCTTAAGAAAAAATTGCCAAAAGGGGGTACTTGATACTTTTTTCGACGATTTTCAAAATTCATATCCTCTAAACTAAAAGAGATAGCTACCAACGAATTGTTGATTAAGAAAGATTGGAAAATTGTCTATCAGATAAAATATAAAATTATATTTCCTAAAGTAAAAGGTCGAAAAACGCGACTAGAAGTGCTAAAAGTGACATTTATCAATTTTGCCCGGTACATTCAATCGCGAATATCTCATCAAACTAAAGAGATAAAATAAGATCCCATCGCAGCGTCTTAATCACACGGACTATTCTCTAACCAGATAGAATAGTTAAAAAAGAGAAATCTGAGAGATGAAATTTTGAATCTTAAGAAAAAAATTGCCAAGGGGGTGCTTGATACTTTTTCGACGATGCCAATAGTATCTCTTTTAAACTAAAAGAGATAGCTACCAACGAATTGTTGGTTATGAAAGATGGAAAATTCTCTATCAGATAAAATATAAAATAATTATATTTCCCTGCAGTAAAGGTCAACGCGTGCAACTACCCGCGTCAATTTCGCTACTATCGTCACATGCAATGAAAGATAAAAATGTACTAAAGATGTAATTATATTTATAAACTTACCATTGTATCGGAAAATCAAAGAAAGTACTGAAACAGAAAAAACACGAGTGTTAGAACTCGCACTATGTACCTACATACACTTAAGTCCGTTCCGTCGGATAATGGACTTGTACTGCAAAAGGTATTTTTCGCGACAATATTCCCGTGAAATACTGCCGAGGACAGATGTGAATTACACTTATTCAAGCTTATCAATAGGATACATATCCCTAATTCCAATTCTAAGCATCGGAATATTTTAATAACCGACGGATCACTGACGCACAGATAAAGACACGAGTTTTGTAAATATTTCCGCACTTTCGTCATCATCAGGAAAACACTAAACACGTCTATTGTCATTAAGTGCCAATATTTATACTGATTTTTACTGATAAGCTGCAGTGCAATTAATTTACCTAACTGAAGCCGGAATGAAACAGCAGTATTTACCGCGTGCAGATAAAAGAACAGACTGAAATGTTCAGCATTTTGTAGCGCGAGCGAGAGCATTGCAACGCAGTTTGCTGTTAAAAAGATGTTTACGTTCAAATCCCTATAACTAGCTAGGTAGAGTTGAAATCGAAACACTTCTAATATGCATATAAATAAAATGTAATATTCACATCAAATGCAGATATTAAAGGAACTACAAGTTAAAATTGACTTCATAACACTTAGTATTTTTTATTCTAATGGACAATATTTTACTTGGTGTAATCATTAATTGCAAGACGATGCAACACGCGAGGAACACGTACCAACCGCCGACACAGAACTGACGGCACACTGCTGTGAGTGCTGCGTGCAAGTAGGAAACTTATAAACAAACACTAATAAACATGCTTCATAGAATAAGTAAACAATTTACTTAGGTGTAAATATAGGATGCTTACTAATCGTGGAAATTTCGATGTTGCTGGCGCCACCCCATCGACTAAATACCAACTTAAAATTCCGCATTTTCTCCGCTTTTCACGTACAATCTGAAAAAACAAATATTTTATTAGATATATTGCATAAAACATTATATAGTATTGTATATATAGTTGAGAAACCACAAGTATATAAAATCAAAATAGAAAAATCAATATCTTAGGAAATAAAACTGTAATCCAAAACAGAATTTTCCACAAAAGTTTCCCTACCATGCCGAGAGCGGCGGCAGCAAGTGCACGACCGCCTCGTTCGCGTTCGTGCATTTACGCGGATACAAACGAACGAGGGTCGTCGACAACGACCGCCGCCGCTTGCTCTGGTTACGAGGGCACGAGGGTAGTCGGAAAAGCCAGACCGTTGGGGCGCACCGCGGGCTCGCCGGCATCCTAACAAATAATTCCGTGCATGTCGGCACGGTAAAATTCACCGACGGCGGCCCCGAGGGCTGCACAGTGTTTGCAAACAATCGTGTATGTTCAGAAAATTCGTACGCAAAGGTCGAAGGGAAAACAGTGAAATAAAGTGCACACAGTGTACAAAGTGTTTCGTGAAACAAAACGTGATGTAAAGTGACTCGTGCATAATTATTATTTAATTTCACATTCAAATTCAAACGCGCTTTGTGTTAAATTAAAGAAATACAAGAAGAAAACAAACTACAAGAAAACAAAATCAACGCACCAAACAAACAATTGATTCAAACACAGCACTAGCAGAATGAAAACTGTATTGTACTCGAAATTATCGATATTGTTGCCATTGCCGTGCGAGTTCTTCGAAGTAGAGATCAGGTGTGGTTAATGTTATTTATATTATGTATCACGCTGGGGAGTAACACACGTCATAATGCGCCATCAAACAAAGCCATCGCCGCTGAAGCATGAAGCCACATTCTAAACGCGCCGGAAATAAAAATTCACACCTCAAACTACATGGACGTTATTGGTGACGCGTTCGAAACATCATGCGCTGAGTGCATCCGAGCGAACGTAAACAAACGCCAGCGCGATTACATAAGCTAGGAATCAAGTCGGGGTGCAAAAATGTGGTCGTCATGACGACGCCGAAAACCTCCTTCGCGCTGGGCAGAAATTACCGCAAAATGATCAAAGAACGAAAGAAATGTGCGAGTAACACGTTGTTCACAACACGCCAAGTGCTACAGCTACGTGCGGCCTGTTAGAGAGCAGAGAAAAAAATTCAAATGCGCGATGGTGCAGATATGTTGAGCCTGCGAGCGAAAAAGAGGCCGCGGAAGACTTTCGGTGCGTGCACGTGGTGCTCCCTTGTACATATTCGTGCAGGCGTACTTCCTGTGGGTGCTGTTTTAACATTCGGGGCAACACGGGAAGAAGCGCAAAGGCACCACGATGCCGGGTGGACGCAGGGGGTTGGTCGCCCCGCAGAACACATTCCTGGAGAATATCATTAGAAGATCCAATTCACAGCGTAAGTATTACCCGAGTTAATCTCGACGAAAACTACGAGTAACTAAAAATACATTCTGTTTTCGTAAATATTGAATATTAGGTTAAAACAACGCACAATGATTTAGATTGATAATATTTACGCGCTGAGCTTCGAAACAACACAAAACTAATTTTAACACGTTGAAATTTTAAATCTTCGCGGATGAAAAGAGTTGAAAAGCTTAGGTGGTATCAATTTTGCATTAATTTCTCTCTTTCACGCTGGGATTCGACGCATCAAGAACTCAGCTTTACGCAGGATTCATTAAATTACCATTAATCGCATCCAAGCATATTTAATTTCACGTTTGTTTATACAAGCATTCATTAATTTTCATTTTGTGCGTTTTGGACCACAATTCCACTGGAATAGAGTTTCACTGTGTATCTTGGTGAAACGCAAATTGTTTTGCGATACGTTTGTGAATTAATCATAAATTGAGGAAAAATAATAATAAATTGTTTAATTAAGAGCCAGCCGATTAATTTGTATGTTTGACTTATTTATTTATTGCATGATTTCTATAAAGAAAAAAAAAAATGGGCTAGACTCGAGGAGTGAAGATTATAAACTATAAGACAAAGGATAATGGGAAGCCTTGCAAATCGAGAAAATCGTTTTGGAGCGTTCTACAAACATCGAGGTTTCCTTTTCACTTTTCCATCAAAAGCACTCGGTCATGATAAATACAACGTCTCCACTGGGTATTATACAACAAAAATGAATAAAATCGATGGCAATATGTTTTTTAAGTGTATTTTCAACATGTTTTTATTAGTATTCTGTTATTGAGAATAAAAAAAACACCACAACAATAAAAAAAGCTACAGAATAGTCGACACGATCACAGTCCACTTTGAGCGGGTAGGAAAAGGGTTCACTTGCGTGGTTAGACTCGCGTATGAGGTTTTGAAGGAAACTTCCGCTCCTTCAGTCAGTTATGCAAATCACTTGAGGGTTGCCGCTGGCTTTTAGTGCCTTCTGTCTTTGTACTATAACCTTCGACCACTCTTTTTGTTTAGGTGCCTTTTTTGTGGTCATCCACTCGTCGATCAATAGATTTTATTCTCTAGGTTAATTAAAGTTCAATTTAAACGATATGATAAACATGATTAGTCGATCGTGTTGGCTGGCGGCTGGTTATCATCGTGTTCCAGCATTGTGCGAAGCGTGTCGGAATCCAGCTTTTATCGCGTTCGCCGAGTTGAATTTATGGCGGCGTTCATTTCGCGCATTCCATTGTTGGAAGCATCGGAACCTTGTGCAAGTTATCGAGTTATCGTCTGCTCGAACATTACGGTTATAAAACTGTAAGTTGCCAAGATGAGATATGTTTTAGAATCCAGCAATAATCCAAAAAAAAAAAACGCAGATTTTTCCATATTTTACGTTGTAACACCCTACTTTCGGGTGGGTTTTCATTATGCTGTGTCAGTTTTGCTACACGGAGAGCCAGAAATTATCTCATTAGACATTTAAGTACATTCACATTCATGCGATACGAGGGCCGAGCTGAGCGGAATAAAAACGAGCTAAAAATACACCCGACTTTCATCTCCGCAATGCGCGCGAGCTCCAGGAGCACAATTTAAAATATGCAATTCCACGCTGAAAACGCTCAAGTTTGTAGTCTAAATTCCGAGGGCATTTTACAGTGCACCTACGAGTGACTATCACCACATCCGCAAACACGTTTCCATCACAAACAGATCAGATGTGTAGCTACGAGACGGCGAAAATGAAATTTTGCATTTTAAATCACCAAAAACATACTTTACTACCCTATTTAGTTAATATACTGAATAATAATCAAGTCACTGATACTTAAGCAGGTTAAGTGAGTGCCGTTAAGTGCTCGGCAGTTTCCGCTCTGCTGGTTTGATGATGGAATTTACTTGAGTTAGGCCATATGGCCTTACGGCGAACTAATACCTAACCAACGTGCCAGCGATGGTGTTAAAAACAAGCCCCAAAATTACACGTCCCCGCAGCGTAGTGATGTGTGCGGCGTGAAAAATCGTCGCCGTTATGAATTAAAACGCAAAAACAGGAAAAAATAATCGCCCCGTGCGGCGACACATATAGTGGTCAAACTGAAACTAATAAAGTCTGGAAGCGCGTTCTTTTGATTGCTCGCACATACGAGTCCATTCCAACTTTTCTATATGTTCGTATATAGAGTTTTGGGGTCACTTTGCGTTTTTTCCTCTTTGGCACTCCGGGGACATTCAGCGTGTTCTATTTTTATCCCAATCGAAGGTGCGCGGCACGTTCCTATTTGCTTATTCACAGTTATGCTCTCCACGTACGCGGCGTTAAAAAGCCTTCTTTTATTACATCCTTCATCACTTAACTCAACTATTATATTTTCCATCAATGGTTAGAAATGCGCGCGTTCTTTGATGCCGTGTTGCCATGTCGACTACATAGCCTTTTGGAATTATTTAAACATCAGCCAGATTACACGCTTTGGTGGTTGCGAACGTTTGAGAGGAGCAAGAGGCGCGCTCAAACAAGAATGCACTCCGAAAGCGTGCATCCTTCGCGCTCCCAGCGGGAAAGTGAGTAAAAGGAGCAAAGAGAGCAATCCCTTTGATATCTCGTCGCGATGCGGGCGTCGTGGAGTAGTTAAGCGGACGTCATGCCAGGCGCAACCGCCCTCCAACTACTAGACTCCCCAGGAGCAGAGGTCCTGAAGTAGTATTCCAAGGCAATAATGAATTTAAGCTGCCAGACATATCAAACAGGTTGCAGAAATTTATGCGACAGTTATGCATTTCGTAAATTATTATTTCTCGTACCGGAATCGATTTTAATTTTAATTTTTGAATTCATGAATAAATAAAGAGAATATGAATTCACGATTTGTGTTTGGATGCAACAATTTGTCGATATTCCAGTAATGATGCCGCTGGATGTTACCTCGTAACCTCATGACCCTTTTACCTTCTACAGGGTGGTAAATATAATAAACACATCATACATCGCATCATCAACTTTGTATTATTTAATAGTTGCGCTTGGAAAAACAAGGATTTTTATTGATTTTCGCAGTGGTTTCAGCTAGTTTTATTGGCCATCATCCGATCTAAGCACTTTTTTGTTCCTGCGCGTCCATAAAAGCATAATATGAAGTTATTGCGCCCCGAGTAAAGTTTGAGGTGGTGCAAACCGGTGACTGAGGGTGGAGGGTTTAGCTCCCGGGCGCTGGAAAGGTCGTCGTCGTCGTTTCGGTTCGGCGCCCCGGCGCCTCCACCCGACACACGCGCGGGAAGATACGCCAAAGACGCGCACGAGGTTGTTCACACCGAAATCGCAAATTCTGATCTTGTGCTCGATTTCAGAATTTCCGACGGAGATAATCCATACGCTACGATAACAAATAAACTACCTTCGCGTTATATTAGGAAATTACAAAAATAGTAATAATATTAATTACAGTTCAAGTTTTTTTTCTGTTTGTTTTTTTTTTGTTGATGAAAATTAAGTAGATGACTTTATTCTATGCCTGCAAAGGTTACGTTATCGGAAAACGATTGTTATCCCGCCACAAACGCGACAATGGCGTGCCTGAAATAATACAAAACAACACGTTATCAATACGTGCCGAAGGACACAACCTAATCGAAATGAATAGTCAATTATATTTATTAGGAATAAAATATCACACTTGGATGCGAACCAGAAAACGGATCAGCGAATTCGCCAAATCGCCGGATTTTATTTTACTCTCACTTTACAGGAATCGCTGATGTCTTTTGATATCGATAGCGGCCAAAAACTCGAATCCTTGAAAGCTCGAGGTAATTTCCCATCGTAAACCGAAACCATTCACAGAGTCTATCTTACATTTCGATCGAAATCCGTCTTTAAATAAATTCATATTAAATTTTTTTTGTAGAAAACTATCACGTCTGTTGATTTTATTTCGTATTCAATGACGTATGCAGATGAAAAAAATGCCAAGAATGCTAAAAATACGAAAATGTCGAGGATATGTGAACACAAAAAAAACGGAAAGAGAATATTTATTGTGGGAGACACTTTGAACAAAGCATGATATCGACCAGACGCAAGACACAATTCAGTTATATTCCTCAAGTCAAGGACTTGAAGGGAAACCACTTGAATAAATACACAAAAGAGTGGGGGTATAAAAATGGCATATAAAGTATCAAGTGGGTAAACGAGAGCTTTAGTCACAAGTGTTTAATCAATCGAGTGTTTAACAACTTTTAGTCACGTGATGCTTACGCTTTTTTTCTACTTCCACTTTATTTTCAAATACACCCCGTGACTAAAACCCATGACTAAAGTACTTTAGTCACGGCCATGGTCGTCCGTGTTTAAATATCACTTTTCACATAACAAAATCGTGAAAAGCTGCCGCTTTAAAGGTGAAAGTTGAAAAAAAAAATTAATTAATTACTCAAGAATTCATTCCACAATCGGGACCTGAATTTTATTCACTTCAATTCATGCTGAATTCTTATTATTTTTAGATAATTTCATAATGACTTTTCTTTCACTGGATATAAATTACACCCGAGCGATAAAACTATAATGAAGCAAATAAAGTGTTAAAGTGCCGACTCGATTTTACCCTCGGGTAATAAAAACCACTAAATCAACGTATCCACGCTCACACCGCTCGGACGTTTTAATTTCCTAATTGATATCTATCTAAAGTTCAAAAGTCTATGATGGAAATATATCGGCGAAATTAATTAATTTTTCATCCCGCCACAACAGAAAATTAATCATTGTCAATCAATAGAATCAAAACAAATTTCATTTCATTCTTTTAACCGTAAATGTCATAAAATTTAGATTTATTGTAAACAAGTCGGGTTTATAGTTTTGATTTTAATTGCTTTCGCGTGGTTTTAGTGAGTTAAAGAGTAGAATGAGAACGAAAATTATACGCCATTGTTTCAGGCTGCAACGACGGCGTGGAAAATGTGGAAAACTTGAGCGCG